AAGTTCATGGTCTTTTCTGGTTTGTCTTTGTTCTTCTTCTTCATCTGAATTATGCTGTGGTTTACATCTAGTCTGATATCTGCACCTTTCAGCCAGCACATCTGATTTCAGCAAACTCCTAATTGGTCACCTTTTACAACATGCTTGTTGGGGAAGCAGGGTCTATCCCCTGTTCCCTCCAATGGGATCCTGAAAACTACAGGAGAGTTGTTCATCTTTGTTGAACTGTTGTTGTAGTGAATTGTTTGTTATTGAAAGAGGTTACAACCTGTAACACTTACCTGGCCACATTGTTGTAAATACACTTTGTTGTTTCATCCAGGCATGTTTTCAGTCTGGTTGCCAGATCCTTTGATTTCTCACTTGTATCAATGGTCATATTGAATAACTGTTGGGGGAGGGGGGGGGGGGGAAATAAATGAAAATAAATGGAGAGGTACCAGACATAAAATTCATCATTAGGACAAAACAGCTAGTTATAAAAGAATGTTGGAATTAAAACTATCTTCTTCTTCATCTTATATTTGATGCAGTCAGGTGCTGGTAGTCATTAGTTCAAAACAGCCTTTTATGCCATAATACTTAACTGCCCAGCATTTTCTACTCTGGTCTCCCTCTGCCTCTCTTCCCTCCCAACATCTCATTGTCATGACATACTTCAGTTATCCACTTCTTTGAGTTTGTCCATGGCATTATCATTTGCCTATAAAATGACATCTCTGCCGATTGTCCAGGATTTGCTGCTGTAAACCAGGACTGGTTCTAAATGTTTTTTTAAGAACTCACTGCAAAAAAAAAAATATATAAGCAGTAATTTCAAAGCCATCATCACTGTGAAGCAGGTCCCTTCAAGAACATCACTCTCATCACACTTCACTGGAAGACACTTGGTCTCTGAAATGTGAGAGACTCAGCTTAAAATATGTTCGCGTTCTCTACTGGAACTGCGCTTCGTTCAGTCAACGCCGACCCATTTTTGAGAAGCTCCTCTACAGCAACGACATTGTTGTCCTACAGGAAACACACCTCGGTGACGAGATCGTTAAAATTGCGGGCTTCCAATCCTTCTACAATAGACGGCACCTCGGACAGCTTATTCTTGTTCGTGACAACATACCGGTGTCTGAGGTGGACATGTCTGAGTGGGATAATGACGACCTACAAGTACACGCAGTCAGAGTGTTGGGCCTGGCCCAGTTTGTGATTGTCAATGTGTACGCCTGCAATGGAAAGGTGGATACAGCGAAATGGCAGAGTTTGCTCCAGACGGAGGAAAAGAAAGTCCTTTACTGCGGAGATTTCAACGCCAGAGGAAACCAGTGGGGAAATGTAATCACCAATAAACAGGGGGAAGACCTGGAGGATGCCCTAGTGTCTGCCGATCTAGTATGCTTGAACGACGGAAAGGTTACCCGAATGGCAACCCGACAAGGGGATTCTGACAGCGTAATTGACCTGGCCCTAGTGTCTCCCTCCATTGCATCAGGATGCAGGTGGAGCACACTGGGATACCATGACAGTGATCACTTTCCGTGCGTCGTCCTGGTGGAGAAGAGCAACAACAAAGGTCATGTAATCAATGTGCCTGCTTTTCTATATGACCGTACAGGGCAAGATGCCATTAGCAAAATCAGACAACGTAAAACAAGAGCAGATCGCAGACGGCGGGAGAGATGGGCCCAGCCACCATGGTGGAATGAAGTAGTCAACATGGCGTGGCTAGAAAAAAGGAACGCTGTCAAGGCATGGCAAAAGGCAAGGAAAATTGATCCGTCACTTTCTGAACGCCTGATCAGTCTAAAAGATGAGGTTAACAAGCGGACAGTGGCTTTCAAGTTAATTGCCAAAGAAGCCAAGACAGCGAAATGGAACGAATTCTGCAAGAGCGTTTGCTCCGAGGGATCTCTTGTGACATTCTGGCGCCTTCAACGGAGCATGCACGGCGCCGCACGACCAAGGGGTATCCCTGATTTTCAGGGTACAGACCTGATATGGCAGAGAACTGATGCTGATAAAGGAAAAACCCTTCTTGCGCGCTACTTTGGAGCAAACTGACCAAAAAGACGAAGCTGCAAGAATAGGGGTTAAGATGAAACTGTCGATGCTGTGCGAGAACACTGAGCTAGGCACTGATTTCACAATCACTGCAGACACCTTAAGAACTTGCCTCAAGAAATCGCGCAGCACTGCTCCAGGCCCTGACGGCATCCGATACAATGACATGCTGATGATGTCGAATGCTGATTTGAAAAGCGTGGCAAAGGAATTCAATATCAGCATCCAGAGTGGCCAGATACAAGAGGAATGGCTTCATAGTTATTTGTTCCCACTACCAAAGCCTAATAAAGACCACTCAAAGATCTGCGGCTACAGAATCATCTCGATGCAGAATACTGTTGGCAAAGTTTTGGAAAAAATTGTCGCACAAAGATTGACCACCTACTTGGAACTACATGATAAGTTCCCATCAACACTTGGAGGGTACAGGTTGAAGAAAGAGACATGGTTCAATGCTGCTGTTTTCGCCTACGATGTGTACGAGGGATTTCAGATTAAAGAAGAGACATATGTACGGCAGTGTTGGACTTAGAAGATGCCTACAATAAAGTACCATACGAATATTTAATGCAATTACTGCTTAAACTAGAAGTCAATCCTATTCTGATCCGCTGGATTGCTGCGATCCTGTTCCAGAGAAAGATTGTACTAAGATGTGGTAGCTGGTCCTCAGAACCGCAAACGATATGTCCAGGCTTGCCACAGGGATCACCGCTATCACCAGTCTTATTCAACGTTTATACGGTGATGATCACTGAGCAGCAGTTGAATGGAAAGGGAAGGACTTTGTCATTTGCTGATGACATTTTGATTTATCGACGAGGGCGTGATAGACAGGAGATCGCCAGCACAATGCACAAAGAACTCGATCGAATTGCCGCCGGGTGTGATGGTTCCAATGCCTATGTCAATCCTTCGAAGGCATCAGTGTCATGGTTCTCTTTGAACAATCACATTGTCAAGTCGGACTTACCAGAAGTGAAAATGCGTGATAATATATTGATCAGAACCAACGTTATGACGTTTCTCGGGGTGAGGATCGATCGCAGCTTGTCATTCAGGGAACACGTTGACCATGTGATAACAAAAGCACGCAAAGGTCTATCTGCAATGAGGATTATGGCTGCTTCCAATATCGAGCAAAGACTACTAATACTTCTATTCTACGGTCTGGTCCTTTCACCCATTGAATACGCTTTGGCCATCCTCACTGTCAGTGCTACCCAGATTGAAAGACTCGAAAAGGTGCAAAATGAAGCCATGCGCATTATTTTGGGATGTACAAGAGACACATCCTGTGAAGCAATGAGGTATCTACTTGACTTTCCAACAATGAACCAAAGGATCAGAATGTGGAGGGCTCGGGCATACCTCAAAATATGTGCTGATAAGAAACACACCCACTGCATCAAGCGCTTTTTAGTGAAAAGGGCGACAGACTGAAGAGGGGAAAATCGTGGCTAGGTCGGGCAGAAGATGTTATTAGGCAAATATGCAGCCTAACCGACATCATACCTGGTGCAGAATGGATACCTGTGCCTCAGGCGTTTATTTGTACATTTTCCTGTATTGTCACACTCAACAGGCGATGTAGAGAAGAGAATCCTGTTGCTGTTAATGCAGAGGTCAACGCTCTCATCGGTGAAAATTCAGACGAAGCAGATGCACTAATCTACACAGACGGATCCGTTATACGCCAAAGAAGAAGCGCATGGGCATTTACATCACGCTCAGCGGGCAGAACAGTCAAAGAAGCCAACGGTGCCTTCTCCGTGACAACCAGCAGCATGACGATGGAGGTGATGGCAGTGACGCAAGCGTTTGCCTGGCTTGAAACACAAAAATACACCCGCATATGTATACTCAGTGATTCAATGAGTATGATCCGGAGGGTTCAGGCAGGTTCAGTGCGAAGACAATGGCTTGAATCATTACAGAAGTCCACTGTGCGTGGAGTCACCTTTATTTTTGTTCCCGGACACGCAGGCGTCGATGGAAATGAAAGAGCTGACAGGTTGGCTGGATCCGCTATCACTACCGACGGTCGGCCTATGGATCATGCTGATATTATCAATGCCCTCAGAGAAATGGGAAGGATAGAGGACTTTGGTGGCAGTGAATCCACATCACTCGCCAGAATGGCAGACTTGGGAATTAAGATCGGCACAGCAAAAAACGAGACGCACACCGGACACGTCAGAAGACTTGTTAATCAACATAGAACTGGTACTATTAACCATCGGACGTTGGGGTTCATACTGAGGGGAGGATCTGAGCACCTATGGACATGTCCGGAGTGCAATGACGATAACCCAACTAACTAACTAACTAACTAACTAACTAACTAACTAACTAACTAACACTTGGTCTCTTGCCAGCTCTCCTCCCTTCTACTAGAACCAAAATCCAAATATAGAAATGTACAGAATGCCCATGTCACCTTTAAGGATAATTACTGCTAAAGATAAAATCGATGAAAACAATCAATGATTACACTAAGGGTACGATAAATTCACCCTTTTTTTTTACAGCACAATGCTAGTAAGATTATCTAAATATTCTTAGTACAGTTACTATCTGAATCACAACCCTAAAAGATATTAGCAAGGCAATGTTTTAAACAATAATATAAATTACATAATTGTATTAAATAAATAATTATATGATACATAAAATAACAAATATTTACTCTGAGAACTAGATGAACACTTTATATCCCCTAAGAGTTAAACAGGATAATTTTGTCAAAATGACTACTATTACTCATGCACTCTTCTGTGGCATGCATGTGTCTGCTCAAGGTATTTCTTATGTTCTGCTGGTCAACCCCCGGCTTCTCTTACCTAGTACGATGAGCTCCATTAAAGTTCTTTCCAACCCACTGCAATATTTGATACGGCCAAAGTATTTAGGTTTAGGTGTCAATGTTTGTTTCAAATTACCTGTTTGAAATACTTGAGAGAAAATTGGTACATGGGATCCACCTCTCCCATATCAGCGACCACAAAATACATGACAGAACCTCTCTCAGCAACAACTCTGTACTTTTCCCGAGCTCGACTGATCTTCTCTTCAGTAGCTTCAGCTTCAGTTAAACGCTGTTTGATAACTCCTGATGTCACCTACAGTTAGACATGACAAATAAATGAGAAATTCAGAAACATACATCCCATCAAGAAAAGGCAATGCAATAATTGTTTTGGTATCAAAAATGTCCTAATACTTTTCTGGTCATTCCAAAGATAATACAATATTATTGCTACAACAGGCAGGTGTTATACAAACCCAGAGTGTCTAAGTTATTAGTTTAAACACTCCTGTCAATGAAGAATACAATTGGCAAAATGATGGAAAAGACAGTTGTGAATACAATGTCATACCATCTTGAGCAGTTATGCCTCTTTCCACCCTCAATTAGAGGATATCGCCAAAACAGAGAGTCCTGTAGGAATGCAGCAATCTGTGCATATGATATTTATAAGGGATTCCACTCGGGAATGGAAACTTAAGTTGCTGCAACTGATCTTGAAGCAAGTGCAACAAGGTACATTATGTAGTGCCAAGGACATTAATCAACAGAAATGTTCAACTGAGGACATAGAACTTGGTGAGGAATGGGTATGAGTGCAGCAGAGTGATGTACATCCTTTTCAGTCTGCATAAAACTGGATAGAGAATGCAGGCAATAAAGCCCATTGGTGGTTGAGGCAGAAGTTCAAGCCCTAATTCTTGAAAATTCTGCTGATGCAGGTATTTACAATGATGGATCCGTCATTTGACACGTACAAAGCTCATGGGCTTTCACAGTTCTGCTTCATGAAAGAGCTGTAAAAGAATATAGCGGAGCTTTTGCCTCGACTAAAAGTAGTCCTGACTATAGAGGTGATGGCAGCAACAAAAGCACTGATGTGGCTAGAGACACACAATTTTTCCCACGTGTGCTTTCTCAGTGGTGCTAAAGAATATCCAGATCCAGACAAGATGGAACAGAAGAAAATGGTTGTAGTCGCTGAGGAAATTTCATCAGACAGAACTCAGTTTCTTTTTGTACCACAGTATTCTGGGGTAAGAGGGAATGAACGGGTGGACTGGCTTGCTGACAGGGCCATACATTGTACACGAAAATGTTTAAAATGTATGGACCAAGCCAATATTCTCAGTGCTCTCAAGGAGGCAAGACAAGTAGATGAGTCAAAAGAAGACAGGGAGTTGGCAACATTCAAAAGCTACAAGAATTACAGGTAAAAAGGGGTGTTATCAGACAAGAACACTATACAGGTAGCAAGAGAAGATTAGTAAACTAACATAGAAACGGCGTCATCAGTCATGACAAGCTGATGGATATACTGAAGATGGGATTCGAGTACAATGAGGATAATCTGTTGATTAACTAATTAATTAACTCCTATGCATATCTGCTAGCTGGAGTAGGAGCCTGACCTACTACTGAGTGCACCCACTGGGTAACGAATGGTGGAGTCTACTTCTTTTTCTCTTCTTTCTTCAGACCCACTGCCTCTCCAAAAAAGCATGTTGTAAGAGTCAACTAATTGGAGTGGCTTCCTTCAAAGCAAGTGGGTGTCAATCATCCTTCTTCTGCTGCTTCTTATGTGTTCGATCCGCAAAGGAAGCATCTTACCTTATGCTACTGTGTGTAGCTCACCCCATCATAGCTGCCTTATCAGCATTAGGGGCCCCCGGACAAACCAGTGTCATGGGGCCCCTACAACATCCATTATGTCAAGCCACTTGACATACACAGATCAGCATGGGCCCCTAATGCCTGAGAGGCAAGGAAACAACAGTCTGCATAAAAATAAGCTAGCTCCGTAAAATGGATGTGCACACAACACTTCGGTTCTGGAACAAGACTAAAGTCCAGAGGTAGACAAACAACCAGAACTTTCTGCACAAGTTTACAGCTGGTAAATGCAAAGAAGAAGAATTCTTAGAGTTCCCTATACAGGAACAACAACAACAACAGAAACTGATGTTTTGAAAGAGGCGAGGGCTTAAAGACAATTGATTACAAGCATCAGAAAGGAGCGGTCAACATTTTCCGTCATGTTATGAAAAGAAGGAAACGGAAACATGTTGTGTCTTCGAGAAATATCTGTGGAAAAAGAGACAGAGAAAGACTACATGAGACAATTCTTGTGACTTGGGATTGAGGTGTGACAGCAGACGAACTGATAATTAAAGATCGCAGATTGTGGAGAGGCATGATCACAAGTCGGCATGGCACTTGATGATGACGATAATGACTATGTTTTGTTTCTACATACCTTGGACTCATTCAGGACCTCTATGAGCTCCACATTATCCAGTATGTTTCCTTCAGATTCAAACAAAAGTTTCAAGATCCTGTCCTCTATTGCCTTCAGCTGGTTCTTGTCTGCATTGATTCTGACAATCAGCTGATTACGCTGCTCTTCCAGGTCAGGTCGTTCTAGACGCACAACATCACTATCATTTGGAGAAATAAAAGTGACTATTGAGGTACAGCTCTGTGACCTAGAGGTTAGTGAACAAGTTTAACAATTTCATGATTCTCAAGTACTAGGGTTTGATTTCCGCAGCAAATTTGGCATGTTCTTCTGGTTTTCAGACAGTCGTACAAGAGTTGTGCCAAGTAAGAAATTGGGGCCTCACTATGTAATAGTCACAAAGACAGCAGTGAGTTCATGGTAGGCAACCTTGATTATGGAGTCAACACATAATTTTCAGTTTATTTAACGTGCTGACTATATAACATATACACACATAATCTCAGTGGATCTAGGGAAAAAACAGGCTTAACTCTCATCCTGTAACTCTTTCTTTCCCAATGGGAAGTAAATCAGAGGAGATAAAAAAAAAAGAAAAAAGAAACATGAATAGAAGAGAACTGAAGAGAATTGAGGTGAAGAGAAGAAAAAAGTCAAAAGAAGGGAGTACAGATGAAGGAACAGCAACAGCTTTAAATAGAGGGAAAGCACGAGGTCACAAGATTTACCTGAGAAGCTGATTCTCTAGTCCCTTCTTGGTGACGGTAAAGTTGATGATAGTGACCTTGATGCAAACTTCAGGCAAATAGTGTGGGTTTGACAGTTTGGAGGTCATATAGAAACGGAAATTTCTGTCATAGTCAAGGTCTGTGTCTCCCAGACGGATAAGCAAGCGGCCACCCTTAGAAAATATAATAAAGTTAGATAGTCACAATTCCTAATTCATGGCAAACTAGTCACTCCATGATTCCTCTGTTCCTGTTTCAGTTAAATTAAGAATCACATCATAGCACTCAGAGCTCCCATAAGCACCCTGTCCCCATCATTAGCAGCAAACAGAGAGTTCAACATTCCGATGGCACAAGTAACTTTCTAAGCATATAGCCATCCTTTTCCTTGAGTGCTGGGCGTCAGCCAGATCCCCTCGTAATTCCTCAGCAGTGCCATTCTCCTCAGACTGCAATGATCTTTTTGTGCCTCTGCACAGTTCACTTGCTCCCAAAGGGCCCTCACAACATATAACTTAACATCCACCAATTCCCCACCAAGTGGTGCAGAACCAGCCAGTCTATCTGCCTGCTTGTTTCCCGTCACACCAGCATCCCTGGAGAAAATATCCTGTGCCAGTGAAAATCTCACTTAATGCCCATCGCTGCTCCTTGTGGAAAAAATTGAAACATTCTTTGGTCACGACAAAGCCTGTAGTATAAATACATACTAACTGCATAAGGCAAGCATTAGAAACATCAATTCACAAAAACGATCCAACACTTAAATTGCATTTCAATGTCAACAGAAGCAGCAGTTGAAACAAATAGCAGTTTTATCGGCACAACTAATTATGTGACAACAGGCCACCTGCCCTTTCGTTTAAATTTGCAGTTTATAACACAAATCACTTTGGAAAAAGTAAAAATGCATTCCAAATCAAACACACAGCAACAAACAAAATATCATCATGGAGTAAGAGTTACATTGCACTGTTCTGTCAAGTTTGTAGTGATAAAAAAAGTAGTAATTTTTCAAAAATATTTTGTTCAACTCTCAGGGTTAAAAGTGGTATATATAGAGTAACTTGAGTTCTTGGAGTATTTATTTGTAATTTAAAATGTATATATCATGCAGTTATTTATATGACCAAAATGTAATTTGTATTGTTTTACATTTTACTTTGATTTGGGTTGAGATTATGATAGTCATAAAAGCTCTTTTTAAGGAGTAACTTCAAAGATGATGACATCTTAAACTCTTTTAGTCTCAAAAATGCACTGTACATAATAGGCTATCTTCCAAATGGCCCAGACAACACACAGTCTGATACAATGAATACAACTAAAATATGGTCAGTTATTATAATATGCAGCATGGTTTGTGTTTCAAGCAACGGGTGTAAGTGCTGCCTATGCTGAAGTTATGCACTCATGTTCATTTCATTGTGGCTATAGATTTCACAGAATATTTTCTGTGAAACCTCATGGGTCTGAAAGAGTTAATGCTGACAAGTACAGACTCGTTTTCAAGGTGATGCCCAACAGACACCTTGCCATGAAAGGTGACACATGCAAGAGCAGAAATCTTTCCAAAGTACATTTCACCATTATGCTTTGCAAAAACTAGGCAGGAGAGAAATTAAAGCTACTGGTGATTGGTAAATTGGCAAAGCTATGCACATTAAAAAACCTGAAGTCTGATGACCTCCCCATTACTTGGAGATTTAAAACAAAATCTGAACGGATGACTGTTCTCTTTTTGAGGAGTAAGAAAAAGGGACATCAACCTAGAAAAGAAGAAACGGTCTATTCTAGTAGTAGTAGACAACTGTCCTAGCTATCTGGCTTTACACATGATGATGCTGATGATGGCCGTCATATTTGTTTTCTCTATTCTATGGCAGTTGTCAATCTACCTAAAAGGCACCAAGTTTTATCTGCCTTTGTCCTGTACTTATCCCTTGACCCACCTGACATATGAGACTACCATTAACGATGCTAAAGCTGGCATTGTTTTTGGGGACAATTGGGTTACCCAAAACCTTCTGTAGATTAAATAAATAAATAAATAGATTTAAACAAAAATACTTTAGCTCCCAGGTCAATATGAGTAAGATGAGTACCAGATAGTTTCATGGAAAGCAAAGGCAACTAGCATGATGCTGACTTTATCCCTCATTGAGTGCCAGTTGTTTTAGAGATGTATAGCTCTAGCACTATTTGCCTATGCCAAAAGCATAAATAACATATGCGTCCCAAATTTTGTTGTTGTTTTGAAGACCCACCTTGGCTCTTGCCAGGGGCCCTCATATAAAACAACCTGGGGGATGAACGTGGTTTCTGGGACCTGTTCCCGGGTGATACTCATCCCAATGGAGATATAAGGAGACATTGCATGCTACCATAGCCCAAACAGGAGATATAAAGAGACATAGCATGCTACCATAGCCCAAACAGGAGACATAAAGAGACATAGCATGCTACAATAGCCCAAACAGGAGACATAAAGAGACATGGTATGCTGCAATAGCCCAAACAGGAGACATAAAGAGACATGGCATGCTACAATAGCCAAAATAGGAGGTATAAAGAGACATGGCATGCTACAATAGTTCAACAGGAGACATAAAAAGATATAGCATACTACAATAGTCCAAACAGACTGACTTACAGACATAAAGGTTTGCTTCAGGAGGACAGGCTCAAGAGCTGGATCTAAGGTTTCTTCAACATCCTCCAACAGAACAGGCATACCAGTTCGAATACAGTTCTCCAGAGTTCTCAGGAACTGTCCGTCTGTCAGTTTAATGACCTTCAACCCATTCTTGGACTCCTTGTTTCGGATCCATCGATTGGCCTGAAATAGAACCAATTAACATAATACATGCATAACTGACAATAAAGTCAACTTTCTAAGAAATTATTTACTGTGTTTGCCACTTCTCACAAGGAATTTTTTTTTTTAACGATGTGATGCAGCTCTGCAAGTCAGAGGTTAGTGAATGGTGTCACAATGAAATCATAAATGTTTGCCTGGGTAAAAATTAGGTATAAATTGTTCTGACAGTTTTCAAACAGGGGTACAAGAGTCAAGCCGTGAAGAAGTCAGGGTCTCACCACACAATATTCCTATAGTCAGCAGGATAGATTACAGCCAGCCTCCATTGTGGAGATAGCACAGTTTTTTTAAGGCAATGAAGACCAGGACATCTTGAATATGAGGATTCAGGGCCAAAAGGTTGATGTTGTTGGCATGAACTGTGCAGGTTTTTTTTTTAACAGCCAGTGGGGTGGAGACTACTCAACAGTGGGATGGAGACTACACAACTGCATCAAGACACAATAAGTCAAATGGTTCGGATATGTGTAAAGACTACCACCAGACAGTGTACCGCTGACAGCCCTATCACTTAGATATACTGGAAGCAAAACAAGAGGTCAACCACACAAGTGATAGAATATCTGAGGCTGCAAATACCAGCATCTACGTAGTACACACCAAGGCTCACACATGATGCCTCTTAAAAACCTGATGCTAAAAGGTAGAGCAGGAGTAGAAGAAGAAGAAGAAGAATGAAGAACTAGCAGGTGGAGGAAGAGGAGAAGAAGAAGCCAAGGTCATGTCTGAAAACAAATCTGTTTAATGTCTAAATAAGTACCTTAAAATAAAACGAAAATAAAACAAAATTTCTTGTAGTCCATACCTGCTCTTGAGGATCAATCATCAGTGGCCAGCGTCGCCCCCTGGTGACCAATATGGCATTCTCAACAGAAACCTGATCACGAGGCAAACCATCGGCATTCCACTGACGTATTTCAAAGGGATCTGCCAGTACTGTTTCTAAGGTCATACCTTCAGTCACTGGAATCTCCAACTGCAAACATTGTTCAGTCCAACCTGTGTACAGATATTTTATCAATTAAGTAGAATAGTGAATAGGGGAAGACTGACACTTAACTATCCACTTGGGTTTCCGGGACACTTTTTTATGGGGGACAAAAAGAATAACTAACCCACTGCCCCCTTATAAACATGTTGTAAAAAAAGCAATTAATTACGGGTGTTGCTTTCAAAGTTGTAGTGCATCTGCCTGAGAAGTGAGGAACCAACATTTTGCATACAAAATAGCTAGATCTTTAAAATGGTTAAAGGTTAAAGTTAAGAAAATCGACTTCATTGCACCGGATTTGATCCTATATGGCTTGGTCTCTCTCTGCAGAACTGCTGGCCGCCTGCAGAGATCATTGCACAGAGCATGAACTCCGTAGCCCTGGCAACGATCCACAGGGATCTCCATAAAAATTGTACTAGTGAACTGAACGACGCAGTCATGAAATGAACTGATCACTTTCAGAGGGTAAGGAAAACAGCTAGACTTCGCCATGGAGACCTGTTATTCAATGCAAAACTCAAGTTCTGAAACAAGATCAAAGTTCAGAAGTGGACGAACTACCAGAACTTTCCACCAGAGTTTACAGCCAGTGAACGTTAAGCAGATGAAGAAGTTGTAACATCTGGTACATGAAGTAGAAGAAGATGAATGCTGTAGTATTAGACATCCAACAAGATGTGACCTACAAGGTTCAAACATCCGCCACCAATGGCCCCACTCGGGGAAGCAACACCTGATGTATGGTTTCCCTATACTGTCACATTAAAAGTCTCAATGTAACATTAAAGATGTCCACATACTGAAGAAGATGGTGCCCATTTGTGTGGTCATCGACATCCTGGAGTCCTGTACCTCTTGATCTCCAGAGGGTGCAGCCTGTGATGAATGGGAAGCTCAACATACGGATGTGAGGTTTAAGCAGTTATGTGCAGCACTTGACAATTCCTTGGGTGAGCCCAGGTTCAGAGCATCATGTGTCAGCTCTATATTTATGGAAGCCTCCTTGGATGATGGAAATACCCAAGATCGGCCCCTGCCTTCCCTTGAGGGCCAACCAGTCAACATGCGGTTGCTCTGGATGGGCTCTCCAAGGACAACACCTGCAGATAAAGAGTCAAAGAAACCATACAAATACTGCAAAGTTATATCACATGAAACTACCCTGGAAGGCTAACCAGGTGAACAAATGTCCGAAGAAGTCAGATATGTCAACCGAAAGCCTCAAGTACTGCAGCTATGTTGTAAATAGGCTCAAGCAATTATGTCACTCGAACAAACGAAAAGATACAATTTTACGGAAGAATGTTTACAATTCTTTGGACAGCCAGAATGAATAATACAAATGTTTTGATAGAGGCAAAGACCCAAAGACAGCTTATTGCAAACATTAGAAAGAGGTGATCATCATTTTCTAGCTATGTTTTGAGATTAACGAGAGTGGAGCATGTTGTGACTACTGGAAAGGTTTAGAGAGAGAGAGAGGGGGGGGGGGGAGAGAGAGAGAGAGAGAGAGAGAGAGAGAGAGAGAGAGAGAGAGAGAGAGAGAGAGAGAGAGAGATAGATAGAGAGAGAGATACAGAGAAGAAGACAACAAGAGAATATTCTGGACAGCCTTTTGTCATATCATGACATGGTGTCAGCACATGAAATGATACATACTGTTGGAGATCTTACATTTTGGTGAGGTATGATCATCTGCAAGTCAGCAAGGCATTTTTTAATCTTCTTAGCTTTGAGTGGGTGTAAACTCTGGTGGAAAGTTATGGTTGCTCGTCCATTGTTGGATTTTGGTCTTGTTCCAAAATTTGAGTTTTGTGTGCACATCTCTTTTACAGATCTGGTTTATTATATGCAGACTGTTGGTTCATGGCCTCTCAGGCAGATGTACTATAACTTTGAAGGAAACTTCCCTAACTAGTCACCTTGTATACATACTAGTTTGGGAGACAGTGGGGTCTGTTTTTTTTTGTTCCCCCAGAATGGGGTTCCCACATAGGAAAGCAAGGCATTTAAGAATAACTTCTGATTCTCTAGTCCTGTTCTGCCTTTCAGCAATGGGCTTTGAAGAAGCATTGAGGATGACTACAAACTCAAAAATACTGTTTCCTAGGAGCTCACCTTGTACAAGCTCCTGTCTGTAGCTAGCAGTAAAAGCACCATAGTAGGCAACACAGGCAGCTGAGATAAACACATCACCAACCACATTGTTGATCTGAACCTCAAACTGGACCACGCTTTCCTTCCAGCGGATCTGGCATTTGGGAGTCACATGAAAGAGTCACATTTCTGGATTAAGTGAAGTTAATTACAACAGTGGTTCAGTGAACAAAAAGTAGTACATTATATTACACATAACTACACCATTTATATAACAGTAGGAATCAGATGTGGCAAACCCTGAATCCTCTCCTTTAACCAGCTAGGCTGGGAGACAGATCAGATCTTTTAGGATGTTTCACTGTTTCAGATTGCCTGTGTGTGAGGTCTTGTACAGACTGGAAGAAGAATTATGTTCTATTACATTCTGTAGACTGCACATAGTGAATACACTAAAACAAAGCAAACTCCAAACCACAAAGTGGCTAGTGCACTTGCTTGTTGATTATTTGAGCTTAGTTCAAAAGAGTTTTTTTTTTTTTAAATACCAGTTCTCCCAGTTTTACCCAACCTATAATGGGTAACAGGAAATGTGATGGGAAGAAAAGGCAGTCAAGATGATGATCAAATTACCAACAGAATACAACTTGATACATACAAATATGGGGATAACACCAAAAACCCAAAGATCTCAAGGTTTGGAAATTTCACTAACTTTTTACTTAGTCATACACTTTTTTGGGGAGACAGAAATGTGGGAAACTGGCAGAAATATGAAATTACAAATACAAAAGGAGTTTTCATGCCATTAGGAAAATTTGTGGAAGTAAAAGAAAATTAAAATCAGTATTAAACTTAAAATATTTAACTCTAAAGTCAAATCTGCTGTATTGTCAAATCTGCTGTATAAAGATAAAAAATCTGCTGTATAAAGATAAAAAATCTGCTGTATAAAGATAAAAAATCTGCTGTATAAAGATAAAAAATCTGCTGTATAAAGATCAAATATCGAAAAGTAAAATAATGACTAAAAAGCTACACTATTTTCATCATCTGTTGCCTGCATAAAACAGAAGTAGTAAAATGGTATCACAATAGTCACTAATGTGGAGCTTTTGAAGAAAACTAAACAAACTCCAGTGAATCAATTGTTGAAGAAAAGACATAGCACTGAATAAGAAATAACACTGAGAATACTAGAGAACAATTTAACTAGAATGTCTTTACACTGGTGCCCACAGAAGCATAGAAATAAAGGCAGACAAAGATACACATAAAGAAGGGAGTTAGGGAGGAAAGCTGAAAAGATGCAAAGGATATGGGGCAGGCTGCATGTGACAACACAAGACAGGACAACTTGGAATGAAATGGTTGACGGCCTATGCCCCACTGGGGGATAGTGTGCGAAAGAGATAATTATGACAGTTAATGAATACAGTATAAGCTTCAGGTTAAAATATTTCAGGAAAATGGCTACCTGTTCATCAGCCAAGGCTGTGGTGAGTTTTGAGGATCTCTTCAAGCGACCAGCTGTTGTTGCGATATTCCTTTCCAGCTTCATCTTCTCAGCCACGCTATCATCATACGACTTTTGCAGCTGAGCAATCTTCGCCTCTACGGCTGCCAGCTTGCTCTGTTTCTCCTTCAGCAGGGACATAACTGTGTCTAGCTCCTGCTGAGCTTTGGCCAACCTGGCAGATCAACAATTCACATGTGTAGATATTGGTTTTTAACATTCACATTAAATCTTTTTTTTAACACACACATTAAATGCACTGTAGAAATTAGATTCATATCTAGGAAATGAATGCTAAAGATGGTGTTCTAAAGATAAGAACAAACAGAAAATGTATAAACAGCATCTTTCACCTGTGACATAACAGCCTGCATACTATTTAAAAAAACAAAAGGGAATACGCCCACTGAAAGGAACATAATTATGTCATAGTTTTGCATTCAAAATCACCCTATTTTTCATGTATAAGACAATAAGGTTTCCTAGATTTTTTTCCAATTCAATATTAGAAGCCGTTTCTTAATTCTGGGCTTGAAAGAAAAGGCTGCATCTTCTACATGGAAACATATAATAATATATAATAAATTTAGTATATAAATTAAAAAAAAGTAAAGGTCTTTTTTCAACACCTTTAGGCGGATAGGGCATATAGGGCTAGACCTATATTTTTATAGACCACTCGGCACAATATGGGTGATGCGATCAACATTATGCCAGCCGCCTTTACTTCCTGGGACTGCACCCGGTACCCACTCAAGGCTGGGTTAACCTGAAAGTCAAGGTCATTTTTTTGAAAAAGTCCGGCTCCAATATAGTATATAGTCTCAATTATTTACCTGCACTGAACGGCAGATAACACCAGACTGGTTTAGCCATTATTAATGCCCCAATTACAACTTTCTTTTGAAGTTTATCTGCAATCCAGACTAAGATTTTGAAATCATTGGTTAAAGGTTGAAGTTGAGAAAATTGACCTCATTGCACCGGGTTTTATCCCAAATGGCTCGGTCTCTCTCCACAGCACAGCTAGTCACCTTGCAGGAGCGCAGCACAGAGCACAACCTTCCTAGCTCCATCGACAATCCCAAGTGATCTTTGTAATTATTGCACTCGTATACTGAACATGTGCAGCCGCAATATGAATCTACGACCCTCAGAGTGCTAGACATACGGCTTGACCACTCCACCACAGAGACCCCTATTCTTAGGTAGTCAAACCTTTAGGGAGCAATCTGGAGGGGGGAAACGGTCCATACACGCTCAAGAAATTTTAACATATGACGCACAAGAACATGCGTGGGAAAGGAGCTCGTAATTATTAAAAGGCAAGACACTTGATTTGATTTGGTTTGACCCCACGTTTTAAGTTTCTTTCTGCAGAGTGGACAGTCACCTGCCAAGAATTTCACACAAAGCACAACACTCCGTAACTCTAGTAACCACCTCAGGAATCTCTTAAATACCTGCACTTACAAACAAACCATGAGCACCAAAATGAAACTGATGACCTTGGTGGCACACAAAGTGCCAGGTGCACTGCCATCATAGAGCTTGCAAGTTTTACTGTCCAGTCAATTTCATTGGCCAAACACAATATTGGAGGCCAGAGTAGTGCAGCAGCTAGACACTTGCAAGCTTGCCTCAAAGATCAGGGGTTGAAATCCAAGTCAATGTGAATTTTTTCCCAAATAAGCCATCTTTACTTCCCAAGACACTTCCCATAAATCATTTTAGGCTGAATCCACTTGACAGCCTGTCAGTTATAAAATCCCCCCCTCTCCCAATACAGACTTGAACCCGAGAATTCCAAGACTTCTAGATGTACGTCTAGCCACTGAGCTACAGCGACACTCACATAAATGAAGCACAGCTTCATTATATATTGCAATTTGCCAACTTGTACATTCCCTGCTGGAACAAAAACACACACATACACAAAACTAGCAATGAACAACAGCATAACACAATAATATGCAAGATAACGATCACTTACGCAACTCGCTTTGGCTCAACAGTGCGGAAAACTTTAGCATACAGATCCATAGCCCTGACCCACATTACCATGGATTTACAAGCCTGTCAGAAAAGGAAGGAACAGGAAATCACAGGTTAACATCACCATGGATTTACAAGCCTGTCAGAAAAGGAAGGAAATCACAGGTTAACATCACCATGGATTTACAAGCCTGTCAGAAAAGGAAGGAAATCACAGGTTAACATCACCATGGATTTACAACCTGTCAGAAAAGGAAGGAAATCACAGGTTAACATCACCATGGATTTACAAGCCTGTTTCAAAAGAAAGGAACAGGAAATCACAAGTTAACAGCACTGTATATCATAAAACATCAAAGAATCAAAAAGTTTGTTCATCTGGTCAGAATGCAACATAACAGTGTATTACTTAAGAACAGCAGGCTACAAGTCGAAAGGCCGACCACGAAAGAGATGTGTGGTGAAAGTACCAAAGATCTCAAAGATATACTTGGCTTTCACATGAATTTAGTGATATAATAATGTGGGGGGGGGGGGGGGGGAGTGGTCCTCCAACTCTCATATTACCTTGCGTCCCCCCCCCCCCTCTTTTCACCCCTCCCTCCTGCTAAAAAGGCAACGTTTCATCTTAGAAACAGACAAAAACTGTACACTGATTAGAGAGACTACATTTAGTCAAGATGTTAACTCTTTGAGTCCCAAGGAACGCATCATACGTTCATAGGTTCCTACCTAGAAGCCCAATGAATGCATGATGCGCTGATTTTATTACTTTCTTTACTACCCCCTGGGCCTGTGATGCTAAACGCCCTGGGACTCAAGGAGTTAAGAAAGACAGGGTGAAATTTGTGACTGTATTTGTACATGTCATTTCCCATTCCTTCGTTGAGCTTTCTAGTCACAGCCAATGTTGTATTTAGTAATTTAGCAAACCCCAAAATAATTGACTTTTATGACATGCTTGTTAGTAGGGGAGGAGAGGGGGAACTGGGTCTATTCTCCCCCACCCCACCAAAATTATGGGTCCCAGAGCTAATATGATAGTGAGGAGGTTGGCATAAATAATTAGATGGTTTAACTAAACAGCATTGGCAAGATAAAAAAAAAACAACAAAGACCTGATCCAAGATTATGGTGATTGTGTGAACCATGACTGTCTATGCTTACCAGCATCTTCGTATATGGTAATGATGATCCATCCAAAACAAATTATCCGCCACTCATTTTACAAGATTGGGTCTACAGATCACCCCTCAAAGATGTAAACAGCAGGGAATGGAGAAAGAGATGCAACAATATAATTCATAATCTGCTTAAATCACCACTGATCACCAGCATCATGGGGCTGACAGATGGCTAATAGATTGAAATCACTGGGCACAGAGAGAGAATGTCAAATGACAGAGAGGTCAAGGTTAAAGTTAAAGTTAACAAACCCATGACCTTTACAGCGCAAGGCAAATGGCTAAAGAGGGAAAAAAAACTGTCTACAAAATGGAGGTGAATGGCTGTAAGCCAAAAAGCAGAAAAATAAGATGGTCTAGGGCTAACAGATTGAAATCACTGGGCACAAAGAGACAATAGAGAGAATGGCAAGTAACATAGAGGTCATGGTTAAAGTTAACAAACTCATGACCTTTAGAGCGCGAGGCAAATGGCTAGAGAGGTAAAAACTGTACAAAAGGGAGGTGAGTGGCTAAAGACCATGATGCAGGAAGATAAGATGGTGGAGAGATAATATCCAAGCAGACCTACAAACACCTGGAATCACCAGCTGGAAAGAGAAGGCCAACTAACCCTGGTTTCCAGGTCAACCATCACTAACAAATGCCTACCAGGTAATGCCCTGGGAAGTAAAGCTGGCTGGTGTGATGTTATTCACCCCAAAGTGTCGACTGGTCTATAAATTACGATTAGGGCAGTAAATGCCTGATTTGTCACTGGCATAAGAATAGGCCTTTACTATTTTCTTTATAATAAAAATAATTGTAATACTAGAATACTGTAATGCTTGCCAGGAAGGCTAGCCTTGGCCTGTAAAAGTCAGAATTGTCAGAGGGAGAAAATATAGCAGCCAGACTGTAAAATGGTAGAGGGTAATTATAATTGTGTCCTCAGATGAAGGAGGAGGAGGAAGAAAAAGAAGATTAAAAAGAAAAACTGATGCTTCAGCATATCATAAAAATATATAGCTCCAAAACTTTAGGAACACCACAGTGCTTCAGCAATTTAGTGTTTTATATCACTTCAGAAAATTAGAATTATATGTTTTAGCATATTACAGGATGTTAATGCCTCATTACTGAGTTTGGCAGCTCCAAGATAAAAGAAAACGAAGGCAGGAAAACAAGACTGCCTGCAAAATCAAACTACTAAGAAGTTGAACAGTAAGTAGGTGAGCTGCACAAGATAGAAAAACTAGGATGACATGTCATGAGATGGTTGAGGGCCTATGCTCTACTGAGGGATGAAGTTCAGAAAACAAAGATGAACAGAATACTCACTTTAGAAACTTTTTCCACTGCATCAGGTACAAATTTAGGGTTGTCTATATACTTCTTCAGCGATCTCAGTGTTGATTCTGGGATGTGATCCTTGTCATAGTCTGCTAACTTCTTAAGGAAGTTTGCATCTCCCAGCATGATCTTGGCACTGGCCCAGTCAGTTCTACCAACATAAACAGTATGGGGTTAAAGTCATGACAATCCAAGGGTATACTATGATGGAGAATAAGGTAAATAGGAGATTAATTCTTTCTGACCCAAGCACAGCATGTGTGTGTGTGTGTGTGTGTGTGGATATTATTCATGTATACCACTTACGTCGGAGAATAAGGTAAATGGTAGATTAATCCTTTCTGACCCATGCAGTGTGTGTGTGTGTGTGTGTGTGTGTGTGTGTGTGTGTGTGCGTGTGCGTGTGCGTGCGTGCGTGCGTGCGTGCGTGCGTGCGTGTAATATTCATGTATACCACTCAACAAGTTTATCTATGTTTCATATCTTAGTGGAGGATTCATTTTAAATAATCCTAGACAATATATTTGTTCCCTAAAAGGACTGGGTATTTATATTCTGTTGAAGTTGTATACCCATAACTTTAGAGTTTTTTGTTGTTTCTTGTCTCATCCACTAGACACTAAGATGCACAGAAGTAGATTTCCACAGGCTGTCATAGTCTAAGAAATATTAATAAGCCAAATCTTAATAGTGGATGTGCACGCATAACTTAAATCCTAGAACAAAGTAAAAGTCTAGAAATGGATGTACAAATAGGATTTTTTGCCAGATTTTCAATTTCCCCCTTTTCCCCCCTCTTACCCTTTCTCCTCTTTTCCTTCCCCAACTTTCCCTTCCCCCTCTTTTTCTTCCTTCTCTTCCCCCCTTCCCTTGCCTCCTTTCACATGCCTCCTTTCCCTTCCCTCATTTCCTTTCCCATTTTCTCTTTCCACTTTCTTCTAACCCCTTACCCCTCCCTCTATCCCTTTCCCCTATCCTCTATCACTTACCCTATCCCTTCCCTTTCAACTATCCCTCCCCCTTTCCCTACCTCTTTCCATTCTCCATATCCATTTTCCCTTCCCCCTGTGGTGAAGTGTCAAAGCTATTTATCTCATACCCTGTAGGTCATGGTTACATTTTATGGATTGTGTCATTTGGGTTATGAGAGCAATTTTACTTCCTTCCCTGGGGATCATCAGGACAAGTGGGTGTTACCACATGAAAGATGCATGCTACCACCTGAAAGATATGAAAGATGCCATTTGAAAGATGCATTTTGCCTTAAGAAAAATGCATGTTGCCACAGGAAAGATGCGTGCGGCCCATTTATCAGATATTCACATGCACTAAAAATTTATCAGATGTTTACACCCACTAGCAGTTTCTCATACATTTACATTAAATAACAGTTTATCAGATATTTAAACCCACTTGTAGTTTACATCCACAAGTAGTACATCACAAAAAATATCATTAAAACATTTGATTACTTCTGATTCAGGAGAATTGCCACGGCTTCCATGACAGTTTGCACCAGCTCAGGAGGTTTGGTAAACACTCTGATTTCAGCAATGTCCTTTTTGTCTAAGGCATCCAAAGCCTACAAGAAAAAAACAATGTTAGTAGAAAAAAATGTGTACTGAACTAATAATGAATGTAAATGTTTGATAAGGATGAAAAGGTCTAGTAAACCACTAGTGGAAATAGAGGGTGTGAATATCTGATTAACTAGTAGTGGGTGTGAATATGTGATAAACTACTAGTATGTGTGAATGTCTGATAAACTACTAGTGAATTTCAATATCTGATAAACTACTTGTGGATGTAAATCTATGAGAAACTACAAGTGGGTGTAAACTGATAAACTTTGAGTGGGTGTGAATATCTGATAAACTACTGGTGCATGTGAATATCTGATAAACTACTATGGATGTAAATGTCTGATAAACTTTTAATGGGCATGAATGTCTGATAAACTACTAGTGGATGTCAATGTATAAGAAACTACTAGGGGATGTAAATGTCAGATAAACAACTAGTGAATGAGAACCTTGAGTTGAGTTAAGTCAAGAACTGACATCACAGCACTTGAGGCATTCCCATGTGTGCTCTGTCCTCATCTTCAGCAGCCAGCACAGAGTTCCAGTACCAATGGTACCAGTCGTAATCTGGTAATATGTCAATCTTGCCTTTCCTCTGAGTGTAGTGAGCCAGCTAAACTCTAAAGTTACACTAAGGTGCCTCATTCTCTCACTTCTGACTCCGTTGATTTTTCCCAAAGGGTCCTGACCACATTTGCCTTGTCATGCATCCGTTCACCACCCAGTGGTGCAAATCCAGCCAATCTGTCTGCCAGATGTATTCCCCACCATGATGGCAGATCCTGGAGAAAAGATTCAAAGAATACTCACTACCCGTGACCTTCCCAGTGAAACTTGCCACTCTGCTAAAAGCATCCTTGTCTTCACCTTTCTCATCATGCTTTAAGAGTCTGTTACAATTATGACATGTGCATGCATTTTGCTCTCTAGCCACCAGAAAGCTGCAGTTACCACCTCCATTCTCAAGCTAGATGTTGTGGTATCGTACACCCGGCTGTCCCGCACTAAAGATTTTCCACTGGCTTTCCGCAACAAACCCCCAGGCACGTCTCTTCCCTCTCAACACTGAAACATCTGTATAGATAATCAGATCATCTGGGCGAGAATTTTCATGAATCAACTGTTGGACTCCCACCTCCGCAGCACCTGCTGGCCACTCTCTGCACTCCCGGCCCAATGTGATCACAACCCTACATAGGTCAGACTTTTCTCCTGGTACTCTGACCCACTCATCTCCTAGCCCAATTTTCTCCAGCATGTATACTTGTCCGATTGCATCTTCTGCTTAAGCCATCCATGGTTTTTCCCTTTTCAGCCTCTGACCCTTTTACCTGCAGACAAAGCTTCATACAGAGAGTGCTCTTTATCTGCAGCTACTCTGAGGTCTGACTTAACCTGCAGCATCTTTAGCCTATCTGCAATAGTCGGCAATGCAAGAATATTTCACATGCACAAAACTGGGGTGTTTCTTGTACAATCCTGGATCAACTGCATAGTTTCCTTCTGTTGAGTTGGATGTAAATGTCTGATAAACTGCTAGTGGGTGTAAATGTCTGATAAACATTTAATGGGTGCAAATGACTTATACACTTTTAGTGGGTGTGAATGTCAGATACATTTCTACAGGGTATGAATATCTGATAAACTACTAGTTAATGTGAATATCTGATAATCTACCAGCAGATGTGAATGTTTGATAAACTACCAGTGGGTGCAAACTAATGGTGGGTGGAATTGTGTGATAAACTACTAGTTGGTGTGAACGCGTAATAAATTGCTTGTGTATGTTAATGACTGTAAACTACTATGAATATGGATGTACCTTGATTGCAGCCTCCAGGGCAGGAAGTGCTTCTGCCAGGTCTCTCTCGGCATCATCAGCAATGGCTTGTGTTTCCTCAGCCTTGACCTTTGCTACAGCCTCATCCTCCATCACCACTTTACGTACCTACATTTCAAATTCAATCACCGGGAATGAATAATAAAATCATCTTCTTTCTTCTTTTGCTTTTCAGCCAGATTTCTTTTATTTATTATGACTGTGTGTGCATGTGTGTGTGTGTGTGTGTGTGTGTGTGTGTGTGAGGGGGTGGGGGGGGGGGATGAACATACTGTGCAATGATTCAGATTTAGGAAAAAATGTCAAACATGTGAGGACAGAGAGAGTTAAAGTAATGACTAGCTAATTATGAGAGTATAAAACTGGTTCACTGAAATTGAAAAGATTGAAGCAGCAGGCAGCTTGTATTTGGGTGAATTAAACAAATCCTTTGTGTGATTTTTAAAAAAATACAACATGTATTTACAAAGCCTCAGCAACTTTTAAAAGTGAACAAAATATGGTACTCTAAATTGTATATTTTGAAAGACAAGGATGGAAAAAATAAGGCTGCAGACTAGAACAGAACAGGTGAATAGATAAAACATATGGTGCTAATATGATAGTAGCTTCTTCTTATTGAAAGAGTTAATGTAAAAATGTTAACAGAGTTGGTTAAAGTAAAACAGGAGTTATATTAATATTATCACATAATTATTTAATGTAACAACTAGATGAGATAGATCTTTCTTTAATTTTTATGTTCTTTCTATGTAACTCTCTTTTAACTTAACTTCTTTTTGTTTCTATCAAACTGTCTTTTAACCTAACTAATATTCTTTCTATTTAACTTTTCTATCTTTTTTTTCTTTCTCTCTCTTTCTCTCTCTCTCTCTCTCTCTCTCTCTCTCTCTCTCTCTCTCTCTCTCTCTCTCTCTCTCTCCCTCTCCTTGCTTCTTTGTTTTGCTTCTTCTTCTTTTTTTCTTTTTTTAATATTACCAGAGATTCTTCTTTTTTCTTTTACATGTGTCTTAAAAAGTGTTGTTTTCTGGCTTAGATCTAGGTAGTGATATCTGTACCTTTCATCCCAACACATCTGATTTCAACAAACTCATAAATTAGTTCCCATTTACAAAATGCTTGTTAGGAGGTATTGGGTATGTTATCTGTCCCCCCCCCCCCCCCCCTCCCACCACACCCCTTTTTTCAATCCCCCAATGAAATTTAAATGAAATCACACCTGATCAGCTTTTTCCTGGTCAACTATGAGATCTTTCATCAATTTTTCAGTATCTGCCGACTTCTTCTTCAGTTCTGGCTCCAAAGCTATCAGCTCTTTTTTCATGGAGTCAACAAGAGTGTTTGTTTCCAGGAGTTTGGTGAGTCCATTCTTGACTCTGTCACGGGCGTTCTTCAGGGATCTGAAAGAAATCAACAGAGATAGAAAGACATTTTGAGGGCAGATACACTTCACTATAATTATCTTTTCTTCTTCTTCTGCATTTGGTCTTAAAAAAACAGTTGGCAGATTTTATTGTGGTTTACAGCTAGGCTGCGATATCTGGGCCTTTCAGCCCAACACATCCAAGTACAGAGTATAAAACTAAACCCTGAACTTCAGAGCATGAAACAAACAGCATAACCACCTCACCACAGAGACTGCCTGAATTCTTTCCTTTGTCCGTACTCTGCTTGGTGCCGATAGGCATTGCTACTTAACAGATGATCACTCTCTGAGCTAGTGCTCGGATGCCCGGTATGCTGCAATGTTGTGAAGTGTTCATCTTCTTCTTGGTCATACACCACCTCTTAGTGTTTCTACTTCAACATACATTGGTGAAACAGGTCTACGGCTGGCTGACAGGTTCAGGCAACATCTTTTGAATGTGCAAAATGGTGCTCTGAAACCAGTACTGTTGCCTTCAATTCCCAGGATGACCAAGGTGTTCAAGACATGGAGATGACAGCCATTAAATCTAGCCACTCCAGCAACAGAGTCCATAAGTCTCTTGAGAATCACTTTATTTGCACTCTGGGGACTTTAACGCCCTCTGGATTGAATTGCCAACACAGTTTCATTTAAACTCCTAGGGGATTGAACTGCCCTCACAGTTTTATCTCTAACCTTCCAGTTATGGCCCCTGGTACTCCACGTGTAGGCATTCGGCTGAGAAACCATGATCCGGCTGCTTTGAGATACCAACTAAGTGATTTTGTGTATTTGTGTAGTATTGTTTGATATGTATGTGCTAATGAAGGCTCCATAGCCGCAAAATTCACGTTTTGTTTGTATTTGTTATATTGTGAAGCTTGCTAATATACTTTTCGTTCAGTTTAAATTTTTTTCTTGATACTTCAACTGCTGTGTGAAAGATGGGTGTCTGGAAGGGCCGAATGTAAGATGGGCCTGCGTGTCCAATTTGTGATCCTTTGAAAATAAAGTTCATTACTGCCATGCTGTACACTCTCACTGATGGCATTACTGAATTAATTCTCATTTAATGGCCAAACTAGTTCAGTCTTTGTTTTTCAATTAATTTAATTACAGGTGTTATTCCAATATTTCTTAGAATTTCTTCATATCTCACATAATCTATTCTAGTTTTGTTCTCAAAACGCTAAACCATTTCAGTCTGTTTTTCATTAAGTTCTTGTAATTTGTTTTCTTCTTACATGATCTCTTTTACAGGGTGTACTTTTTAATGACCATATTTTTTTTGAAAATATTTCTGTTCCTATTTTTGTAATCACCATCTGTGGAGTTAGAGCAACATCTACTTCTATACATAGTATGACTTAATTATGGGCAGACTGTTGGTTTCTCACATCTCAGGCACATGTATTCTAACTTTGAAGAAAACACCCATAATTAGTCATGACACACTTGTTGGGGGGGGGGGGGGGGGGGGGGGGGGGGGGGGGGGGTGTGGGTGGGGGGGGGGGGGGGTGGTGGGGGGGTGGGGGGGGGGGGGGGGGGGTGGGGGGGGGGGGGGGGGGGGTGGGGGGGGGGGGGGGGGGGGGGGGGGGGGTGGGGTGGGGGGGGGGGGTGGGGGAGGGGGGGGTGGGGGGGGGGGGGGGGGGGGGGGGGGGGGGGGAGTTGGTATTTTCTCTTTCCCCTAAATGGGACTTCTGAACCCAGAAGGGAAGGCTTAGGGTCAATTATCAATAACTGTATTGATATGGATTTGAACTCAGACCTGCAGGCAAGGTTCTAACCACACTGCTTTCCTGCAACCCTGCAAGACAAACTATGGGGTACCTCAAGCCCACTATCTTGTTTGTGACCAATGCTGAAATAGACACATAGCAAATGATCAGTGAAATACAAATGGCTAAATAAATGGATATATCATCATCATCAAGTGCTGTGCAAACTGGCATGGGTATGACTATATACAATCTGCTATCTTCAAATCTACAACAGCATTTACCAGTGCATGTGCAGACACCCCTCCATGTCATGACAGAAGGCTGCCAAAAATATTCTCACACTGTCTTCCTTTGTGTCTTTTCAAGAGATCTTTCCAGTGGTCACAACATGTTCCACTTTCCTTTTTCTCATTATGATGTTTGATAAGTTGCCTTCAAGCCCTCCCTTCTTCCAAAACATCTGGGTTGCTTTTTTTGGCTTTCTAAGGAATTCTAAGAATTTTCTGCAAACCACATTTCCAAGGCTTCAACAAACTGTTTGTCTTGTTTATTAATTATCCAGGATTCACAGCTATTTGTTAACACTAGCTCAGTACTGTAAATGGATATATATATATAGTGCTTACTTACCTTGTCCTTTCCTGCAGCATGGTTAAATAGAGATTAATAAGCTCCAGGTAGCTGGTCGGCGTCGTGTAGAAATGGCGTTTCAGCTCTAGATAGAAGCGGTCAGCCATGCTGGACACACTCATATGTATGTCTACACACATCTCAGACACGCTTTGCTGAAAGGACCCGATAGTCAGTCATTATAAAGCATGTTATGGTTCCTGTTTCATCATGTCCAGGCCTCTAAACATTTGATTGTGACAAACATCATCATCAAGTGCCTTGCTGACAAAAGGCTGTCAAGAAACTTCTCTTCACTATCTTTTTCTATGACTCTTGTACCGGATCTAAAATCCAGATACAGAAGGGTAATGAAATGCCCGTGCAATCTTTGAAGATAATTACTTCTCACTGTAAAAGCGGATGATTAATAGAAATATACATGGCATAATAAATAGTGACATAATGTTAGTATGATTTTCTAAATATTCACTGTACAATTTCTATCATAAGCACAACCCCAAATGGTGTAAACAGGACAATATTTTTAAATAATAATATAAAACACTTACATGTCTTAAATAAATTATTACACGATATATAAATCATATACTATGAAAACTCAATAAACACTATATTTCCCAATTATAACCCTTTGGTTGAACAGGATATTTTTGCGAAAATGACTGCTACTACTCTATCTCTGTTCCATAAATCTTTCCAGTTGTCACAAAATTTTTGTTGTTCACTTCTTAAGTTGTCGAAAAAATTATGACAGCTTTTTTCTGATGTTTGTAATCAGTTGTCTTTGGGACCTAACTCCCTTTTTTTTTAAACATTTAGATTACTCATATTGGCTGTCCAAGGAATTTTAAACATTCCTCTGTGAAATCACATCTTTGAGCCTACAAACAGAGCTACAAACAGATCAGGTTCCTGAAGAAGTTAAGCATACAAAAAAGTTTACCATAACTTACAGTTTATTAAATGTTTACCTTCTGGGTAAACTTTTTCACTTTTTTTTATTACTTTTTTTTTTAGCCAATGGTTGTCCTTACCTTCAGATGGTTCTGTGCTCCCAGATCTACATTCTCAAAAGAGGATTTGGAAACCCCAAGAAGAGCTTCTTTGGGCCACTCCACGAACCAATCGATGGTGCAGCAATTTACAAGCGATGGGAACATTCTGCACCGGCTTCTGAATGCTGACCCCACAGGTGACATGCACAACACAATGTGAAGGTTGTTTCTGGTGAGTGAGTGCGTGAATGAGTGAGTGAGTGAGTGGGTGGGTGAGTGGCAAGTGAGTGAGTAAGTCCACAAGTAAGTGGGGGATAAATGAGTCAGTGACTGAGTGAGGCAGCAAGTGAGTGAATGAGGAAATAAATGAGTGGGTGAATTAATTAGTGACTGAGTAAGTGAGTAAGAGAGTAAGCAAGTACCCAGTGAATTAGTGAGTGAGTGATGACTGATGAGTGATGACTGATGAGTGATGACTGAAGAGTGATGACTGTTGAGTGATGACTGTTGAGTGATGACTGATGAGTGATGACTGATGAGTGATGACTGATGAGTGATGAGTGATGACTGATGAGTAATGACTGATGAGTGATGAGTGATGACTGATGAGTGATGACTGATGAGTGATGACTGATGAGTGTATATATCAAATGCAAAAGTAAAGGACCCATTTTCACATTACAAAGGCTATCAGCAGGGAGATTTTCCCTGATGGTACGCACTGGTATGAAGAACCAGCACATTTCTTTAGGCACCATTTGTATCAGAGCTACTGTAATAGACACTTTGTGGTGAGTACCCTTACCTTCATTAGACACTTTATGGCAGGTACTAGCACTGTCTTTTTTAGACACTTTGTGGTGAGTACCAGGCACCCCCCCTCCCCAACTAAATACTTTGGTATGGAAGGAATTGAGCAAGTTCAATATTTTGTATATACCAGTTAGTACTCAAAAGGTAATGTGGTCAATATCAAGTTAACCATCTTTACTTCTGCTTTATACGTACAAAAGGACTTTCTTGTGTGTGTTCTTGGGTCCCATTGGGGTTGGGGGGGGGGGGGGGATAGACACACTGCTTCCCAGAAAGCATGTCATACAAGGCAGTTAATTATGGATGTTTCATTTTAATTCAGAGCCCATCTGCATGAGAGACCAGGAAACTAACAGTCTGCATATAAGTAAGCCAGATCTGTGAAATGGATGTGTATGCAAAACTCAAGTTCTGGAACAGGAACAAAGTGCAGAAGTGAACAAACAACCAGTAATTTCTGCCAGAGTCTACAGCCGGTGAATGCTAAGAAGAAGTAAACTTTGAAGTTCGGAACTAGGTTTAGTTTCTTGTGACTTACACTGGCTTTGGTTATCTTCTTAGAATGCAGCCACAACTGCTAACACCTCCTTTGCCAAACTTGAAAAGATGTGGCAGCAACGGGGATATCCAAGAAGAAGATACTGAGGACATTCTAATTCAAAATAGAATGACAATAGCCAGCATCAAGGCCTTCCTTTTTTTTGATGGTATGCAATGGTATGTACCATTTTTGTTAAGGACTGACTTTGTTGTGGATACCAGCAGTGTTTTTTTTAAATAAACACTTTGTGGTGATTATCAGCAGTTTATTTTTTATACAACACTTTGTGGTGATTATCAGCAGTTTATTTTTTATACAACACTTTGTGGTGATTATCAGCAGTTTATTTTTTATACAACACTTTGTGGTGATTACCAACAGTTTACTTTTTTATACAACACTTTGTGGTGATTTTCAGCAGTTTATTTTTTTATACAACACTTTGTGGTGATTATCAGCATTTTTTTTTTTTTATACAACACTTTGTGGTGATTACCAGCAGTTTATTTTTTATACAACACTTTGTGGTGATTACCAGGAGTTTTGTTTTTAAAAAACATTTTGTGGTGAGTACCAGATGTTTTTGTTTAATAAAACACTTTGTGGTAAGTACCAGAAGCTTTTTATAAAACATTTTGTGGTGAGTGCAGGAACCCCCCTTTTTTTTTCAAGAAGAAAAGCCCTGACTAGTGCTATCCGACAAGTATTGGACTGCAAACTCTTCTTTTTTTTCATTATGCTTAACGGCAAAGGTATAAACTGATGATGATGATGAAAAACCGGCAGGTGAAAACAAAAGCAGGTGAAACACAAAGTGGCAAGTGACAACACAAAGAAAATTCTCTGACCTGACCCTGCTGATACAGAAGTCATAAATGGCATCTCTGTTGCCCTCTGGGATACCAGCTTCTTTGGCTCCTGGCCGACAACCAATAATCAGTTTCTCATATTCTTCTGGCTCAAACAAATTTGGGACCTCACCAGAGTTGAGGATGTTGTTGATGTCTTCTAGAAACTCTTCGACAACAATCTGTAGAATAAAGTCAAAGATATCTAAATATGGGAACATATAGTAACTTAAAGTAAAAGATGTTAGCGTAGCAGCTAGATACTATCATGCAGGTCCAAAAGTATAGAGCTCAAATCCTCAGAGGGAAAAAAAATAATTCCAAATGATCTTGGTTCACAGGTTGACCTAACATATAATGGGTACCAGGTAATGTCCTGAGAAGTAAAGGCAGCCAAATCACAAATAGAGTGTTGACAGGTCAATACAATTATGAGAATTGCAATACATGCCAGATGAACCACTGGCATAAAAACGGTCTTGACCTCATGCTATTTTAGGTCAAGGCCACATTTCCACCCCTTTAGCTATATTGGGCATATGATGCTAACCCTTTATATTTTTATAAACATCAGCACTCAATGAGTGATGTGGTCAGCATCACACTGACTGTCTTTACTTCACAAAACATTTCCCGAAAACCTTTCAGACAAGATCTACCTGGGAACCCACACAAAATTAACAATTCTGCCTTAGCAGAGGATTGAACCTATGACCATCTACCAAGCAAACAAACTGCTATGCTAACTCAGCCTCTTTATAGAAACAGGAAAACTGTTCCCTTAGATCTATTGTTCATGAGTTCTCTTGATAGAAGTGATGGCGGCAACACATTTACAATTCCATCTTTATTTTCCTCTCAAGCTTTGAAAGTAGTCCAGAAATCACATTTGTACATAAGAAAACTGCACCATCTTGCCTACAGACACAAGACCCACAAGTGCATGATGAGTGATTCAGTCAGCAAGATTAAAACAGTTCATTAAAGACACTTTATGCCTTCAAGGTTGACAACCACTAGTGCTAGCCAGCATGCACTGAATTGCAAATTAGCTTTAGCTACTTCAACATTAAGTAAAACTACAAAACAAACCTGTGTATCAGTAAAAAGGAAGACAGTGTGTTTGTTCTGAACTCCAGCGAGAGTGTACAGTTTCTTGATGTCTTCATGGAAGGCAGTATAATCATACCCACGGGAGAGTTCAATCTGGAAGCACTGGTATCCACACACATGAGCAGCCAATCTACAGTCAATCATAACAAATGACAGTTGTATTTGATATTGTATTTCAGTTTTTTTTTATATTTCACATGCTTACACATACTGTGTGTGACTAGCAAGGCATGCTCGTGTTTATAATAAAAAATCTTCCACAATTAGAGCATGAGATTTCAGAGTTATTTTTACCATTGAATGTATTTAAGTAGGTCACCTCAAATGCTCAGCTCTGAATCTATCTGCAGTCATTTTTTCCTTTATCCCTATTTCTTTCCTGATTTCCTGCTCTATAAAACATGGTCTTGAAGTCAGTCAATATTCCATATTTTTGTATGTGGTGTAAATATAGAAGTTTAAGTATAAGGGATCTGCAAGTGGTTAGATGCTTGCTTGACAATCCAAATGTCTTGGGTTCGCTTAGGCAGATTTTTAATAGCTGACTTGGACTTTCCAGTTTTAAGATGAATATTTGATAATTTCATGGGAAGTAAAGGTGGTCAGATTGATAGTGACTATATCCTCCACTAAGTGCTGACTGATCTAACAAAATATGGGTCTACCACCATAAGCCCATTGTTAAAAAATGGTGCATTACTAACTTAATTTAGAAGTACATAGAGAAAGAGGAAACTCTTACCTGGTCAATGACTGTTTGCCAGTTCCACCAACCCCCACCAGCAAAGCATTACCCCTCTCCTGTTGAATCATGCGGACGATCCGAGACACATGCTCTATTGCATCCATGAAAAACACCAGCTTCATTTCTTTGGAAGACTGCATGTTGTAATCATCCAGGTACTGAGGAGATTTAGTAGTAGTAGTAAATGTTACCCCACCAGGACATTACACAAGGGATAAACACCCAATGACACAAAGTGCCACCAAGCGGATGAGGTTTACCCGTGGAGAGGTCCGTTAGGCCACATTTAAAGCCTGGCTATATTGCGGCTCCAGCCATGGTGGGGCTTCAAAAAAACAAAAAATTGCATCCCACTAGGGAACAACGAGACATGACAGAGGAGATGATAGAGGAAATGTATTTATATAAACTCCAAGTCTTTCAGTGCCAAGCAAGAGCTATAGTGTTTACTCATCACATCAGGGCTATTCAACTGACAACCCATGGGTCTAATCCAGCCCAAGGAGGTCTAGCAAGTGGCCAGCATATTACTGCCAACTCTATAGTGTTAAGGATTTTTAGAACAACTCACTAACTGCCGCTCAAGCTCCGCCCACTTACACACTAGGTTACAGGGGTGTCCCGGTTTACTGTTTGCTTGAAAAGCTTTCTGAGTTGTCTTCTATTTATGTTTTCATTCCAAGAAAGAGAATGCATGGGACGTAGGCTGCAGCACTCTCATAGGAGGAGTTTGTGTTAGGGCCAGTTCTGCATGTTTTTGCTGACATTCTGGAATATACAACATGTGATTAACCCGCCCTTTGAAGAGAAGGCAGAAAGGTTTTCAAACAAAAAGAGTACAGCGGGACACCCCTGTAACCTTCAGCAAAATTGACAAGCATAAGGAAGTATGAATAAAAAGTGACCTAGTGTTCCTGAAGAATCTGAGTTGAATAGCCCCGCTTTACACAATATGCTTGTCTTAACTCCTTATTTCTTAACTCTGATTTCTCTTACAGCTGAAACAAAAATCTATGCTGTCCCAATTTTTAGTAGAAATACCTTGGGATTGCTGCTGCATTGAAGAACTGAGCATGTGTGGGAATGCCCAATGTACAATGATGTCATTATAAGGGTGACCATATTGCCGAAACAGTATAATTTTGTTTTTTCAGGTAGGCCCAGACTGTCCCATCGATACTCAAAATTAAAAAGTCCATTGTCCGATTAGCGCTTTTTTTTCCGAATAGCAACAGGATGGTCTGGGCCTCCCTAAAAAATGAAAACTGTCCCAGCAAAAACTTCACTTATGGTCACCCTATTCATTATATTAACATAACACACAGAACTCAGTGTGCCCTATTGTTTTATTATTTCAATCCCTCCAGACTAAGACATATCTTAATTTAAGTAACAACAATAACTGATATATTTTGACCACATTAAAATACATGACACTCTCTAATAAAGCACACTGAAGGAAAAGTCAAAGGCAAGACAGCAAAGGGTAGACAACAATACAAGTGGGAGAACAACATCCAGAGATGGATAACAGCAGTATGACAGAGTGTACTATCCAGAAAAGAGAGTGTTGGAGAGCTAGTACAGCAAACTTAAATTGTAGAAATGGCACACAGGTGACTGAATTAAAAAAATTTTAGGATATAATAAGTTTAAAAAATGTCTGCCTTGGACTGAAAGTGTTAGCATTTATGCTGTCTTCTTCAGCACTCGGATATCTACTTTATCCCTGTTATGAAGTTAGCAATTTTCCCCTGTACATTTCACTAAAGACATTTTGCAGAACAAAAATACTTCATTAATTATTTCAATCCCAAAACAATGTGTAATTAGTTTGTGAATACTGCTCAAAATTTAAAATATTCTTTTCGTTTTTAAATTTTGTTCAAGAATAATTTAATTTGGCTTCTCCAGAATTTAGCTGCTTTGAAAGTAATATGTTTATATTTTTTCCTTTTTTTTTTTTTTTTAATTTTTTTTTACATATGGGTTTCATATGTAAAACCTTCTGGCACTCAAAGAGTTTAGGACATTTAAAAATGCAAGTATTAATTATTTAAAACATTTTACGAAACACAAATACACAATGGGAGACAAGCATGAATTATTAAAGACACTTTACAAAACACAAATACACTACAGGAGACGAATATGAAAAATTTAAAATATTTTGTAAAACATAAATACATTATGGGAAACAAGTATGAATTATTATAAACACTTTAAAACCTGTTTACACTATATGAGACAAAAAGTAATTACTAAAGACACTTTATAAAACAAATATACTACAGGAGTCAAGTATGAATTATTTAAAACATTTTGTAAAGCATAAATACATTGTAGAAGACATGTATGAATTATTAAAAACACTTTGAAACCTAATCACACTCTAAAAGACAAATATTAATTATTAAAGACACTTTTCAAAACACAAATACACTGCAGGAGACAAACATGGCTTATTAAAGACACTTCACAAAACAAAGACACTTCACAAAACACAAATCATCTCTATTTATGTAGACATTCTTGATAAAATTCCCATAAAACAGACACATCATTCAATACACTTCACAAATCCCACACATTTAATGAAGGATACTTCACAAACAATACTTTACTAAGCATTCTTATATAATTAACTCTTTTACTGAACATCACATAAATCAACTAAACACTTTTTTTAGAGTTCATGATGGTGGTGGTAATTAGACTTAGTCTTAGTCCTAGCCGAGGTTTCAACTTCACCGCAATCTGGTTTCCCCATACTTGCTCCGTTTCTGTGCCAGTGAAAAAATAAATCTCCCTGACTGCCCCATTTGAAAAAAAAAAACTGGTAAACAAACAATTAGTCCCAGAACAATCCAGAAATATACATACACAGTAAATGCATATGGCAGTTGCTAGAGGTGCCAAAGCTAATAGTCACCACCAGAAATGCATTTTGTGTCGTTGATGGAGTATAAGGCATGATGTTGTCAACAATGCTGCTATGGCTGACAAGGACGATGATGACAACAATGATTATGAGATGCAAGGATGTTGGTAACGATGATGATGGTGATGATAGATAATCAAGGTAATGATTTAAAGTTATCATACATCATTGAGGACACTTTTCACTTTGGCAATATCTGTGAGATCCTCGTACATCCTGTCAGTGGAGGGAGTACCCATTTTCATGAAGTCTCCAAAAATGATTGGGTGGCTGACAAAGGATTCTGGGTCGACAGACTAAAAAAAAAAAACACATTAAAAAATTAAAACAAGTCCCTTAACTTTCAACTTACAATAAATAAAAAAACTGAATCTTTTCAACTGAAATGTACAAAATCATAGTCTCTTGTTACACTGTACCCAGTGTCAAGATTAGCATGACCGCTTGTCTGGCTTTATCACTTCTGATTTACTGATTTTGGAATTAATAATTTTTTTTAACTCTTTGAGTCCCAGGGGGTTTAACATCACAGACCCAAGGGGTAGTCAAGAGAGACTAAAATCGGCTCATCATGCGTTCATTGGGCCTCTAGGTAGGAATCTATTAACGTATGATGCGTTGCTTGGGACTCAAAGAGTTAACAGTACAACAAACCTCTCCAAAGTGTTTACTGGCCATCTCAGACATGATATGATGAAAGAACATCTTGTCCTCATGGCTGATAAGGCGGTCATGGAACACGCGTTGAGTCTCATGGACAAATAATCGGAATATCTGCAATCTATCTCTAATGACACCTGGATCTGCCTGCAACATTCCTGGAATAGCAATTAGAGAAAGTTTTAGAACTGTTTTTCTTAGACATCTCATTTCACAGGTGTTAATTTTACACATGTTAGTCCTCGATAATGTCCAAGTCTGGCACTGGTAGCACAGTGTTGGTATGAATATGCTGCTGATAATGAGTTTCTTGGTGCTCATACTTATGTTTAGATGCTTAGTAATAGTGTCAGTTGGTATGTAAATGCACTGGCTCATTCGCATCATGTTTCTATTTTTTTATCTATTCTTCCATCGTCTGAGAATATACTTCCTAGAGGCTTAATTCTTTAACTTGCTTCAGACAAATACAATTCAACCCGATCTGTAAGAGACTAGGAATTCTGCAGACCTGCATTACTTCAGATTTAGTTGTATTTACTTTCATGATATATCGTCTGCATGCTGAACTTAGCCTGTTGAAATGTTCTTGCAGTCTACTTCCAACTCACTGTAGAACAAACACTAATCATCTGCAAATAGTAGCTCATTTATTGTATGTGGCTCAAATTCTTCCTCCAAGAAGTAAAGTACCTCATCTTCTAGATTTTCTAGGTCAACTGCTTGAAAGCTGGTTTTTAAAATTTTATTTTTTAGTCTGTGTATATAACAAATAGAGGAGAGAGCACACATCTCTGTCTCACCCCTGTATTGAAAGTAAACATATCAAATAGGCCTTCTTGTGTTCTCACTGTGCTTTGGAAAGTGTGGTACATTGCCATGATGTTGTCTAACAATTGACTTTGTATCCCATAATCCTCAACAATAGCCTATAGTTTGTTTTTTGTCTACTCTAACAACAAACACAGTATTCAATTCATCCCCATAATCCTCAACAATAGCCTATAGTTTGTTTTTTTGTCTACTCTATCAACAAACACAGTATTCAATTCATCCCCATAATCCTCAACAATAGCCTATAGTTTGTTTTTTGTCTACTCTAACAACAAACACAGTATTCAATTCATCCCCATAATCCTCAACAATAGCCTATAGTTTGTTTTTTGTCTACTCTAACAACAAACACAGTATTCAATTCATCCCCATAATCCTCAACAATAGCCTATAGTTTTTTTTTTTTTTGGTCTACTCTATCAACAAACACAGTATTCAATTCATCCTCAAATTTAATGGTTAATGTTAATACTACAATAAAAAGGAGATGTTGCAAGATGCAGCTTCAAACAGACAAGGATAACTTGAATGACACACCACCCCTTTTCAGCCTGTGAATTTTCCTCTTTGACTATGTCAAGAAAGACATCATTTTCACCAGAGATGACATAGAGGGATATCCCTATGTATATATGTGTATGGCTTAGGAAATTCCCAATTTGGCTAGTTTGTATTTTCCCTAAGTGTCAGTGCCCATCGCTTTCACATAAAGTCGAATTTGCTGCCAGCAAATTTGGCAATGTTGGGGCTAACACCTGGCTACAAATGGAAATCCTGCTGCCACTTGGGATTGCCAGCATTCACTTCCAGCTGCTAAAGGAAGAGAAATGAGTGTGCAGTCTGCAAGACAACTTTAACTCTATCTTTCATGCAGCCTAAAACCTAGCAGTATAGCAGAAAGCACCATATAGTCTTACATCTAAATCCAGTTGAGCACAATAATGATTACATACATCATGATTTCCTTTTCAGAACCGTATTTCAAGTATGATCTTAGAACTGTACCAGACAGGGGAAAAGACCATGAGCATGCATTTCAGCGGCTGACACGTGGGTCAGGAACCAGATCTTTACAATGTTATTCTTCACTCCTATCTTTCTGTATCTAGAATGCTATTCTTAGTTACTGTATTTAGGACTCTTAGGAGATTCTCCATCTTCTTTTGCTGGTACATAAAGGATCTATGGCTGTTTTATCGTGGTGGGTCGTGTACTCACTGGTAACATTTCAGTTTCTTCTCATATTCATACTTCTATCGTTCACCAGGTTTACTTGTGTTTCAGTAAATGCTGGTTTTTGTTTTCAGGGTAGATACTCATGTGATTATCTTACTTATACACAGCCCCAATAAATGCTGTGATGTTGATGACACTGGGAAACTGTTTATGTTTTGTTAGCACCACAAAAGCTGGTTACAACCAGAAATTTCCTACACAATGAAATATCTAGAAAATAGGAAAGGATATCACTTTTATCTAAAATCATCATTATTTTTAGAGATAATTATACAGCATCCTGTCAGATTTTGTGCTGCATTTATAACTGCCTATTGCTGTCTGAGCTTGAAGAAACATGCAGTATTACACTATCGTCATGAAGGACAGAAGATGGAAGACCATTCATCAGGACTGGACAGTAGTCAGAAGTGGAAGCTATGTAAATGACCATGCTATGAGACCATTTTCCCCTACTGACAATATGAAGAGAGAGGGGATAGTTATTTTATTCTGCATAGAATAAGGGACTATAAATTGTGATAGTTCCCATCCCTAGCTGCTGAAATGCCAAGGACCGATTCCTTGTTCCTAGAGGCAGGGCAGCTCCAGAACATAGCCAGGCTGGTTGTAGGTGAGATTTGAGGTGCCCTGAGGAAGGTCTTAGTGTCTCTTGCAGTTGCAACGTCCAACATCAATCTTGGATGAAGATCCTCTGGGAAACCCCAAGTGGTAATTGTTTGTCCCAGCAAATTCTCATTAACCCTCTCACGACAACAGTTTCATGTGAATATCATTTTTATTCCTTCACATCTATTTAGTTTGAGGAGTGTATTTCAAAAGTATTAAATAACTGATACTTATTTTATTTTAAAAACCTCTATGATTGATTTACATTTATAGTTAAAGTTTAATGTATTTCTAGAAGCGTGTGTGGTGTCAGGTTAGTGCTGTCTACCAATATACCTATTCTAGATGGGGGCTTAATTTAATTACCAGGAAAGGAAATTGTAGGGAGGGGTAATCTGCTCTGTCTTAGAGTTCTCTAGGCATCTAAAAAGGCAGATGGGGTCAAGGCCTTTTAGGAACAAACAAGGAATCAGAGAAAGAAGATTATTATGGCCTGAAGAGAATGAGGCACCTGGGTGTAACCAGAGGGTCTGGCTGGCTCGCTACACTCAGAGGAAAGGCAAGATGTACATATAACCAGATTGTGACTAGTACCATCAGTATTGAAACTCTGCGCTGGCTGCTGAAGATGAGGACAGAGCATGCATGGAAATGTCCCGAGTGCTGTGATGTCAATTCTTGACCCAACTCAACTTAACTCAACTTGGCATCTAAATTCCCTTTTCCCATTTCTAGGGATATTCAGTCAACTCACTTTCTTATACGAGCTAATTCGAGCCTGTATCTGAGTATCCAGAGACTGCAATTAGCATCAAAAGACAGCTGTCTCGGTTTCTCATTTGCTTCAGGAGTAAGGTTTTAAACCCGCACCCACACCATAATGAGTGAAAAAGAAACCTGTTTCACTACAAGAGATCAAAATGGTGGATACATGTGTGTGATATTTCTGACCGTCAGTAGTTAAAGAAATAAGATCTGTAATGGCTAATATTAAGAATCACATTATGGAACCAAGAGGAATAATACTTATCATCAAGCACAATATCCAGTGTGATAATATAAACCACCCTTACACTACAAATATAATCTCTTATACTGCTTATTTCTGGGTCACATACAATATTGCCACAACTAATTCATTGTGCCTGTTTAAAACTTTGAAACTACAAAATACCAAATTTGCTTCTCAAAATTTAGCCTGTTGCTTCCCTTTTCTTCTTCCTTCTGCATTCATCCTTGAAAAATTGGTTGGCATATTGTGTTGTGGTTTAACACAGCTAGGCTGCCATATCTACACCTTTAAACCTAACACTTCTGATTTCAGCAATCCTCCAACAATCCCCCTGTTAGGGGGCAGTGCATCGCTTCTTGTTCTGATCCTAAATGGCCCTCAGAACCCACACAGAAAGGTTGTTGCTTCCGGCATCAATTAAACACATGTCCATTAAACTGAATTGTGAGTGTATCAATATATCAGGAAATTCCTCATGTGAGTTCTGGGGCCCCATTTTGAGGGAAAAGAGGGATGGGGAAGGAGAACAGACCTACTGCCCCCAACAAGCATGTCATAAAATTCCACTAATTAGGGGTGCATCCTTCGAAGCTGAAGTGTATCTGGCTAAAAGATGAGGAATCAACAATCCGCATGCAAATAAGTCGGATCTATAAAAATGATGTTCACGTAAAACTCAAGTTCTGGGACAAGACCAAAGTCCAGAAGTGGATGAACAACCGTAAAATTAAATTAGAGTTTACACATGGCAAATGCAAAGGAGAAGAAAAATATCAGGACATTTACCTTGCACACACTTGGATAAATCTCTGAGATTGAAGATGTAGTGGGACTTTGCAGGTGTTGGGAGCAGATCTGAACTCATCCTAAAATAAAGCTCCACCGCTGCTCCAACTATTGCTTCAGTACACTGTCTCACAGCTTGAGGGAAGTCCGCGAGGAAGCCATTCAGGATAGACTGAGATAAAGATAGTAACAGTCTACAAATTTAAAAAAAAAAAAACATTGTTTACTAACTTGTATTGTTGTAAGAGGTTTTTACTTTAACTTCTCTTCAAGCCTCCTGGAAATTTCAGTTTTCTGATAACACTCAGAGTCTCTGGTAGTTATTACTTCAACTCTTTAAGTCTCTGGCAGTTGTTAGTTTGAGTCTTTGGCAGTTGTTTGTGTCTCTGGCTGTTGTTAATTTAAATCTCAAGCAGTTCTTAGTTTGAGTCTCTAGCAGTTGTTAGTTTGAGTCTCTGGCAGTTGTTAGTTTGTGTCTCTGGCTGTTGTTAATTTACATCTCAAGCAGTTGTTAGTTTGTGTCTCTGGCTGTTGTTAATTTAAATCTCAAGTAGTTGTTAGTTTGAGTCTCTGGCTGTTGTTAATTTAAATCTCAAGCAGTTGTTAATTTGAGTCTCTGGCAGTTGTTAGTTTGAGTCTCTTTGAGTCTGGCAGTTTTTTACTTTAATTCTTAAAGTCTCTGGTTTTAGAAATTAAAAAATTAAGTAAAAATAGTATCAAGAAAAAAAATGGATACCAAAAAATGTTCTGGGCAGTAAGGCTGCCAGTATGATAATAAACATTCACCAGCCTTCAAGTATCCACAGGGTTATACAAATATGGGGCTAGCAGAAAAATAAACAATCTGAGAAATCTGGATGACATAGTATTACTAGCAGAAAGTGAGCAGGAGTTACAAGAACTAGTTCATCAAGTCAGCAGGCAGAGTGCAGAGTATGGTTTAGACATTGACATTCGAAAAACAAAAACTATGGTAATTAATAATGGAAAAGAGCAGCCAACAGTGAACATCACATTAAACTGAGAGATACTGGAACAAGTAACAAGTTTCTGCTGTCTAGGACACGTAGTAACAGATGATGGAAGAAGGGAAACAGAAATCAAAAAGAGAACAGGAATGGCTGAAAATATCTTCAAGTAAGATGCACAAATTACTGACAGCTAGAGAAATAAATAACACACTAAAAATGAGAGTCATCAAATGCCATGTATATTCAATCCTGATATATGGAGCAGAAACTTGGACAATGAACAAGCAATTAGAAAATCAAATTGAGTCTCTGTGGATATTCGGATATACAGAAGAATAGGTCATATTTCTTGGAAACAATAACAATTCAATACAGAGGTACTGGAAATATTACGAATGAAAAGAATTACTGACAAAAATAAAAAAGAGACAACTGAAATATTTTGGCCTCATTAAAAGACATAACACACTTTTTAAAAACATTACTAGAGGAAAAAGTCAAAGGCAATAGAGCAAGAGGTAGGCAACAATTCAAGTGGGAGGAAAACGTCACAAGAGATTGATAATCAGCAACCTGAGAGAGTGCAATCAGGGCAAGAGACAAGGCCTGTTGGAGATTCATTACAGCCAACCTTCACTGAGAAGATGGCACCTGCTTGATTCAGTTAGATATTATACTGTTAAAGTTAGTTAGTTGCATATCTTTTAAAGTATGTTGCAGAGCCAACCCCAGCTTTTTTGGCTGTTGTGGTTTTTCTAGGCAAATTTTACGTTCAGTAGGTTGCCACTGCTTTCTCTCGGTACCACTGTCGAAACCAAAGCAAGACAAATTGTCTGCAGCTTGGATCGAACCTAGCACCCCGGCATTATAAAGCACGTCCGCAACACCTGAGCCACAGAAGACACCATAATGATGCCAAGACATACGACTTACCATGAACATGTGTTTCAGGATGTGTTCACTTGGCGAAGGAATACACAACATACTGAAATGTCGGAACATCCGAGGGGATACCGGATTTCTTCCTCCACCAGGGGGTGCACATGCAGCTGATAGAGTAACATCCTGACAGAATGAAAACAAAAATGTTCAGTGTATTTGTGTGTGTATGTTAACATGACTCTAACACCACTATCCTCTTGGTCTTCTTCTTCTTCTTCTTCTTAGCATTCACAGGCTGTAAACTCCGGTGGAAAGTCTGATTATTCGTCAACTTCTAAACTTCGGTTTTCTTACATAACCAGAGTTTTGCATGCACATCCATTTTACAAATCTGGCTTAATTCTATGCAGATTGTTGGTTCCTTGCCTCTCAGGTGGATGTACTCCAAATTTGAAGGAAACACCCCTAATTAGTTGACTTTTACATCATTCTTGTTTGGGAAGCAGTGGGTCTATTGTTCCCCCCCCCTCCCCCCACAAAATGGAGCTCCTGAACCCACATGGGAACCCGCTTGGTCAATAAGTAGTGTCTAGACAATGAAAACTGGCTACAATAGATTTACAGCACTCTGTCTCTCAACTTCGTCCTTCATTCATAGTTTCATGTTTCTCAGCTTTTTGGGATCAATATTCAGCATACCTTCCTTTAATTTATTAATTTGTGCAATATTCATTCATATCTTCCTCATTTTTTTAATTGTTTCTTCATTCATCTTTTATTGTGCAATAGCTCTTGCAGTCTCTGTGTTTCAAATTTCTGTTATACTGGCCTTCCTTGTCATTTGTTGGCTTAATGATTTCTATTGTTGTATTTGCTGATAAAAACTCAATCAATATGTTCCGTTTTTTTGTTGTTTTTATTTTTGTTTATGGCTTTTCCTTTCCTTCCCCTCCAGTGAGCCTTCTAGTCATAGCCACAATTGCCTTAGGTTACTTACTGTCTCCCAAAACTACTGTCACATCACTTGGGACATGCTGAAGTGTGCTCTGTCTCTCTCAGAAGGTTCATACTTAATGTTTCCATTGGCTAAGTTGGTTGTACACATACATCTTCTGTTCCCTATCATCATTCTTTCTGCTAGTGCCTATCTAGATTCTTAATTAACGTATTCACAATGGCATGTTGTCGACGGTTACTCCCTCATGCAAAAGGTGATTGCTTGTTTATAGTTTAACATCTGCCTTGCCCGTCTGGCCATTTTTTTTTTAAAGAGCCGCATTGGTTGAAAAAAAAAAACCTTATTCAGTTGGAGATTGAACTAGGAGCATTGTGTTGGCAGGCAAAAGAATTAACCACTATGTCATGACTAGTTTGAAAGTCCTATAAAAATGTTAGTTGCGTATCTTTTACAGGATTTTGCAGAACCCCAGTATTTCTTTGCTATTTATGATTTGACTGGGCAATTTTACACTCAGTAGTTTGCCATTGCTTTCTGACTGGTTGGTGCTCTATACCACTGTCGAATCAATGCAAACTAGTCTGCTGCCAAACTGGCCACAGCTGGAATCAATCATAGTATTTCAGAATTACAAAGCATGTTCACAATGCCTAAGCCACAAATGCTGACATGCAAGTCATAAAGGGAAAACTAAAATACAGTGAAATAACATGGTGCATCAACATGTCTCTGGTTACCAAGCTTGCAATTCTTGAGACTATTATCTGAGAAATCCCAAACAAATACAGCTTACCTGAATCTCCTTCCACTGAAGTGTCTCTCTGTCATAAAGTCCCCCGAAGTCCTGGTACTGTCTCAGCAGCTCTATTGGCGGTTGGGAGCCATATGTGTCCAGTTTTGGCATGTTTATGTCATCAATGAAGATGATGATCCTCTTTCCTTTCGGAGCACCTGTATGAACAGAGATGTACTTCACCTTTAGAAGCACCTATATAGAGAGGCATTATGGGTATTTTATCTTTAGAAGCACCTTTATAGAGAGGCATTATGGGTATTTTATCTTTCGAAGCACCTTTATAGAGTCATTATGGATATTTTATCTTTAGAAGCACCTATACAGACAGATATTATGGGTATTTTATCTTTAGAAGCACCTATACAGACAGATATTATGGATATTTTATCTTTAGAAGCACTATACAGACAAATATTATGGGTATTTTATCTTTAGAAGCATCTATACAGACAGATATTATGGATATTTTATCTTTAGAAGCACCTATACAGACAGATATTATGGATATTTTATTTTTAGAAGCACTTACTTTACCTTTGACAGCATTTATGTGACCATGATTAATACCTTTCAAAGCACATTTACAGTCAGGCATTTTAAAAACGGACAGATTTCATGAGTATTTTATTTTAGGAGAACCTTTACAGATAGATATAAATATTTTATCTTCTAAGCGTTCACCAGCTGCAAACTTTGATGGAAAGTCCTTGTTGTCCGTCCACTTCTGGACTTTGGTCTTATTTCATAACTTGAGTTTTGTGTGCACATCTGTTTTACAGACCTAGCTTATGTGTATGCTGACTCTCGGTTCCTTGCCTTTCAAGCAGATACACTCTGACTTTAAAGGCAACATCCCTAAAAGGTCACATTTTACTATATGTTTGTTAGAAGGGCAGCGGGTCTGTTCATCCCAGTTTATACAGACTTCACCCCTTCCCTGATTTAATTTTGAAAAATGGATAATAAAATGCAGCTCCTCTTTGATGCAAGTCAAAAGTGATGTGGCCATCTTTCAACTGTCATTATGACATCCCTGTATTTGTCTACACCAAGAAGAAGCGTGCTTAACACTCTTGAGATCCTTGAAAAAATGTCACAGGTTACAAAACAACAGCATGGTTACTGTAATTTCTAGCACCCTTTTAAGGTTTTCATTTGGAGCCTCCTCGTATTGAATTAAATTGTGACAATACAGATTACCTAGCGCATTCTTCCTCCTTTTCTCCAACTTTAATTAAACTGTTACAAGATTGATTACCTAGTACATTCCTCTTCTCCAATTTGAATTTAATTAATGAAATTGTTCAATCCTGATTACCTAGTACATTCTTCTTCTCCAACTTGAATTTAATTAATGAAATTGTTCAATCCTGATTACCTAGTACATTCTTCTTCTCCAACTTGAATTTAATTAATGAAATTGTTCAATCCTGATTACCTAGTACATTCTTCTTCTCCAACTTGAATTTAATTAATGAAATTGTTCAATCCTGATTACCTAGTACATTCTTCTTCTCCAACTTGAATTTAATTAATGAAATTGTTCAATCCTGATTACCTAGTACATTCTTCTTCTCCAACTTGAATTTAATTAATGAAATTGTTCAATCCTGATTACCTAGTACATTCTTCTTCTCCAACTTGAATTTAATTAATGAAATTGTTCAATCCTGATTACCTAGTACATTCTTCTTCTCCAACTTGAATTTAATTAATGAAATTGTTCAATCCTGAGTACTCAGTACATTCTTCTTCCTTTTCTCCAGCTTGGATTTAATTAATTAAACTGTTACAAGACAGATAGATTATCTAGTCTATTCTCCTTCAACGAATTGAACTTAACTAATTAAATTGTTCAATCCTGATTACCTAATACATTTTTCTTCTTTTTCTCCAAGTTGGATTTAATTATTTAATTTATTGCAATAATCGTTACCTAGAACATTTTTCTTCCTCTTCTCCAACTTTGACTCGATCATTTCTTGTGTTCTACTGCTGCTGGTTTGTGCCGAGAAATTGATGAACACAGGGACATAACTCTGTCTCTCTGCAATACTCTCGAGCAGGCCTCTAGCGATGACAGACTTTTCAGAAAAACAAACAAATGAGCACATGAAAGTTGTCATTGGTGTGATGATGATGTTATGGTTTTATTATCGACTGTATTTGTGATGGTAATAATCAGGGCTTTTTTTCTGGCTGCACGCAGTACCGGTACCTTTTTAGGCATGATTTTTTTGTCAGCACTATTGTAACATGCTCTTTTTTGGAGCATCAGCAACTATTTTTAAAGACAATTTTTGGTGACTACCAGTACATTTCTTTACAGAAAAAAAGTCCTGATAATAATTGTGTATATCAATAATGCAGAAGAAAGCCTCACACATTATATCACGTCTAGTTTGAGAATGGAGGTGGAGGCCGTCACTGTAGCCTTCTGCTGGCTTGAGAAGCAGCTGTACACACATGTTGTAATTGTAACTGGCTCACAGAGTAAGCTGAAAAAGGTGGAGACAAGCAGAGTGGCAAGCATTGCTTCAAAGGTGTCAGGTAGTTAGTGTCCTTTGGATATTTTCTTCAGGTCATGCTAGTGTGTTGGGAAATGAGCTAAAGATAGACTAGCTGGTTCTGCACCATTTGGTGGTGAACTGATGTATAACAAGCTAGATATTGTTAAGGCCCTTTGGGAGAGCGTGAACAGTGCAGAGGCACAAAGAGATCATTAGGGTCTGAGGAGAATGCAAAAAAAAAAAAAAGCAAAGATCTCTTTTCACGCCTTTTAGACGCATCGGGCATATGGGAAGAGCACCCATATTTTTACAGACCAATCGACACTCGTTGGGTAATATGGTTAGCATTACGCCGGCTGTCTTTACTTCCCCAGGACAGCCATCCTGGTACCCATTTGAGGCTGGGTTGACCTGCGACGTCCCATACCACGATAAAAATCCACGCAGCCCACAGTGGGTTTCGATCGCGGCACGCTGGATTACGAGCCGGGCTCGCAACGCCTTAGCCATGGATGCCGCCTGAGGATAATGACGCTGCGGGATATTATTATTTTTGTTTAAAGAGATAAAATAAACTTTTTGATCCAGAGATCCTGATTAAAGGGTCTTAATATGACTACTGTATTTAGAGTTAAACTGCTGTTGCAGGCTTTTTATGGAAGGGGGCTGACCAATACAAACAAAAAGTAAAGGACCCTTTTCCACGCCTTTAGACGTATAGGGCATTTAGGGCTAGACCTATATTTTTATAGACCAATCGGCACAAGATGGGTGATGTGGTCAGCATCACGCCGGGACTGTACCCGGTACCCGCTCAAGGCTGGGTCGACCTGAGAACCAAGGTAATTTTTGAAAAAAGTCCTGCTCAGCCACTGTACTCCCGGGCTAACCAATACAAACAAATAAATAAATCAGATGCCATCTCTATACATAAGACAGGCTGAAATTAATCTCTGTCTCTAGTCTTGGTTGTATACTCTCTCAAACTGCTCTTCACCCATCTCTTGATGTCATCTTCCATGTATTGTTTACCTCTTGCCCATCTGCCATCACTCCAGTATGGTTTTCAAAAGTGATTTTAATCTCAAAACATGTTACTTTATCTAACTACATTCTGAAACTTCTTTTGTTATATTATTTTAATCTTTAGGTGCAAATGCATTTAACCTTCAGTTGCAAATTATTCATTTTGAAACAGCTTTAAGTCATAAATGGCACCTAAAGACTTAAAATTCTTTTTTGCATCATGATTGCTAACAAAAATTATGTGTCATGAAGCTGTGGGTATTTTTTGAACAAATCCTTAAACAACAATCATTTTACACATTTCACTAAAAATATTGTCTGAATTTTTCTGTAGCTACATTTTAAACATTTTTTTTTTAATTTCTAAAAAGATATATAAAAAGTGATAATCAATGAACATGCAGTGGAGCGAAATAAGTAATAAATTCCCTAGGGCTAGAAAAATATTATCAGGTGAATCATGCCATGACCCTGTGACCTCTATCACTAAGATTTACAGGACAGTTTGATATCAATTTGGCTTGAAAAAAGTCACTGATTTTATCACGGACTCCCTAAATGCTATTTTTAGTTACTTTAGTCAAATTCTGGCCGATTTAACATTGCGCAGGCACAGATATAACCAACAGAATTTAACTATGAACAGGTCATTGCAGACAGGCCATTTTTTGGCATTGACAGGACTGTCACAGCCAGAGGCGACAACATTTAATCTTTGTGGGGTAACGGGGTGAGGCACCACGATCTTCTAATTATTTTAGAAAATTACGAACACAAAATAAAATTTATTTAAAAAACAAAAACACTATAGAGATTTGCTTTAGGACATGAAGGATTATCGATAAAGGTATCCTACGTCAAGTAGTGACATCTCAAAAATACTTACTTTTCCAACACCAGTCCCACCAGTATAGAGGACTGGCCGTCCGACGCTTAGCAGTTTTTCAAGGATGTAGCCAAACCGAACAGTGTCGACTGTGGGAACCAGCATCTCAAAGAATGATTCCTCAGGACTGTACTTGAAACTAGGGACTATTTTCTCCCAGGTATCCATCCGCCGAGCTTCATAGTCTACAAAATAGCTCCACAAATCACCAGTGATTGGCAGCTGTTGAAAAACAGCAAGAGGTCATTTATCAATTTTAGATGGCTAATTATATACTGATCTGAGTGAATCATCTGTCATCAGGCAGTAACAGTACATTTGCTAGGATAGAAGTCTGAAGGTTCAAACATCTGAAGTATCTCAGTTGGACATGTCACAATAAAATAATAGGTTGTATAATTAGGACAAAGGAACCTAATTTATTTTCATAACCCAAAGTTAATTAACAGCAAGGGAAAGAGAGTCAGAGACAAAGGAAAAGATTGAGAAGGGTGAGGGGAGGGGAGAGGAAGGGAGTCGAAAGAGAGATATACTTTGCAGACTCCTCAAACGGATTTCAGCACTCTTTGAAACAGATGTGGACACATTACTTTTAAGCCACTTTAAATATCCATCCTATTATCAATTTTTCCAACTATAATCCAAGTTCCTAGTTACTCCTACCTGCTGCTTTTATAGGAGTCGAGCAAATTTAAAAATCTACAATAGTTTGGGAAAATCGGTAGGAGATTCAGCTGTCTAGACAGTGGTGCCAAAGAAGAATTTAAAAAATGGTTGTGGCAAAAACAGCTTTAAAGAAATGAAGATCAAGAAAATCAATTTATACAGCACATTTGAAAGAACACACAGAAGATTTGTACATCACCCATTCCCCATTCCCTCCCTCCCACTCCCCCTTCGCCTTTTTTTTCAATCAATATTTCAAGGAGACAATTGGAGTAGGAGGAGATGTCCCTTTTTAGATTAAAAAAATGGCAAGCAGCCAAAATGTTTTCAGAAATGACCAGCACTCTAGCTATGCACATTAGGACAAGGTGAATTTTTCCTCTTTTTAAACCCTAGCTACAACACTGAAGATAAAGTCCGAATAAAGTAAACTTTTTGACCAGTTAGTTTATTGCACTTCCCTCACTCTGAAACCTAGCTATGCTACTGAAAATAAAGTTAAGATGGACAAAGTATTTAACCTACTGTCATCTTCCAACCCCTCTTGCTTTGAAACCTGGCTATGCTACTGAAGATAAAGTTAAGATGGAAAAAAGTATTTAACCTACTGACATCTTCCACCTCCTCTTGCTTTGAAACCTGGCTATGCAAGTAAGGAATAGGTGTAGAGGGAGCTGCAAGTGTCTGATCAAACAACTTGTTCTCCTCTTTTTTTTAAAACCTCGGTTTACCACAACAGATAAAGTGCCCTAGTGATGTGATTATCTATACAGATGGATCTGTGTTGAGGGGCAGACGAAATGCATTGGGTTTCACAGGACGTGAAAATGGACGTCCCCTAGTGCAGCAAAGCCTTGCATATATCACAATGTCTACTTTGAGAATGGAGGTGGAGGCAGTCTCTGCTGCCTTCCGCTGGCTTGAGAATCAGCTGTACACACATGTTGTGATTGTAACTGACTCACAGAGCATGTTGAGAAAGGTGAAAACAGGCATGCTCCGTGCAGAGTGGCGAGCATCACTTCAAAGGTCCCGGGTAGTTGTTAGCATACTTTGGATATTTTCTCCAGGTCATACCGGTGTGTTGGGAAATGAGCAGGCAGATAGACTGGCTGGCTATGCACCACTTGGTTGTGAATTGATGTATGACAAGTTAGAAATTGTGAGGGCCCTTTAGGAACTGGTGAAAAGTGCGGAGGCACGAATAAATCATTACGTTCTGAGGAGAATGACGCTGCGAGGAGTTACCAGGGGATCTGGCCGATGCTCAACATTCAGGGGAAGGATGAGATGGATATACAATCAGACGGTTACTGGTACCAATGGAACTGGAACTCTTTGCTTGCTGCTGAAGATGGGAACTAAGCACTTATGGGAGTGTCCTGAGTGCTGTGATGAAGATTCTTAATTCAGCAGGAACACAACAGGACAAGATAAAGTTTTCATGGAGGAAATGTTTCCTCAGCTACCTTATCTCCCTTCAATTTATAACCTGGCTCTGCAGTGAGGATAGAATGTAAATCAAGGAGCAAGTGTTTGACTGATTAGTTTAACTGCAAACCCACACAATTAAAAACCTGGATATACCACTATGGACACAATTAAAATAGAACAAGTGTTTGACCAATTTGTCTTCTGAACTATTCAGTTTTCTTATAGTTTCAATATAAAAATAAAATCCCAAAATAATACGTACAAAATATATGACAGAACAATTTACTATTTTAGCTTTAAAAAAACTAAATGAACACACAAAATATAAATATCTCAAAAACAGGAGGTACTGCAGAGAAGCCTGATATCACAAAGTGACATAACAACAGAAACTGATTAGAAAATAAATGTTGATTATAATGCAAAATTTAACTAGCATGGGAGAGAAAAAACATATAGAGATACAACTGAGTGTTTTAACTCAAATGTTTATCAACAAATAAAACATCATAAAAATGTATGAAAATATACAGACAAGCAATATACATGTTGAACAGAAGAAAAAAACAGGGGGAAAAAATTGCAAAACATTGAAGGAGAGCTAATGTCTGTATTAGATGGAAGAATGCTGAACATTGATCTCTGCTGATTTGAGAATGTCTAAATAGAATACAGTAAGAAATACTAATTATGTGATACCTTAGCTTCAGGCATGTCATCAAACTGACTGTAAACAAAGGTATCAAAAGGATCCCAGTAGTTCTCTGTCAGGTTCCCGCCAACTGCCCATAGGTAAGAGAACACAAATGTCTGTATGATCAACGTGTGGAGTCTCCCCTGAAAAGCAAATACTTTATTGGGTTATTAAAACAAATAACCTTTTTCCACGTCATGAAGCCCATTAAACCTGTTGCCAGAGATTACTGATGCTGCCTTATGTGATTGATTGCATGTGCAACTTCTAACATATTGTAATTGCTGCTTCTATTGATGAAGAATTGCATTTCTAATGTCAAACTGTTTATGTGTATGCCTTATACCTTTCGTTTGTATGTGTGATACTGGCTTTGCTCAGACTGCAGTCTTTGCCAGTTTTTCACAAGGGACAGTGATGGACATTCTGCGATTGTTTTCACAAGGGACAGTGATGCACATTCTGTGATTGTTTTCACAAAGGAAGAGTGCTGGACATTTTGTGTGGTTTTCGTTAGCACAGTAATGGAGCCACAAGGGGGTGACCCATTTGCTATGAAGTTGGAGTGATATTGAGCACCCAGTGCTAGACACATAATTTTACATAATCAGCACTTGATGGACCATGTAGTCAATCACACGCTGGTCACCTTTACATTGTCTTACATTTTGGATATCCAGTTTCTTTGGGCTGACCAGGAAGTCCAGGTAGCTTAAAATATTTTATCAAAGAGGATTTGAAAACATTATCATTAGTAAAATTCTTCTTCTTCTTTGCATTCCGTTTTGTATGCTCAGATCAGACCATCAGGTGGGTTGCCTCTATGAACTCGCATGTCAGTAGCAGGTTCTTCATGGTTCCCCATAGCTTGCTCTGCACACTTTGCTCTTGAGGCCAGGTGTCTTTCGAAGTTGTAGGTAGAGTGAGCAGTGTCGCATGACAGCCCACTCCCCTCTGGTCTTGCTCCTGCCCACATCTTGTACAACTTTATGTAAATGGACTAGTTTCAAATCTTGGACTTTCCTCCATGAGTAAATAGTCCTTCTTTTGTACTTATGTGCCAAAATGTTGGGATAAATACTCTATTCTATCAAAATTCTCTTGGGAATGAAATATATTTAAATTCAGCCATATATGGTTGAGTTTTACTCATTGCAAAGCCAAATTCTTTGGTCTAACTACCGCTTTGGATGCAGATGAATCCCATCCCACCTCTAGCTGGAGGAAGCTTAGATTTGGGACCCATTCTTGACTGAGCTTTCAGACAAAGCAGATGGCTTGCTTACTTGTCTATCTGCTTGCCTTCTTTGGAAAGTCACTGATTCCCCCAGGAACTTCCATGAGCATGGGTAAGTACATTGTAGATTAAAATCATTGAAGCATTCTACCCTGCAGCTGAGTGTAAGACAGAGGTGGTAATGTGAAGCAATGGAACTTAGCTGTCAAATCATTCAAACTGCAAGAGAGGGCGTTCACCTACAGGCCAAGGAAAATTCTCTCCTCATACTCCCTTAATGGGTTCCTGACAGCTTGGACATTATTTATCCATTTTATAATATGATTTGCTCATAATTTATATATATATATATATATATATATATATATATATATATATATATATATATATATATATATATATATATATATATATATATATATATATATATATATATATATATATATATATATATATATATATATATATATATATATATATATATGCATCTTTAAACTGGAAGAGAAACGAACAGGTCGTCAGACTATATCGATACGTTCTCAGCTAGGGTCATTGTTGCGTGCGGATATGCACTATAATGCACCAGTACTGAGTGCCATAACGGCTTCTTGCCGAGCACAATAAACAATGTATCAGCTTTCAGCTGAGGTTTCTAGTGGAGTCCCGGGGTAGAACATCCTCAAGTGTCCTTATTTAGCGTCAGGCCGATTTGAAAAAATAATAGCAGAAGGCATGGTACCAGGAAGGACGGACAGGGCCGACCAACACAATGATGGGCAAAGCATATAAGTGACTCCTTGAAGTACATGAGGCAGGAGAGCTGACCAGAGACTGAGTTAAGTTTCTCTCAGGCAGACCTGATGAGAACAACGTTATGCAAAGGACCTGCTACATGAGGATAAAGCTCCCATTATGCTAAAATAATATAACCCACAACATCCCATTATGTCAAAACAATATAACCAACTTTATCCGTTTTAACCCCAACAACATAACCCACCTTATCCTATTCTGACCCAACACAAAATTCACGTTTTTTAATGAAATACTAAAAAAACCCACCACCTTTATTCAGTTATACCCAAGATCACCCACCTAATTCCATTTTACTCGAACAACATAACCACCTTATCCAATTATATCCAGCTCATAACCTACCTAAAGCCATTAAGGCTCTACACCATAACCCATTTTATCTCATTATGCCCAACCAGCACTGTCCACCATATCCAATCTTGTCCAGTACCATAAACCACCCTGTCTAATTATGACCAAGCACATTACCCACCTTATCCAATCTTGTCCAAAACCATAAACCAGCCTATCTAAATATGACCAAGCACATTACCCACCTTATCTAATCTTGTCCAAAACCATAAACCACCCTGTCTAATTATGACCAAGCACAGTACCCACCTTGTCCAAGGTCATGTCCAGCCCACCTCTTGCTGGAAAAATCAGTGCCTCCAACAGATGACACAATGTTACAACCTTGCTGATCTCCACCTGGATAATGGAACATGGTAGCAAATATTTAATATTGATACACTGCTGTATGGAGTCTCCATGGTGTAGTGGATAGAAACTCACCTGCAGATAAGAAAAACTGACTTTTTTTTTCTCCAGAAATGACCTTGACTCCCTGGTCAACTGAGCCTTGAACGGGTACCAGGTGGAGTCCTGGGAAGTAAAGGCAGTCGGCGTGATGCTGATCACATCACCCAACAAGTGCCGATTGGTCAATAAAATATAGGTCTAGCCCTATATGCCCAATACGCCTGAAGACACTGAAAATGGGTCCTTTACTTTACTTACTTACACTGCTGTATGAAAGCTGCCGTTGTTTAGAGGCTAGAGGCTCACCTGCAGATCTGAAAGTCGTGGGTTCAAATCTGAATGGAGCTGGACCTTTTTAAGAAACTACCTTGGCTCCCAGGTTGACCCAGCCTTAAATGGGTATTAGCTGAAGTCCTATGAAGCATTATGCCGATCAAATTATCCACCAAGTGCGTATTGGTCTATTGAATATAGGCCTAGCATTATATGCCCAGTACAACAGAAGGTGTTGAACAGGGTACTGCTCTTTATGCTGCTGTATGGGTTTACTTCCTGGTTATAAATCATGATGTGTGCTGTTTATGGACTCTTCTTACACCAGTGGTGCATGATGCTCAACTCATATTTTCATTGACCAATCAGGGCTTAGCGGGTGATGGGATCAACATCACACTGGCCACCTTTATTTGCCAGGAAATCACCTGGTACTACTTTTAAGCTAGGTCCACCTGGGAACCGAGGTACACTTTTAACGAAAAGCTGCTTTAATGAAGACACAAACCAGAAACCTTCAGGTTGGCAGAGGAGCATGCAGATACTATCCTACCGCAGCACCCAATATAACTGGTACCATCAGAACTGGAAGTCTTCGACTGCCGCTAAAGATGAGGACGGAGCACTTATGGGTGTGTCTTGAGTGCTATGCTATGATGTGATTCTTAATTCAATATTCAACAGCTCCCAAGGTAGAGGTATTCCAATAACAGATATAAACGAATGAAAAAATTTAAATTTTAAAATGTCACAATCTGGGCATTCAGGCCCATCTTACAGTCGACCATTCCAAACATTTGTCTTTCAGGCTGCAGTTGTATTTTATTAATAAAGCGCACTATGTTTGTATAACAGTATAAATAATATGAATATCAAGTTGGAAAAAAAAAAAGGATAAGTCGTAAATGTATGTTTTCTCATTCTCTTCCTCTCTTATGCACATGCGCACATACACTTACACACTTGCATGCGCACACACAAACATACGCATACTTATAAACAACTTTATTAATACCTATAAAATACTGTCATAATACCCATACATATACTCTCATACATACCCACACATTCATACATACAAAGATGACAAAGGTACTGTTGTTGAGGTGTAAAGTGCCTGGACCGCAAACACCTTTTTTTCCCCGGTCATGGTATATGAGAAAGTGCGACCAAGTTCAGTCCTGATCCCATTTCCTTCCCAGAAAATTCTGAGAACAGTCTTAAACTAGTCTGATACCCATTTTTGTGTGGCTGGGCCAACCCCAGAACTGGTTGGAAACAATATTGTCCCCTTTATTGAGAATTAATGTGTTGGGAAAGAAGCAGGCAGATAGACTGGCTGGCTCTGCACCACTTGGTGGTGAATTGATTATGACAAGTTAGATATTGTGCGGGCCCTTTGGGAGCGAGTAAACAGTGTGGAGGTGCAGATAGATCATTACAGTCTAAGGAGAATGGCGCTGCAAGAGTTACCAGGGGCTCTGGCCGACACTCAACACTCATGGGAAGGATGAGACAGATATACAATCAGACGGTTACTGGTACCATCAGAATTGGAACTCTTCGCTTGCTCCTGAAGATGGAGACTGAGCACTTGTGGGAGTGTCCCAAGTACTGTGATGTTGATTCTTAATTCAACATTAAATATTTTATTGAGAATTAAGCAAGGACCCCTGTCTTGAAATGAAAGTTAAATCCATTCAGAAATTAAATAATGGTCATAACCCAGTCAGATTTTCAAAAATCCACAAAAAAGAAAATCTACAATTTTACACAGGACACTAATAAATTTGTTTAAAATGCATTTTTCTGCATTTTTAAATTGCGTGGAAAGGAAGGGGGGAATATGTAAAGATATATGAAAGACGTAATTAATAAATATTAAAAGGGTGCTATAAATACTTGTAAAGGGTGACTCATGACGTGACCCCATGAACTTTGTCACTGAACCTTATGGTAAACTTATATCAACTTGGCTTTAAAAAAGCCATTTAGCTGAAAATAACCCCACCCACCCAATGCTAATGTTAGTTAATGTTTTCATATCCAAACCTCCTAAATGTTTATGCAGGTGTGAAAACAGCCAATAGCATTAACTGTGTGTCTCGTAAAGAGGTTACTATCGACAAGTCAGAAAAGTTAAATTTACATGGAACTGGAGCCAACCAGCAATGTTAGTTTTTCATCTTCTCTGGCTGAAAGGGTTAGGATATCATGAAATAAATTAACTTGCAAAGATAACTTACTGGTTACTCCAATCAGAAGGGAGAAAGTGGATCGATACTATGCTAAAATATAAAAATGTACCTGATTGATAGCCTGTTCACATTTCTTGTTCACGAACTGTAAGCCATTCTCCACACACTTTTCAAACAGCAGAAGTAAGAGCTCCATGGTCTCTGGTGCCAGACGATTCTCATAATTCTTGATCCAAGTTTTTACATATGGCATCCATTTCAGCTCTTCTGCATCAATGTACACCATGCCACATCTGAGGAATTTGAAAACACATAAAATGTTCTCTTCCACTGCTCAACATCTATCCTACGGTGTGAAAGAAAAGACAGTCCTATAACACACAGTCACTGGGATGGTAAAATCAGTAAAAGGTGATGAAGGAGCAAACAAACTGGCAAGTAATGCACCAATGTATATGGGAAGAAGCGCTGACAGAACTTATATCATCATTGCTGTCCAGGCTATGTCAGTGCATAATGACAAATCTCTAATGCTAACAAGATTGCATGACCTAGGTAAAGCTTGGTAAAGCATGACTATGCCATCTTTGAGGTAAAGATAGCCGAAATTGACCAACTTCTCATAGGAACAATCAGTAGAGATACCTTGGAGTAGCTACTGCCTCGGAAGACTGAGCATGCATTGGAATGCCCAGTGTGCAAAGACATAGACTGTGATAAGATAACATAACTGTCATTAGAACACAGGTGTATTTTTTGTTACACCTCACTGAGGTGGGATAGCAAGGTCCATTTCTTGCAGTATTTCCTTCACAAATAATTTCTAAGAGCTGCAAAGAAACAGACTGTGAAAATAACACTGTTCAACAAATTCACTGAGAAACAGAAAATCAAATGGTTTGGTCTTCTTATTAGAATGCAGCCATAAGAAATACCACCAAAAGTGCTACTCATGAAAAGATTTGATGTGAAAGCAAGAGGTTGCCCTAGTAGAATACAAAATAATGTCATTAAAGAGCTTCTACAACAACACAGAATGACAATAGCCCTTACTACCCATAAAGCAATGGATCATAAACTGTTCCTCCTTGTGAAGCTTAACTGCAAAAGTGGAAATTAATAATGATGATGATGATGATGAGGATGAAGCAACGAAAATTATTTCTGAACTTTAACTGCAGAATTCATAAAACAACTTCTTGATGAATACGTTTAGCATGCTGTCCTCAGAATAATCTCACCTGCTAACAGTAGCAGGGGAGGCCACTGCCAAATCCTGTACCTCAAATAACATGTGAATGTAAGGGGTGAACTTGATCCTCTCACTGTTTGCCAAACACAGCATTTTGTTGTCATCCAGGACAGTGTTCATGTTCTCTATCCACAGAGCATCCACTGGGCCATCACAGACAATCCACTGGTGGTCCTCTGTGGTGTCCTATTGTTGAACAATACAGAAAATAATATGTAAAATGTAATTTATTTGGAACTACATAACATAGATAACATGCATCTATCCAGTAAAAACACATTAATGCCTTCTTCTTCAGCTTGTGTTCTTAAGGGCAGCTGGTACACTGTGTTGCGGTTTACAGCTAGGCTTATGGGCATGCTCCGTACAGTGTGGCAATCATCACCTCAAAGGGCCCGGGTAGTTAGCATCTTTAGGATATTTTCTCCAGGTCATGCCGGTGTGTTGGGAAATAAGCAGGAAGATAGACTGGCCGGTTCTGTACCTCTTGGTGGGGAACTGATGTATCACAAGCTGGATTTTGTGAAGGCCCTTTGGGAGCGAGTGAACAGTGCGGAGGCACAGATAGATCATTAGATCTGAGGAGACTGAAACTACGAGGAGTTACAAGAGAAACTGGCCGACGCTTGGCACTCAAGGGAAAGGCAAGAGAGATTTTACTCTTTGCTTGCTGCTGAGGTTGGGGATAGAGCGCTTATTGGGTTGTCCCGGGTGCTGTGATGTTAATTCTTAATTCAACATTCTACATTCTACAGTTAGGCTTTGATGTATGTGCCTTTTGGCCCAACACATCTGACCAGCAAACTCTAATTAGTCAACCTTTACAACAGGCTTTGGGGATGGTGATTATATTCTTTTCTAACCCTTCATGTGAGGATCCAGGGCTCACATAAACATATAAAGTATTAAGATGTAAATTGTGGGCTTTTAACAATCACTAAAGAAGAAAATTGAGGCTTTTCAACTTGAATGCTTTTGAACTGGAACTGGAACTGAAACAATCTTAAAATAATGTGGATCAAGACAAGTTAAAATACTTAATTTCTACATGATCTAAGCATCAAGAAGGACTGATTTAAAAACTGCATCACTTCTTGGGACCTGAAATACTTAGCCAACATATTGAATGTTGAATTAAGAATCAATATCCCTGCACTCGGGACACTCCCATAAGCGCTCCATCCCCATCTTCAGCAGCAAATGAAGAGTTCCAATTCCGATGGTACCAGTAACTGTCTGATTGTATATCTGTCTCACCCTTCCCTTCAGCTCTATTCTCCTCAGACAGTAATGTTTATATTTGCCTCTGCCCTGTTAACTCACTCCCAAAGAGCCCTCACAGAACATCTAGCCTGTCATACAACAATTCACCACCAAGTGGTGCAGAACCAGCCAGTCTATCTGCCTGCTCATATCTCACAACACCGGGTTGACCTAGAGAACAATTATCTAAAGGACACTAGCTACTCTTGACCTCTGAAGTGATGCTTGCCACTCTCCACCATTCTCAACAGGCTCTGTGAGTCTGTTACAATCACGGCATGTATGTACAGCTGATTCTCAAGCCAGCGGAAGGCAGCATTCACTGCCTCCACCTCCATTCTCAAACTAGACATTGTGATATCATATGCCAGACTTTGTTGCAATAAAAGACGTCTATTTGCTTTTTATATGAACCCCAGTGCACTTCCTCTGCGCCTCAATACAGAACCATCTGTGTAGGTAATCACATCACCTAGGTTGGAATTGTCATGAATCAGTTGTTGAACTTCTGATCATGCAGCACCAGCTGGCCAGTCCCTGCACTCACAACCTAAAGAGATTAGAATCCGACACAAGTCTGAAACTTGCTAGGGCACTTTGACCCACTCCTCTCCTCACCCAAATTTATCAAGCCTGCACATATGTCTAATTTTGTCTTCAGCTTGCACCATCCAAGACCTTTCTCTTTTCAGTCTGTGACCTTAGCTCTACAAAGGGCTTCATGAAAGAGGTGCTTTTTGTCTGCAGCTACTGTGAGATATGGTTTTGCTTGCAGAACTTTGAGCCTATCTGCAGTAGTAGGCAGTGCCAGTCTATATCGCATACATATTTCCGGGCTACCTCATGTACATCCCAGAATTACCTTCATGGCTTCATTTTACATGCATTCACGTTTCATCAGCTGACTCTTTGCTATGGTAAGCATGCCAAGTCCATAATCTATCACTGACAGGATCACATGCTGAGACACTGTGAGCAGCATTCTTTGTTCTGTGTCCATTGCTGCCTTTATGTTGACAGCATTGAGTTCTTTTTGGCATTTCACCTCAACTGCCTACACATGATCTCTAAAGGACAGGCTTCTATCAAAAATGATACCCAAGCACCTCAGTTTGCTTTCTCTTTTGATGTTATTGTTATTAATTGTGTGGCTTGGAACATCTGCTCTTACAATTATATTGTCTAGAGAGCACCACAAAACAGCCATCTTTTCTGAGTTGATGACAGCACCCATTTCTGCACTGCTAAGCCAATATTAAACTATGCAATCATTTAAATAGAAACAATTTATAAAACAGTCTCAAACGGAAAGTAAAACACTGCAGCTAGAAAGCCTGTTTCAGCATAGAATAATAAAAAAGATGATACACTTGCAACAAAATTTAATAAAGACTAAACTTCTTAAAAACTGAAGTCCTACTATTGTTGATATATCCAGATGCATTGGCGCACAGATGCACAGAAACAGTGATTTAAAAAAAAATAATGGAAGAATTAATTCTTGGAAGAAGAGGCAGGGATTGAACCAGCACAAAAGAGGACACAGGATATTAGACACTCTTTTGACATGAAAATATATAAAACATTCTTCTTCTGCGTTCGTTATTGAAAGGTCTGGTGGCACATGTGGTTTTCAGCTAGGCTGTGATATACATGCCTTTCAGCCCAACAAATCAGATTCATCAAACTTTTACAATATGCTGGTTAGGGTGGCAGTCAGACTATTCCCTCCCCACTCTTTTTCCGAGAAAAGAAGGTGTCGGTACCCACCACAAAGTATCTATTATAGTAGCTACAAAAAATATTCCTCCACAGTGCTGGTACAGCGTACCATTGCGTACCACCAGGGAAAAAGAGCCCTAACCATAATAGGATGGATATTCTAATACGTTGTGTTGATCTTCATTTACACACCTGAACAGCATGTCTGACTGTAAGTCCCATCAGGCCATCTTTCCACTCCATTGTCTGTTTGTCAACTCCCCCGTAGAGCTCTTCCATGGTTATGGCTTTGGGGTTCAGCACATAAGTGTGTACTGGTTGGTAAAATTCATTGCCAGCTTTCTTTGCATGTAGGTTCTCAAGAGTTTGAGCTAAAAGCTGAAATAAAAATGTACAAAGGAATGAAAGTTAAATACATGACAAGGGGGACAAACTACTAGGCAGACATAGAAGTTGGTACAGCCTGTGGAATGGCAACTCCAATTGTATATGTAGTAGATCCTTGTTGACACAAGCTCCAAAAGACTGAAAAACCATAAAACCATGAGTTTGTGTTAAACGAATTTTTATTACTTAGGGACTAATGAAACCAGAACTGTGTTCATGTTAGCCAAGTGTTTACTTTAAGTGAGTGTGTTATTGAGGTTTTGCTGTATACAGCATTTCTATAAAAAGTAAAAGATATGTTCTCATTCTCTTTCCCTCTCTCTTTCCCTCTCTCTCTCCCTCTCTCTCTCTCCCTCCCTCTCTCCCTCCCTCTCACTCCCTTTCTCTCACATCCTCTCCTTCCCTCTCTCTCCCTCCATCCCTCTCTCCCTTTCTCTCTCTCCTTCTCTCCCTCCATGCCTCTCTCTCCCTCCATGCCTCTCTCTCCCTCCCTCCCACCCTCTCCCTTCCTCTTGCTCCCTCTCTTTCTCTTGCTCCACACACACACACAACTCGGGGTGGGTGGGCAGGGAGAGGTGGGGGGAACTCAGAAGAAAAAAGGGAACAGAGTGTGACGATAAACCCCATTAGGGACGCACTATAAGCGATTAAAATCCGATGGCACAAAGTGCCACCATTCAGATGAGAATCCCAAAAATGCAAGTCCTAGAAACTACATTCAAGCATTAGGGATAGATTTTACTTATAAGAGGAAGTAAGAAGTTTTTTTTAAAATGAAGTTATCCATCTTTAGATTACTAAATATTCAACAAATACGAAATATTCACCTGGTATATTGTGGTTTTCCCTCCGCCTGTCGGTCCAACCAACATGACACCATGGCGGACAATCATGGTCTCGTAAAACTGAATCACTTTCACAATTTGGTTCTCCACAACTTGAAGGCCTGGCATGAAAATAGAATCAAAATGTCATTGATTAAGTATCTGATTAATTCACTCACTGAGAAACGCACTGTTCTGTGAAGCTATCTTAAAAATTTCAGAAAAGTTTAAATAAAAAAATGCCTTCTGTAGGCAAAAGGTTCAAATTTTGGCACGTTATCTATAGCTTTTGTTTTTATGATGTTTAGTGTCTATATTTTCTACTTCTTTCTATGAGTGCTGATCAATACATTGTCTGTTACCTCAGAAAAGTTTAAGGTTTAGGCTTAGCTTAGTACAGTTTGATATGGATGCCATTTATAGTTGCGGTGATGTCAAGACTGTATTCTGTTACCTGCTGCATTTTCTAAATCGTGTCGAGAGTTACAGCTGCAATTGCTACAGCGACCCTCTGTGTAAGGTGCTCCGTATCTTCGCAGATCCAATTTTAAGCCTCATGGTCACACAAAAACACATGAAACTACAACACACATGTATATTAATTAAATACTACTTTTTTTTTTTAACTCTTTGAGTCCCAGGAGGTTTAGCGTCAGAGGTCCAAGGGGTAGTCGAGAGAGATGTAAAATAGGCGCATCTTGTGTTCATTGGGCTTCTAGGTAGGAATCTATGAACGTATGACGCGTTTCTTAGGACTCAAATGAGTTAAATCCTGGCATTTATTCTTGATGACCATGTATAAATATTTCATCATGTCTGACTAAACTATCCTCTACATCTCTTACCCTTGTGATTTTCTGTTGCCAGCATGTTCCTTTTCTCCTGCCCAATGAATGCGGAACATTTATTCTCTATACAAGTAACAGTTCTCCCTGTTTACTATTTATTTTTAACTCTTTCAGTCCTCGCCACATATCAGTTACTTAACTTACTGATTCATAACTATTTATTATCTACAGTAACAAATATTTTGATACAGAGGGGTGAAAAATAATAATAGTGACAAATAGAGTCAGAAATGAGATGCTTACGTAAAACTGCCAATGTCACAAGGAGAGACAGAGTTCGAAACAAGAACATTAGATCAATTGTAGGAACCACACCATGCCTGCACTAAAGAAGCAACAAATAGAGTGGTTTGGCCACTTGATGATTCCTCTACTAGCATACAATCGAACAGCACAAATACTGCCCTAGAGCAAGAGGCAGAGAGGGTACGATGGATAATACAATATATCAGGGATCATGAGGCAACACGGACTAACAACAACACGTGCAACACACCTGGCCCAGGATAGAAAACTGCGTATCCCCACTACGCTGTGAGGCAATTGTGGACAAGACAAGACAAGGCAAGACAAGACATAGAGTCAGAATAGCATTTTAGTTAGCACTAGTTATTAAAATAGCTACATGGGTGAATTGTTATAATAGCTACATGGGTGAATTGTTATAATAGCCACATGGGGAAGTTGTTATAATAGCCACATGGGGACATGGGAGTTGTTAGTTATTACATGGGTGAGTTTACACCAACTAGGGAACAAAGAAAAGCATATCACACCAGGAGTCGCCAATAAAAGCATATCACATCAGGTGTAGCCAATAAATTCAGACCACTAAATGGGAACCACTGTTCAGAAGGATTTACAAAAAACAACAGGAATAAACTGTATGTTGTAATCAACTGATATCTTGCTTTGAGGGTTTCGGGGCTCCATTGTGGTAAGAAGAAGAGATGCCCTGCCCCCAAATATGTTGTAAAAGTCAACTATTAAGGGTGTTTCCTTCGAAGTCAGAGTGCATCTGCGTGAGAGGTGAGGAGCCAGCAGTTCACATACAAATAAGCCAGATCTGTAAAAAGGACATGCACGGAATATTCAAGTTATGGAATAACACACTGAAATCAGGAAGTGAATGAACAACCGTAACTTTCAATCAGAGTTTACAGCCAGTGAATGCAAAGAAGAAGAACTCGTATCAACACATGATTTATCAATGACTTTTCACTAGCTCATAATGCAGTTAAAAGCATCAATTTAATTTAAAAAAAAAAAAAAATTATCAGTAAAGTTCATGTCAAACTCACCTTTGGCAATCTGGACATTGATCATTTCTTCTTTTAGCTGACCATAGTCATGCTCTGGGATGTGAACTCCAGGAAACAAGTCTGACAGAATGGCCTGAAAAAGAGTAAGAACATTAGTTTGAATAGTTTACATTTACAAAGTAAATACATTACATTTACACAGTGAATACTTCACATTTACACAGTGAATACTTTACATTTACAAAGTAATCTTCTTCTGCTGCCTTAACACTTTAGGTGGAGGTTGGCACATTTTGTTGTGGTTTAAAGCTAGGCTTCAATATTTATGTCATTTGACCCAACACTTCAGATTTTAACAAATCCTCAATTAGTATCCTTTTATGACACACTTTTGAAAGGGTACTGGCGTCTGCAGTTTCTGTGTTGCAAACACACTTTGTAATTCTGTGGTGTCGGGTTTGATTTCAGCTGCGGGTGTTTTGGCAGCGGACTGCCTTGTGTTGATGCTGAAAGTGGTATCAAGAGCTGACCACTCAAAACAACTGAATGTAAAATTGCCTAGTGAAATTACAAACAGCCAAAAAATGCAGGGGGTGGTTCTAGAATGTCCTGTAAAGGACACTCGACATTCAACTAACTTTTTTTTAGACAGGCAATTTTAACATTAAAAAATAGGATTCCGATACCCACACAGGAAAAACAAAGTAATCAATAATGGTAAAAGTAAGTCAGGGACACATTTCAAGTTTATAAGTGTGTTGGATATATTGTGCTGGCCCCATCTGTCACTAACATTACAGGAGAGTTTTGAGAAATTCTGGTTTGAAGATCCACGAAGAGTGTGACCAATGCAGTTATTGTTAGCAGGAGTTTCACAGAGCAGGGCACTCACTTGTTCTGGCAATCTAAAAGGTTGCCAATGATGAAGGACATAGTCTAAAGCCATGTGGATGTGGAAAGCAAGGAGAAACTGCCACATTATTATCCCAAGAAACTTATCCATTTGGTAAGAAAACTGCATGAGGCAGGAAAGCTGGTGACAGACCTTCTTTTTAGGCAGACTCTGATAAAAGCGACATTCTGCAAAGGCCCTGCTACATGATGATGAATCTGCACTCGACTGGTGATGTGGTCAACATCCCTCTCAAGGTCATGGATTTGTTTTTAGGTATCATCATTTGGTTCATGACAGTGTAGATTTTAGCAGGTTTTTTCTTTAGAGATCCCTAAAAATAAATCCTGAAGCTATAGTTGTTTGTGCTTTATGCAATGCTCTCTTTTATCAAATAAAATCGACTGCAATGAAGTCAATACTTTCGCCATTAAACAAATTTTAAAAAAAATAATAAATCAAATTAGAGAAAAATGAATGCAGAATAAATCTAAATTATTTAAGTATCAGTACTACAAAAATAAAATTATTGAAATCCCACAACATTCCCATAACATATTCCCATAATATATCACAAATCCCATAACATATGTTAGAAACATCTGAAAATTATTCACACATAAAATGTTGTGATTTGCTATCCATTCTAAGAATTCACATGCATCCTCCGTTAAATTAGACATCAGCTACTATTTATTGCTACAGTTAATTTAAATAATTTAGATTTTATGTTTTATTTCACAACATGTTCATACAAAATCATTTTCCCAGCAAACAAAACAATGTTAGAGTGTCTCTTTGAGGAGTCATTATAGTGGTGTTTGGTCTGAATGTGATGGATTCAAAGGCCACTAAAGTTGTGTCTGGTCCGTAAAGAGTTAAGCTATTACCTATAGGTCAATGCTTTTAGAGTTCTTTAATTCTTTATTTTTCTTTTCTTACAGTTTAAACCATGTGGTGTTGAAAATGTGTCCATCACCTTCTGTCTCATGCTATGTCGATCACCTCCAACACAAACATTCTTCCATGCCATGCCATAATGCCAAACCGTCAACAACTTTCTTTTTTGGTCTCTCACTGTCTCTCTTCCCCTCCAACTTTCCAGTCCTCCCAACACATACTGGTTACATCTTTCTTATGATGTGCCCAAAGAATGTAGATTGTCCTTTTCTGATGCGGGTGATGAGTTTTCTTTGTGAGTTTCAAAATAATGTCATTACACTGTCCATGCTATCCGAGATCCCTTAAAATATCCACAAAGATAGATGACACAATATAATTACTATGACTGCTTGAAAGTATGTTTAAAATATATTGAGCTTGACCATCTATGCTCCTACAATCTTACACAACTGATACATAAGCTATGCTAAATTGAATAATTAAACATATCTGATAGGAATAAATATCCATTGCTGAAATATAAAAAAAATTCAGGATATCCCAGTCATAACATGGCTGGGCTAAAAAATATACTGTTGTGCAAAAACTACTACTGTCCACCTTCTTCTCATGATTCATCTATAAAATGACATCAATGAAGCCTCCACATATTTTTTTATTTTCACTCAGCTCAACTGTTTTCTTTTTCTTTGATCACCTCTTAAAATGTGGTTTGCAAGTTCTGTTGTGGTTTACAGCGAGGATGAGATACCTGCATTTTTGGCCCATCGCATCTGATTTCAGTGAACTTCTGAATAGTTATTTTTTTTTCAACTTGTTAAGTAGCAGTAAATCTTTTCTTTGTTACTCCAAATGGGGCCTCAGAACCCTCAAGGAAAATCCATCATGTCTGTCAATGATTCCCTTCCGTATTCTTCACTCACCTGGAACAGTAGAGCATCTTGGGTCAAGAACTTTGGCAAATTACTGTCCCTTAGTGCTCTGATCAAAACCACATCTTCAGCCTTATCAGGATTTTGTCTCTTTAAGGAGCCGGCCATCACCAGCACACTCTTGACTGCTCGCATGCCAAAATCATAATGGTCCTGCTGGGACAGCTGTTCAGAACAGAGCTTGTACATCTGTGTCATCTTCTGAGCAAGTCCCTTGGAAGATTCAAACCCCTCTGAGTACAGAATGACCTCAGCAATCAAAGCTGGGGATTATATGTTGAGTACAATCAGTAAATGGAATCATTTTTTTAATGCAGTGAATAGAGGGGTTTAAAGCTGAACACATTGGGTAAAAGGGAATAATGTCTTGAGTGCAATGAATAAAGGGGTTTAAAGTTGAATGCAATGAATAAAAGGAATAAGTGTTGAATGCAATGATTTCTCAATGTGGGCTGCAGGGCCACACTGGACATAAAAAGAATAGATTTACTGCCCTCCTTACAAGCACATTGTACTAATTAGGGGATTTTCCTTCTAAATCTGCCTGAGAGGTGAGGAATCAACAGGCTGCATTCAAATGAGCCAGATCTGTAAAATGGAGATTATATGTAAATGAGATTATACGCTGAGTTGAAAAAAAAAAAGTAAAGTAAAGGTCCCTTTAAAACGCCTTTAGGTGTATAGGGCATAAAGGGCGACCGATATTTTTATACACCAATCGGCACAAGATGGGTGATGTGGTCAGCATCATGTCGGCCGCCTTTACTTCCCGGGACTGCATGAGTAAAATGAGTAAAGGATTATCTGTTGAATTCATCATCATCATCATCATGTAGCAGGTCCTTTGCAGAACGTCGCTCTCATCACGGTCTGCCTGAAAGAAACTCTCGCCAGTTATCCCCCCTCATGTACTTTCATACTCAAGGAGTCACTCAATCCTGTGCCCATCTTCGTGTCGGTCGGCCCCTGCCCCTCCTTTTCGGTACCATGCCTTCTGATATAATTTTTTCAAATCCGTCTGGGCGTTTGATATGACCAAAATATTTCAGCTTCTGACACAGAATGCTGTTTTTTAGCCAATCTTCCTTGATGTTCAGATCTTTCAAGATGTCAATATTTCTCCTCTTCTTTGTCCAAGATATTCTGAGAATCTTTCTATAGCATTTCAGCTCAAAAGCCCCTATCCTCTTTCTTAAGGACTGTGAATTCAATCAGTAAGGGGATTATATGTTTAATACAATGAGTAAATATTATGTGTTGAGTACCACCATGTGTCAGCATCTATGGCTTTTGGCGATGCGAACGCACTATTACCGAGGTGCTGGGTTTGATCCCAGATGGGGGTGATTTATATTGTGTTGGTTTCGAGTACAGAGAGCTGTTCAGAAAGCAATGGCAAATTACTGAACATAAAATTTGACTAGAAAAACCACAGCAGCCAAAAAATGCTTGGTTGGTTCTGCAACATCCTGTAAAGGATATACAAATAACTTTAACCATAAGTAAAAGGGAGCTATGGTAGTTCAGTGGCTAGATGCTAGCCTGAAATATGAACCAGAAAATGTCTGGGGAAGCACAACAGCCACGACATTACTGACTATTCATTGTTCTGTGTGTCTTTTTTGTTTCCCCATAAATTGAGGTGCCTGGAACCAACACTGGGATGATACTGACCACATCAACCACTGAGTGCCTAGGCTTTTAAAAGTTATGTTGTGCTGCCATTCCCCAGCTACTGAGTCGAGTGCTTGGTGCGACACTGTGAAGTGAAGATTTCAAATAAATTATTTTCAACTGTGCCCAGCTTGGTTTGTGCTGCTAACTGTAGATTAGGAAATGTCAAGTGGTCTGTTGCCACAGAACTTGTAGTGACTTATTTGATTATTCATGTGTGCAACTACAGATCTGTTGTAACTTCTGCTTCCATTAATAATTAACTGCATTTCGGTGTCAGACTGTTTGTGTTGGCACTTCTAACAGCTGCCCTATGAATTTACTGCATGTGTATGCTACTGGGTTTGCTGAGACTGTGGTCTGTGTCAGTTAGTTCACAAGGGACAGTGATGGATATTCTGCGTGGGTGTCATTGGCATAGAAATGGAGCAACTATGGGGTGACCCGTTTTCTATAAATTTGGAACTTCAGTTGCCTGATAAAGTCTTTAAAAATATGGGGCTAACACCTTATAGCCATTACCACTCAATGCAGGGACATACGGCCTGCACTCTTTTTAATTTAGAAAAAAACTAGAAGCCACTTACTGTAGTCGGGCACCATCATGGAAATAGGCCGAAACAGAGCTTTTAGATTATCTGGCAACTCAGTACGTCCAGCATAGCCAGGATTCATTGTGATGAAGGCTGCACAAGTGTATACCAGTTTGATCTCTCGACCTTCAAACATGAACCTTTGGAGCTGTGGGTGTACAAAATAAACATGAATTGTGCATAATTTTGTAGCTCTGAATGTGCAAACACAGGGACTTCAACAGAAGATTCATACCTGTGACTGAAAAAGTCAATATTTAAATGTGAACTTAACAACAGCAGATCAAAGAAATGCTTGTGAATGTTTAGTTTTTTTTAAAGGTTTTATGATGCACCCAACAAAGCAAATGTTCAATTTGGGTAGGTGTTTTTAATAGGACGTACAAAGTAAGCATAAAATGTGCATACGTTTTGTAGCTTTGGATGAACAGAGTAAACATAAACTGGTCATAACCTTGGTATGTACGAAGTAAAAAAATACATATTTTTTTACAGCTATGCATGAACAAAACAAACAAACTGTACATATATTTTGTAGATGTGCATGAACAAACAAACAAATAATAATAATAAAGTTAGTTAAGTCCTTTAGAGGACATTGCAAAATCAATCGCAGCATATTCTCGCTGTTTGTAATTTTGCTGGACAATTTTATTCAGTAGTTTGTGATTACTTTCTGAACTGTTGTCTCGATACCACTGTTGAAACCAACACAAAGCAGTCTGGTGTAAAACTGCCCACGGCTAGGATCAAACTCTGTTCCATTGAATTATGAAGTGTGTTCACACCTAAGCCACAGACGAGTGAACAAAACCAACATAAACTGTACATAAGTTGTATAGCTGTGTATGAATAAAGTAAACATAAACTGTACACAAGATTTGTAGTAGTGGATGTACAAAGTAAATATAAACTGTGCAGAAGGTTTGTAGCTGTGGATGTACAAAGTAAACATAACGTGCATGTAACATAAAGAAAAGGAAAACTAAGAGAGAGAGAATTACTAAAGTTGACACCAGTTTCCAGATATGTTCCTTGAGTCCTACTTCAGTCTCAAAGGCAAATAATATTTTGTTTACTCAATATCATCTAACAGGCTGACAGACACACACACATGCATCGGCACACACAAGTACGCATGTGCATATTTGCTCACACAATCACACACACATTTTCAGCAAGCAGCAAAGAGAAGGTGAAGAGGAGAAAACGAGGAAATCTTTTCTCCAGGTCATGCCGGCTTGGTGGGTAATGAACAGGCAGACAGATTGGCTGGATCCGCACCACTGGGTGGTGAATTGATGCATGATAAGGCAGATATGGTCAAGGCCCTTTGGGAACAAGCAACGGAATTAGTAGAGGAAGAAGACTTTTATGGCCTGGAGAGAATGAGACACCTGGGTGTAACCAGAGGGTCTGGCGGTTCACTACACTCAGAGGAAAGGCAAGATGGACATTTAACCAGATTTTGACCGGTACCATCAGTATTGCAACTCTGCGCTGGCTGCTGAAAATGAGGAGGGAGCATTCATGGGAACCCTGAGTGCTGTGATGTCAATTCTTGACTCAACTCAACTCAACTCAAAAAAACTCACACACACAATGGCAACATATCCACCATACACAGTGGGGATAATATGGGGGGAAGAAGCAAACCTCACCTGATCCTGTTGAACTCATCAAAACAGCACCAGGCTCCTGACTGGGCCAGGCCTGAGAAGAAGCCACCCATCATCTGGTGGGCGTTAGAACAAAAGTCTATTAGTATTCAATAAATTCAATGTTTCAGTGGCAATGTGGGTAAGCCAGTTGCCTCATGCTGTGAAGGTCAATGTCAGGATGTTGTTGAGTTTAAAAGAAGTGGCCATTAAGTGAAACTGACTTAAGGACAGATAGATGGTCAGTCATGATGGACTGAATAGCCACTGCAAAGATGGGTTATTTTTTATTTATTCAATACAACGCAACACAACATGAATTTATTTGTTTCTAGTTAACTGATGCAATTTTCTTTCATTTCTTGTGCCCCATCCAGTTTTTATTTTAGCCCATTCTGCTCTAATTATTACTTACACCCTTCTTTCTCAAGGTCTCATAGTTTTAAAGCTTTTAATGCATTAAAGGAAGTGGTTATTAACTGCACTTGACTTAAGGACAGAAAGATGGTCAGTCATGATGGACTGGGCAGCCGATGGGAAAATGGGTTACCGGGTGACAAGATAATCACTGAGATACTGAAGTGATTAGAGGTCCACAGGCTGATTTGTGAGGTTTGGAAAAGAGGCAGACAGCGGGTTGACAAGAACCTTTAAAGGCAGATGTACGATAGAAAGGAGTGAATGATTTTGAAAGAAAAGACAGTACAATTCTAGAAAAAAAGTGTATGAGCAATTGTGTTCAGAATTGTTTAAGCACATTGATTATTTGGGTATTCTCCCAACAAGAATTTATTTGTCTTTTACTTACCTGATGCTTTTCTTCACTCCTTGCGATCAATCCATTGTTACATTAACCAAACGTACTTTTATTATTATTTAATTCCTTCAGCCCCATACATGCATCAAATTTGATCAGCTACTGCCCATGTGTCTCAAACAATGCATCAAATTTGATCAGCTACTGCTCATGTGTCTCAAACAATGCATCAAATCTGATCAGCTACTGCCCGTGTGTCTCAAACAATGCATCACATCTGATCAGCTACTGCTCATGTGTCTCAAACAATGCATCAAATTTGATCAGCTACTGCTCATGTGTCTCAAACAATGCATCAAATCTGATCAGCTACTGCCCGTGTGTCTCAAACAATGCATCACATCTGATCAGCTACTGCCCATGTGTCTCAAGTAATGCATCAAATCTGATCAGCTACTGCCCATGTGTCTCAAACAATGCATCACATCTGATCAGCTACTGCTCATGTGTCTCAAACAATGCATCAAATTTGATCAGCTACTGCCCATGTGTCTCAAACAATGCATCAAATTTGATCAGTAGCTGCCCATGTGTCTCAAACCATGCATCAAATTTGATCAGCTACTGCCCATGTGTCTCAAACAATGCATCAAATTTGATCAGCTACTGCCCATGTGTCTCAAACAATGCATCAAATTTGATCAGCTACTGCCCATGTGTCTCAAACAATGCATCAAATTTGATCAGTAGCTGCCCATGTGTCTCAAACAATGCATCAAATCTGATCAGCTACTGCTCATGTGTCTCAAACAATGCATCAAATTTGATCAGCTACTGCTCATGTGTCTCAAACAATGCATCAAATCTGATCAGCTACTGCTCATGTGTCTCAAACCATGCATCAAATTTGATCAGTAGCTGCCCATGTGTCTCAAACAATGCATCAAATCTGATCAGCTACTGCCCATGTGTCTCAAACCATGCATCAAATTTGATCGGTAGCTGCCCATGTGTCTCAAACAATGCATCAAATTTGATCGGTAGCTGCCCATGTGTCTCAAACAATGCATCAAATCTGATCAGCTACTGCCCATGTGTCTCAAACAATGCATCAAATTTGATCAGTAGCTGCCCATGTGTCTCAAACAATGCATCAAATCTGATCAGCTACTGCCCATGTGTCTCAAACAATGCATCAAATCTGATCAGCTACTGCCCATGTGTCTCAAACCATGCATCAAATTTGATCAGCTACTGCTCATGTGTCTCAAACAATGCATCAAATTTGATCAGTAGCTGCCCATGTGTCTCAAACAATGCATCACATCTGATCAGCTACTGCTCATGTGTCTCAAACAATGCATCAAATTTGATCAGTAGCTGCCCATGTGTCTTAAACAATGCATCAAATTTGATCAGCTACTGCCCATGTGTCTCAAACAATGCATTAAATGTGATACAATTTTTGGGGGCCAATAATTTTAAAATTCACCATAGTATGTTTTATGTTCTTAGTTACATGCTGCCCTCATGAAAGTAATGCAAATATACTTTATTCCTTGTGGCATCTACTCATGAGACATCTACTATGAGGTTTTATGAGACCAACAGAGTTAAATTCTTTCTGTATCAAGTATTATAATTTTAATACATCAACTCTTACAGTATAAAGCAACTTATATGCTTAGTGATTACTATAAATATGGTATACATTAGCTAACTTTTTCTGTGCCATTCTTTTGTTAGACTCATCTTTCCACCACTGTGGTTACTTTAACTCATACAGTTTTGTATTTATATTTTGGTTCTCCAGAATTCATAGACTTAGTCCCTCCCCTCCCCCTTTCTACAGCACAAGATAATCCCATTCAACACAAAGAAACATCTCATGCAAAGCATATTGATTCTTACCTTATGCTATCAGTGCCAGGCATGGTCACTCACAACAAACCAAAAAAGAAAACTAATAACCACTGATATGGGATGTCAGGGAAGGGCTGCAGCAGTGGCCACAAAAGATAAAATCAGAAATGAGGTCATAAGAGAAAAGTCTGGCAGAGAACCAATTCTAAATTACATACAAACACAGAAAATCAAAGGGTTTGCCCACTAAGAGATAATGCCCTGTGATGCCATACTATACAAGGCATCCACTAAAAGAGGAGAATGAGGCAGAGCATGAGGTAGACCAAAAATAATTTGGAAAGATAAATGAAACTCTAGAACAGCACTATGTGACTATGGCTCAGGCAGCCAGAAGAGCACAAAGTAGAACCTTATATCTCCCTTGACACCTCAAGAGGTAGAAGACGTAGTGAAAAAGAATAAGAAGAAACTCAAAATGATGCTCTAAAGTAGACAAACTCTCATTTTGAAAGCCCTGAAGTAACGACTGGCTGGTACTAAAACACACATTTACTAGTTGAAGAAACCAACTTGCTAGGGGAGAGATAAAGTTAAAGTAAAAATATTGTCTGCAACTGAAAAACTTAAAGAAATAAATTTCCTAATAAATAGCTTCAAGCAATGTTGCTTTAACATCTGCTAAAGTCAAAGTGTCTGTCTCGCAACACCAAGATCAAAATATATAAAACGTTCATAAGACCCGTTGTTTTATATGGCTCTGAAACTTAGGGCACAACTAAAAGAGATGAAGCCTTATTACAGGTTTTTGAAAACAGTCTTACGACAAATCTTTGGACCCATCAAAGATGCAAACAGCGGGGAATGGAAAGTGAGAGGTGACAAGCAACAACTGAATACATAATCTGTTTAAATTACTATTGATCACTGGCATCATGAAAGCTAATAGACTGAAAAGGTTGGGGAATATTGAAACAATGTCAGATGACAGAGAAGTAAAAACTGTATGCACAAGGGAGATGAATGGTTGTAGACCACGAGGCAGACCAAGAAGACGATGGAGAGATAATGTTCAGACAGACCTGCAAACACTTGGTGTCACCAACTGGAAAGAGAAGGCCAACCAGAGAGATGAGGTGAAGTCGGGTGATATCTGCAGCAATGAACCTCAAAAGCTTGGAATGTTGAACAACAAGAAGAAGCATGTAAACATGCTACAATATATATGTATAAAAATACATACAAAAACATATATTTCATAAAGACAAATCAGTAAAGACTAAATCACAAAAACAGACATAGGACATAACTTTCTAACCTTGTAATCAAGACCATCAGAACAGTTGAACACCACACACTGTTTGGCCAAGGATTTGGCCAGATCTTTTGTAGTCTCAGTTTTGCCAGTGCCTGCTGGTCCTGCAGGAGCACCACCAAGGTCGAGCTGAAGCGCCCCCATCAAACACAAATAGCAACGATCCTGATGGAGAGGTAGAAAGAAAATATTTTGTTTTTAACTAATTGCTCACTGTTCATTTCAAAACCATCTTCCTTTGCCCGTTGAAGATAATCATAAATTCTCGGATCTTCTAAGAATGTATCTTATGATGTTTACGCTGGATTCCTTTTCAGTATAGTTGTCAGGGACCTAATCTACTCTAATTATTTTATATGGCTCGCTAGGTAGGCCAGCTGACAGACTTAACTACCCAGACACACTTAAGACAACACTCCCGCTGAGTACAAACATAATCTTTAATGTACAATGAACAATACGTACGTTAAACACCTCAACCGAGCTAAGCAGTTCCAATCCGAAACCCCCTGGCGATGGCAGCTTTAAAATCCCTGCTCAACCCAGGCCAGTTCCCATGGATCTATCGGGAACACGATTCTTAGCTGCTCGTTTCTTAGTGCTAATTAATCCGCCGTCTATTGCCAAACAGGACTCAGCGATACACATAAGGTGTGTGGCCTAAGCGTGACCGGGCAGTGTTATCGCCATTACAATGCGCGTCACCTTGATTAACAGCTCAAACAAATACTGCATGGAATGTCTACTCCACAAAGGACCTTAACTCTATACTATCTAGTCTAAACATAGAAACACAGCCTATCATCAATCCTAAATACAAATACCCTATTACAACTAACCGTTGCTAAACCTAATTGTTACCTAGTCACTTGTTCCGTCTTCTCTCATCCAGTCCTAGCACACAACTCCCCAAAACCAACTCGGACAAAGCCTTTTGTATTTCCCTCTGAGTTCACGGCTTAACACGCAGCAATCCGTGTCAACTGAGTGAACTGGACCTGACCTGTTAACTGGACCCAGTTTATTGCGTGGCCAAGCTGTCCGCTCTCATACTGAGTTGTACTGAAGGTCAACTCGTACAAACGTGATGATACACTATCATCTGTGGTGCTTCCCATAGCCAAACTGGCCTCTGACATCTTTTACGCTGGATTCCTTTTCAGTATAGTTAATATAGATATAGTGACTGTGAGATACCTGCATGGTTTTTATATTGCGCTTCTTTAAATGGTATATCTAGACTTGGCATTTTAATCAGACAGTAATCACATCTGAGGTCTTCAGTGCAAATTATGTCTCATATATCATTATTTATGTCAATTCTGTCAAATTTTTTTTTCAATTTGTAGACACTATGGTGTGCATATGACAACAGACAAAGAGAAAGGGGAAGCTTTTCTCCAGAGGTATATAGCTCAGATCATAATGATGTAGAAATCAGGGATGCAGTTAGAAAGAAGTTAGCTGGCACCTTAAAGAATATGCATTATGAAGACATGATACAAGTAGAAGATATCAAACAAATTTTGAAAAAGGCAAAAGACACTGCACCAGGGCCTGATGGGGTCAAGTATGGCCACAGGAAGGCTTTGAGTGATGTAGACCTGGCAGAGATGGTCGACTGTTTTAACCAGAGCATTAAGACAGCATCAGTACTGCAGGACTGGGTGAACAGCTATCTAATCCCACTACCAAAGCCTTTTAAGGATCATTCAAAGCTCAGTGGCTTAAGAATCATCACCTTACAAAACACATTTGGGAAGGTCTTGGAGAAGATAGTTGCTGTAAAGCTGCAAGAATTTTTGGAAAGGGCGATGCTTCTCCCAGGAGGTTTGGGAAGCTACAGGCCTGGAAAGGACACATGGGCAAATGTGGCTACTTTTGCTTTTGACATCTATGAAGGGTTCCAGAACAGACAGGAAACTATGGCAGTAGCACTGGATGCTTATAACAGAGTGAGATACAATATCTTGATGACTGCACTGAAGGAGAAGGAGGTCAGTCCATGGCTGGTGAATTAGGTTGCAGCTGTCCTGTATTCACGTCGAGTTGCTCTCCGACTTGGCTCATGGACCTCAGAACCATGCACTTTGGCCCCAGGACTACCACAGGGATCCACCATCTCGCCTGTGCTCTTTAACATGTATACATGATGAGGCAGCCATGGTTAGTGCCTTGGGGGGAAAGTATTTACAGTTCGGAGGAGTAGATGGATCACCACCTGGTGAGATTGATGCAGGGGGGAGTGATGAGAGGTTCTGGCACTAACCATGGCTGCCTTATCAGCTCAGCTTTTGTTTTTTAAAAATCTATACATTGTAAAATGATTCTCTAATTTTATTCTTCACTATACTCACTGTCAAAGGAGTGATGACAAGCCTAGGAGATGCTCCCAGATACTCATAACCATAGACGTAAAAGGAGTTGGACATCCTGACCACACAGTTGTCCAGTTCTGGATCCCAGTAGTAGCGGAGCTGTTTCTGCCATTCAAAGCTGGTCACCAGGTCAACCTGTATTATTTTCCAAAAGATTAGAAGTCATTAAAACAAAAATATCCTGTATCCCATCAGTGTTATAACTGCCTGGTAGAGTTTTTTCTATTTAAGTTGTGGCCACTCCAGCACACCAGGTAATGACAGAGCTGACAGACTGGCAAAGAAAGGAGTAACACAAGAACAACCACCTACAGCGACAACCCTACAGACAGCAAAAACACTTATAAAAGCTTTAAACAAAGAGACTTGGCTGAACAGATGGGCCATGGGAGATACTGGAAGAGAGGTTTATGGACACATGGCTAGCCCTGATCCTAATGACAGCATTAACTATTTAACAAGAAGGGACCAGGCCACATCTTCAGACTCAGAACACAAGATACTCCACTCAAAGGACACCTAAACAGAATACAGCCACAACACTTCCTAGAGTGCCAGCTATGTAACTACCCCTACGAAACTGTTGACCATCATCTCTTTGAGTGCCCAAAACTCAACGAGACTAGAAGAATGCTACTCCCTCCAAGACCAGACAGGTAGAACACCTTGTACGGAGGAAAAGAACAGCTTGTGAAAACATGCAAATTCCACTACATGGCATTGGGCCAAAGGGCGAAAGCTCATGCGCCGCTGGATCAATAACAACGCCCTCTTACCCCGCCCTCTTACCCCGCCCAAAGGGCGAAAGCTCATGCACCGCTGTCTCAATAACAATGCCCTCCTACCCCACCCTCCTGCCCCGCCCTCATGCCCAGCCCTCATGTCCCACCCTCCTACCCAGTCCTCCTCCCCCGCCCTCTTACCCCGTCCTCTTACCCCGCCCTCTAACCCTCACATCAAAACATGAACTGTGGAAAATGTTGCCCACGTGTGCGGCTTTGTGGTTGTGTTTTTTTTTATAGACCACCATGGCTCACTAAATGTGTTTCACTTACACAGATAACCCCAGGGGAAATATCATGGGTGTATAGAATTCACTGTCACTGGAAATATAATATTCCGGACAACATGCACATATAAAATGTTTTGGGTTTTCAGCACACGTGTTCATGTCAAAACAATGTCAGCCAGTCTGAGTGACAACAGACTTAAGAAGTCAACTATCATGACAGTAATGAGAGGGAAGGCAGGATATGTAAGACGTCAATGTGAGACATAGGACCTTCAGACTAGACTGGAGAGAATGTGGAATATGAGGAGGAGAGATGATATATATTTTATTAGTATATTCATGCTTAGTGTAAGTATAGATACTACACATATGTGTTTGTTTCAATTATTACAGCTCCAATCGGAGTAAAGACCAGTCCGTTCTGATAGCAGAAAGAGAGGGTCCATGTGCATGAACCTACATTATGTGGGAGATCAGCAAGCTAGGAACAAATGTTGAATTAGGAATCGACACTTCCATATGCGCTCTGTCCCCATCTTCAGCAACAAGCAAACAGTTAAAATTCTGATGGTACCAGTAACTGTCTGACTGTATATCTGTCTCGCTCTTCCCTTGAGTGTTGAGCGTCTGCCAGATCCCCTTGTAACTCCTCGTAGTGCCGTTCTCCTCAGATGGTAAGGATCTATCTGTTCCTTTGCACTGTTCGCTGGCTCCCAAAGAGTCTCACAACATCCAGCTTGTCATACATCAGTTCACCACCAAGTGGTGCAGAACCAGCCGGTCTTTCCACCTGCTCATTTCCCAACACTCCAGCATGACCTGGAGAAAATATCCAAAGAATTATAACTACCCGGGACCTCTGAAGTAATACTTGCCACTCTGCACGGAGCATGCCTGTCTCCACCTTTCTCAGCATGCTCTGTGAGTCAGTTACAATGACAACATGTGTGTGCTGCTGATTCTCAAGCCAGCAGAAGGCAGCAGTGACTGCCTCCACCTCCATTCTCAAACTAGACGTTGTGATATCAAATGCCAGGCTTTGTTGCACCAAGTGACGTCCATTCGCCTTCACTATGAACCCCCATGCACTTTGTCTGCCCCTCAACACAAAGCCATTTGTATATACAATCACATCACTGGGGCAGGAATTTTCATGAATCATTTGTGGAACTTCTGATTCTGCAGCCCCAGCTGGCCAGTCCCTGCACTCATGTCATAAAGCTAGGAACAAGCTGGGAAGAAGCAGGAAAGAGGTGGAATAAGCTGGAACAGCTAGAAAGGGCCTCAACTCGAGGGCTCTCTGATGTTCCACTTTATAAAATTAACAAAGTTACGTTCATTATGTTTGTTCATAAACCTATCATCATCATTTAACTTCACTACAATCTCAGGTGCTCAGTTCTCTAGCTGAAGCATCTCATTACCACCAAACCATCACTGTTTAATCAAATATATTATAAATGACAAATGTTATCTAAATGATAGCTAGTGTAATAAATCTAATATATGGTTTTATACTGCATCGTTTGTCAAATTCCAAGTATTTGTTCTTACATGTTTAACTAAACTGTTAGAGACAATTGCATTTGGTGGGGGTTCATTAATAATTCTTTACCAGGAGGAGGTTGTCGAGAGGGGTCACCTGTCCTGTCTAATAATATATTATTTATAATAATTTAGACATCTAAAACCCCTTTCCTTCTCCTGTGGGTACCAAATGCAGCTGTTGTTAATTTACATAATGAGCCAAATATGGCTGTTTTCTTGTAAATCCAGGACTTTGTCTGAGATACATAAAGCTCGGATATAAGTCCAGTTTATCCGGTGGAGGGGAAGTGTTGAGAGTAAAACTCCTACTCATCAGAAAAGCCTCTATCCACTTCGGGACTTGCGACAATCACATATAAGAAAAATATGTGATCTAATTACTTCTCCCTACAACAACAACAACAACAACAACAATAACAACAACTACAACAACAATAACAACAACAACAAACCATTCTGCTGTACAGACATTACCACATACAAATATCTAATTAGTTCACTCTTTAATTTTAAAAATTACTTATGATTAATCACTATCATGTGACATAACAAACCTTGACCTGTTAGGGTCATGGAGGTGTATCGATAGAAGCCCTAGCACACAAAACCCACCATATTTCTGTTTTCCACGTGTTAAACAATAATTTAATCCTGTTCATTTCTTGATGTGATCACTCCAGGTTCTTCTTTAACCTCTCTTTTTCAACTGCTCCTCAATATTCCTTGAAGTATAGTCTTTGCAATAAAATCATGTCTCAACATGTGCCTGAATCAACCGGCTTGTGATGTTTCATCACTGCCAAAAGAGGCTACTGGCATTCTGCAAATGTATTTGTCTCATTTTCATCTATGAGTACACAGCTATGAACCAGTTACCTCTTTCTTCACCATGTCAGTTATCATATCTCTAGCGTGTACATCAATAGTGATCAGAGCACACAATACAGCTCGAGTCAGCTTTGGGAGTTCACCTCGTACAATGGATGCCAGCGTTACCAGGTCCTGGAAACAAATGGAAAATATCCAATAATATTTAATATGTTAATTTAATATTTAAAAGTTTTTTTTTTTTACTTTAATGCCAAGAACATGAAAACAATGGCTGTATCAAAAACAAATACACATGTGATATTTTAATAGAAGTTAAACCTGGGAGGGTAACACAGATATTGTGAGGTTTGTTGTTTTATATTGTTGCGCAGTTCAAACTGGCCACCTATTTCACAATGAGAATGACACGTGAGTTGGTTCATTAGACAGATGTTACACTTTTGCAACTGGCAGACAGACACTGACAGACGTTAATCAGAAACTTTAGCTTTTAGGGATGTAAAGTTCTTGTCCACAAGGGGCTCAGACAAGTCTACCGAGGCTCATCCCCTACGACATTCCATTGTGTCCACAGCCAGCTCAAAGCCTTTTCAGCTGATTCACCCAGTTGTTTTAGTTCCCATTTACGCCTTGCAAGCCCAGGTGCTTTAGTATACTGTATGTGGAGGTGAAGATTAGCCCTCTTCTGCCTACCTCAACGGCGAAGTGTTTTACTTTGTATGCCTCAGCACTTCTCAGAATGGCCACCATCTCACAGTACTTTTTGAGCTTGTACAGATGATTTTTCTTCCATCCTCAACTCGAACGGCATGCTAAGTTCTATCAAGATGAGCTGGCATTTTGCCACAGAGTGCAAAACCAAGTCTGGTCTCAAGCCAGTCTTTTGGACTGATTCTTGGTATTTATCAAAATCATGCAGGCCGACCGCCAGTAACCAGCCCCTCGCAGTCAAACATCGATGGAGCATATGTGACTTTGTTGAGTTTACCTTTAGAAATCTGCCCAGTCCAAATAGTATTGATGAATACACAGTAAAATCTCATTAACATAAATTCAAAGAAGCTGAAATATTAAGTTTGTTTTTTGAAGAAAAAAAAAAAATGTGTGCTTACTAGTGACTAATAGATGTTTTATGAATAATAAATACATCACTGCTGGATTAAATAACTAATTAACTAACAGTTGACAATTCTCAAACTTAATATCAAATCAGAAGTTCTTAAGAAACGGAATGAAATAGTGTTGACAGATTTAAAAATGAAACCATTGAAATATTTTAGTCTCATGTATATACGCTTGATTTAAAACCATACTGGAAAGAAATGTTGAAAGCAGCAAGGAACTGATTCCCCAGATCAGAAAGAGACAGTCTACATTTTTTTGGTCATGTGATGAGAAAACTGGAGTACATCACAACAGTAGGAAAGTTGGAGGGAAAGAGAGACAGAGAGAAAAGATGCTGGACAGTTTGACATCATGGAATGGAAGATCATCTGTGTCAGAGTTTATAGAAGGTAAACAAGACAGAACCCCCCCCCCCCCCACCCACCCCCACACATGCACACATACACACGCATGCACACACACACACACACTCTAAACTTACAGAAAAACTCTTCTGCTCAAATTCCTTCAATGCATCCAGCCTGTCAAAATCCCCTTCTAATATTTCACTGACATCACGACACCACTGCAGCTGCGATATGGTTAACACAACCTGGCAGGAGTGTACAGAAACAAACTGCTATATTACAACAGGATTTTATGAACACTTGGGAAAAGTTATACAGAAATATATCATTATCGTGTCCTGGGAAGTAAGAGCCGCTGGGATGATGTTAAACACATCACTCATGAAGAGCTAACTCACCCTCAATCAGAATGTCCTTTTTAGAAAATAGTTCTCTTCACAGCACACCAGAAAGTCTCTATTTCTCTTGCCCATTCCCCAGCTTTATGTGCTTTCAATGTATCTTCAATGTCTTGTCACCAACTTCACGGAGTTTAGCCTCTGGGTTTGTTTATCCAGAAACTGCACCAACTATCACTAAAATACTTCCATTTTCAGAAAGGATACTGTTTATGAACCAATTCTCCTCAATGTTCAGATCATGAAGGATGTCAATATTATTTTTTAAAAGTTATCCTGGCCCACAGTATTCTAAGTAGAAATGCTGACTTGCCAATAAAAATGTGAAATTGGTACCAAATGCCTGCTGAACGTTAGATAAAATGTTTGCAATAATATTTTTTTTTTAATGAATGTTGAATTTTGAATTAAGAATTACAACATGGAGAGAGAACTGACCCGTCAGCTAGACTCACAGAAAAAAATCAAATCGTTCTCCAGTGGATTCCTGCTCACTGCGGCATACCAGGAAATGAGTTAGCAGACAGACTTGCAAAAAATGGAACAAAGGAGAAACAACACGCCCATTCATTGTCATTACCAGAAATCAGAACACTTATCAAAGGAAAATACAAAGGATTGTGGAGAGAACAAACTAACAGTAAACATCCACAAGACCCCATCAGCAGACTCAACAGAAAGCAACAAACAACAATTTTCCATCTACGAATAGGACACTGCAGGCTCTACTACCACATGCATAAAATAAAGATTGTACAGTCACCACAGTGTGCCTGTAAAACAGGACCCCAAACACCTCAGCAAATTCTGCAGACCTGCCCACTCTACCTGCAACTTCGAAAAGACACCTGGCCTCAAGAGCAAAGTGTGCAGAGCAAGCTATGGGGAACCATGCAGGACCTGCAGCTGACATGCGAGTTCATAGAGGCAGCCCACCTGATTGTCTGATCTGAGCATACGAAACCAAACGCAAAGAAGAAGAAGAATTAAGAATCGACATCACAGCACTCAGGACACTCCCATAAGTGCTCAGTCCCCATCTTCAGCGGCAAGCGAAGAGTTCCTATTCCGATGGTACCAGTAATCATATGACTGTATACCCATCTCATCCTCTCCCTGTGTGTTGAGCATCGGCCAGATCCCCTGGTAACTCCTCGCAGCGCCATTCTCCTTAGACAATAATGATCTATCTGCACCTTCAGACTGTTCAACCGTTCCCAAAGGGGCCTCTCAATATTTAACTTGTCATACATCAATTCACCATCAAGTGGTGCAGAGCTAGCCAGTCTATCTGCCTGCTCATTTCCCAACAAACTGGCATGACCTGGAGAAAATATCCAAAGGATACTAACTACCCGGGACCTCTGAAAAGGAAGAGATTCAGAAACTCAAAATTTATTTCTTTTCATCATCACTTTCCATAAATTGACTAATGAATTGAACTAATGTTGAATAATCTTGTTCCCTTGAGATTTTAATTAGATAAATATCTTAACTTGCAGGCACTTTAGTTTCAATAAGGTCTATGTTGTATGGGATGAAGTGGCATTTGACTGACCATTTCAAGCGAACAATATTATGCATTGACTGCAAAACCAACTGAACACAGCTATTAGCAAATGTTTAAAAAAATAAAGTTACACTTGAGAGGATCAACTTCATTGCAGCAGGTCTTAATCCCATATGGCCATCTTTCTCCACAGAATGGCTAGCTACCTGCTGACAGCATCACACAAAGCATGAATTCCATAGCTCTGATGACAATCCCCAGGAATACAGCTTGTCAACTTCCCCACAAAGAACTCCTATAGTGAATGTTCTATGCTGCTGTTCCCCTGGTTAGATACAAGAGCACTGCCAATCCTGCCCCACCTGTTAAAAAGTAAGTGTCTCTGTATACAAAATCCTACTCCATACATAAATCTCTGTAGACAAAATCCTACTGCATACATAAATCTCTGTAGACAAAATCCTACTGCATACATAAATCTCTGTACACAAAATCCTACTGCATACATATATCTCTGTACACAAAATCCTACTGCACAAATAAATCTCTGTACAAAAAATCCTACTGCATACATAAATCTCTGTTCATAAAATCATACTCCATACATAAATCTCTGTAGACAAAATCCCACTGCATACATAAATCTCTGTAGACAAAATCCTACTGAATACACAAATCTCTGTAGACAAAATCCTACTGAATACAAAAATCTCTGTACACAAAATCCTACTGCATACATTAATCTCTGTACACAAAATCCTACTGCACATATAAATCTCTGTACACAAAATCCTACTGCATACATAGATCTCTGTTCATAAAATCATACTCCATACATAAATCTGTAGACAAAATCCTACTGCATTCATAAATCTCTGTAGACAAAATCCTACTGAATACACAAATCTGTAGACAAAATCCTACTGCATACATAAATCTCTGTAGACAAAATCCTACTGAATACACAAATCTGTAGACAAAATCCTACTGAATACACAAATCTGTAGACAAAATCCTACTGCATACATAAATCTGTAGACAAAATCCTACTGCATACATTAATCTCTGTACACAAAATCCTACTGCACATATAAATCTCTGTACACAAAATCCTACTGCATACATAAATCTCTGTTCATAAAATCATACTCCATACATAAATCTGTAGACAAAATCCTACTGCATTCATAAATCTCTGTAGACAAAATCCTACTGAATACACAAATCTGTAGACAAAATCCTACTGCATACATAAATCTCTGTAGACAAAATCCTACTGAATACACAAATCTGTAGACAAAATCCTACTGAATACACAAATCTGTAGACAAAATCCTACTGCATACATAAATCTGTAGACAAAATCCTACTGCATACATAAATCTCTGTAGACAAAATCCTACTGAATACACAAATCTCTGTAGACAAAATCCTACTGAATACACAAATCTCTGTAGACAAAATCCTACTGAATACACAAATCTCTGTAGACAAAATCCTATTGTGCACACACATTTTCCTGTAAGTGCCAGTTAACCAATACTGGTGAAAGGAAGAGACAGCTTGGAAACAAAGTAGCAGAACAAACCGTAAATGGCTTCACACACAACTGAGTGGAGATCCTGTGTTGAGATCAGCAAAGAGAAAGAACCTAACTCTTTGATAGGACTTCATTTGCTTTCTCGCTGTTTTACTGCATTATTATTTTCTCAACTGTAGCACCTGTTCAGGTAAATGATTCTGTTGCAGTCTAGAAGATGCTCAGAACATTTGATCTCTTTTGTTTCTCAGTGTCTTTAGCACAAAGATTTATTTCTACAACCTGTTTCACAGTGTCTTTAGCACAAAGATTTATTTCTACAACCTGTTTCACAGTGTCTTTAGCACAAAGATTTATTTCTACAACCTGTTTCACAGTATCTATTCTCACTTAGTCTTTGATGATTTAACAGATTGTTTTCACAGAAGCATCTCATCTCATAAGTGTTGATCTTATGTAAATTTATTAATTTTTTTAAGTGTCCAAATTTTTGACAGGTATCATAGACTTAGTTCAGAGGCCCGGGGTAGTTAGAATCCTTTGAATAATTTTTCTAGGGCATGCCAGTGTATTGGGAAATGAACAAGCAGGTAGTAGGCTGGTTCTGTGCCATTTGGTGGTAAAGCTAGAAGCTGCTGGGGTCCTATGGAAGCCAGTAAACAGTGTAGAGTTGCAAACAGATCCATCACGGTCTGGTGCAGTGAGGAGTGACTAGGGAAGATCTGGACAATACTCAACACTCATGGTATGGTTAAATGGACATACAATCAGAATGTTGTTGATACCATTGGAAATTAAACTCTGCACTTGCTGCTGAAGATGGGGACTGAGCCCTTATGGGAATGTCTCGCATACTATAATGTCGGTTTTTATGGTTAGTATGAATATTTCACTGTGTTAAAATAAATATTGGTCTCCAAAAAAGGCGGTCGGATGCAGTGCACTGACTGCTGTTCTGGGGAATATTAGGTGGTGAGGTGGTTAGACCCCAATTTCTTCTATGGTGTGACTCTCATACCTCCCCCCCCCCCCCCATGAGAAACTCATCCTGTGTCACATCTCAAATTTGCAAAATTTCTCAAAGTCTAAACCTACCTGGGAACAGTGTGAAACAACCCACTGCTCTCTTGGTTTCCTTTCATAGTCCACAATGGCTGCTTTGCATAAACGCCTCAAATTACTGAACATGGCTTCCTCAACTTTGCCTAGCCAATCTTCCACATTACCTCGTGCTTTAAGGCCCTGAAAATGAAAAAAAAATAATTTTTGCTTCACATTGTAAAACTACTTATTATGTAGTCTGACTTGTCACTTCTAGATTGAGGGTTGAATATTTTTGTGATAACTACTACTACTGGAAAGTTACTTGAAGGTCTGACATTCCTGTGACCCAAAGGATCGCAATCCTGGATGCCAGTCAAGCAGCGCGAATCCTGATACATCATTAAACCTCCTCGCAAGCTATAATTATGGCACCAACAATAGCAACACCAAATACTGTATCTTTCAATGGCTACGCCAAATACCGACCTTTCTGTGTATTAGACGCCCCCATTTAGCCCAAAATAAGGAAATAAATCACATTCCATTCACAAGATGACCTTGAATTTTAAACTTACAAAAATGTGAGAAAACATTTTGTCTTATAAACAGAAAATACAGCACTACCCTAGTGTATTCTGGAGGTGGAGAAATATTGTGCATTCTGATGTTTATGAGAATTTTATTAAAATGTCAGTCTACAATATTTTATGTTACACACTTTGTGAGTAATTATGTCAATAGAAAACATATTGCGACAACTCTAGAGAATCACATAGAAGGATTAAAGAGTATATCACAGGAGCAGAGGTTTCTACATGAGGTGTTAATATATGGTAACACAGAATAATTCTATCCAAGATCACTTTAAATATTTCTATGGAAAGATTATACAATATGATCATTACAATTATTTACTAGGTGCATATAAAATAAGAGTGTGGTAAAACAAGAAGCTTGCGGATAGGACAAAAATTCAAGCTTATGAAGCTTGCATTTGAACACACTCCTTTATGGCAGTGAAACCTGGACTCTTTACGCTACTTAAGAAAAAAAAAGACTGAATACCTTCCTCATGTGCTGTATGAGATGTATTCTTTGTATATCGTGGCAAGACATTGTCCCCAATGAATGTATACTCAAAAGAACAGGAATGCCAACAATATACTCTCTACTGAAGCAAAGACACCTGTGTTGGTTGGAGCATGTCTCTCACATGGAGGAAAGTTCTATTTCTAAGGATCTCCTGTATGGCGAACTTGTAACAGGGATAAGACCTGCAGGAAGGCCAAAGCTACACTATAAGGACATACACAAATGTGACCTGAAAGATATCAACATTGGCACAGACACTTGGAAGAGATCAGCTGCAGACCGGCTCCTTTGGAGGCAGACAGTGAATAAAAGGTTAAACGCAGCAAGCTATAGAGTGGAGGAGTCGGAGAAAACCAGGCTCAGAACGACAGAGTATCAACATTTTAAATGAAGTATGTGGCAGAGGCAGTCCCTCCTGCACTAGACTTCAGTCATAGCAAATGCTGTATCCAAAACCAGCTGCACAACTCCATGGTCCCCACGGACTGATGGTTGCCTATTATCTACAAATTTAAACTTAATAATGTAAATGGCCACAATCTGTTACAATTAATACATAATCCATGCAAGACAGAATAACCAAATGTCATTGATAAGCACTGATTTAACAAATATAGCATCAAAATCTGGATTACAAAAAAGTTCTGATAATACAAATATGTTGAAGACACCAACAACAGATCAAGCAGATGTAACTGTAGAGATGAAAGCAACTAAAGTAATATACCATTTTACTTATTTAGGTAGTAATTTTTATAGACACAGAAATACAAGGGAAATAATTCAGACATGCAGTGGAAAGAGTCAGCAGCTCTTAAAAGCCTGAACAAAATCTGGAACTCTAAACTGTAAAGGTTTAAAATAAAGTTATGTATTTTCCGTTCTAATGTTATTTCAGTTTTAACATATGCCAGTGAAAGTTTGAGAAACACTAAAGTTAACTGCATTTGAAAACAAAAGCCTAGGGAAAAGTTAAACATAAAAAAGGAGGAACTCAACAGGAGTGAAGAAATAAGAGAAATGTCAGGGTAACAACATTTAACAACAGTTTTAAGTCAAAGAAGATAGCTCTAGAGAATCACACACACAAAAACCAACCCACTAAAATCAAGAAAAAGGCCTAAAATGTGAAATAAAGGCACTGAAGAAGTGAGGACATCGAAAAGAAACTCTAAAAATAAGGTGGATGAGAGAGGCCAAAGGTGCTGGACTGGATTCTATCCATGACATTGAAAGCACTGTACATGAGAGAAGGGAATAGATGAATAAACAGCCACCCATATGTGACAGATGATGGCACAACAGGACAATGGTGATGATGATGATGAAGATAATGATAGTATTGAAATTCAAAACCCTATATATTCAAATTATAACCCTGATGGGTCAAACAGGATATCATTGTATAAATTACTATTACTGCAACGGTTATGTAAAAATTTCCAGATTTTAAATTATGATGTAAATGAATTCATGCATGCTTTTAACTGGTGCCATCAGAATTGGAACTCTTCATTTGCTGCTGGAGATGGGGACAGGGGGCTTATGGAGGTGTCCCAATGGATATGAAGTCGATTATTAATTCAACAAACATATGTTTTTAAGCTAAAGTATGATTAAGCAAAAGTATATGCTAGCACAAATGTGTTTTTAGCAAAAGTATGTTCTCAGAAAAAGTATTTCTCAGCAAAAGTGTATCCAAAGTAATTCATACCTTTCCGAGTGATACTTTTTCCCCTTCAGGTGATAGCATTGCCAGGATATCATTTGTATATTGAACTCCCCCCTGTTTGTCTGCTTCCTCTGAATAAGCATATATAAAAAAAAGAAACAATTAAGTACAAAAATGTTCTTTTTGTGTTTCAAACATTTAAATTTACTTTTGTGTCTTGTTTGTATTTTTCGTGTGTGCCCAAAATTATTCATTCGTTGTGCTTATGTCAGTTTTAGTGCCAGGTGGTCTTGAAAATCTAGTCTAGCATCTTGTGCCCAATGTTCCCCGTATGGGTTACAGGGTCCCCATTGTGGGGAAAACTGGAATAGACCCACTGCCTCTTCAACAAGCATATCGTAGGCGTCAACTAACAAGGGACTTCCTTTGAAGTCAAAGTGCATTTTCCCATGTGGCAAGGAACAACCTACTGCACACAAATAAGCCAAAAAATTGATGTACACACAAAACTTAGGCTCTGGCACAAGCCAAGGTCCAAATGGATGAACAACCAGGACTTTCTGCCAGAGCTTACAGGCGGTGAACAAAGACAAAGAAGAAGATTTGCCTGAGGTGCCATTCACATAAAAAGGGTTATTTACTTACTTATTTATTGGTTTTTGACTGGCTGTTTAATTATTATTTATGTAAGCCAATTTTTCTAATTAACTGTTCCGATAAGGAAGTAATCAAGTAATCACAATTCCAGCATCACAGCAAATGGTTTACCCGTAGTTGATCCGTTCCTGTGCCAATGAAAAAACCACATTAAATCTCCATCAATGTCCCTTATGGAAAAAAATTTACACAGACTGCAGTCTCGGCAAATCCAGTAGCACACACATGCACTAAATGCATAAAGCAGCCGTCAGAAGTGCCAACTGTTCTTTAATACTTGTCATTCATTCATTTCTCACAATACCTGACTCAGGGGTCACCTTGCCTTCTGCGAAATGCTGAACACCAAACTCAAGCTTAGAGATGGCATCAAAACATTTTCTCAGATGTGGCTGCACAGCTAGCGGGTTCCTGGTCTGGGCCAGGATCTCCAGCAACTCATCGTTAGATAGAAAGTAGAATCTGTAACAAGAGAGCGTGGCTAGGCAGATGTTTTCATACTGGTGACCAGTGTTTAAACATAACATGAAATAATGGATAGAGCATAAAACAAACTATGATATGATAAATCCAGAAGAACACCACATACATTTTGAAAGAGGTAGGGCTCAAAAATAACTTTTTTGGGTCATGTTATGAGAAAAGTAAAATTGGAACATGTTGTGACCACTGGAAAGATCTGCGGAAAAAGAAACAGATAAATAAAAAATGAGAAGATTCTTGATAGTTTTTTGTCTTTTGTCATGGCATGAAGGAGTGTCAGTGCATGAAATGATACATACTGTCCAAATATTGTAAATTGTGGAGAGGCATGATCACCCATGCCAGTCAGCAAGGCACGTAATGATGATGATAGCATACCAATTGTCAGAGTAGCATATAAACTATGTTACAGTGTAACTGATGGATAGAACATCACATAAACTATGCTATAGTGTATTTAGTGGAAAAAACAACCCATCGACTTTTTATTAGTAGTATCATGCGATATGACATGGTACTAACTGCTTTTGTGTATCTAGTTAGTAGAATATCACATAAACTGTGCTACTGCATATCTAATGAGTAGAACATTACATAAACTGTGCTATTGTGTACCTGGTGAGTAGAACTTCAAATAAACTGTGCTATTGTGTACCTGGTGAGTAGAATTTCATATAAACTGTGCTATTGTGTACCTGGTGAGTAGAACTTCATATAAACTGTGCTATTGTGTACCTGGTGAGTAGAACTTCATATAAACTGTGCTATTGTGTACCTGGTGAGTAGAACTTCATATAAACTGTGCTATTGTGTACCTGGTGAGTAGAACTTCATATAAACTGTGCTATTGTGTACCTGGTGAGTAGAACTTCATATAAACTGTGCTATTGTGTACCTGGTGAGTAGAACTTCATATAAACTGTGCTATTGTGTACGTGGTGAGTAGAACTTCATATAAACTGTGCTATTGTGTACCTGGTGAGTAGAACTTCATATAAACTGTGCTATTGTGTACCTTGTGAGCAGAAAATTGCATAACCTGTGCTACTGCGTATCTAGTGATTAGATCTTTGCACTAACTGCTGTTGTGTATCTAGTTAGTAGAACATCATTTAAACTGTGCTACTGTGTATCTAGTGATTAGATCATTGCACTAACTGCTGTTGTGCATCTAGTTAGTAGAACATCATATAAACTGTGCTACTGTGTATCTAGTGATTAGATCATTGCACTAACTGCTGTTGTGTATCTAGTTAGTAGAACATCACATAAACTGTGCTACTGCATATCTAGTGATTAGATCATTGCACTAACTGCTGTTGTGTATCTAGTTAGTTGAACATCATATAAACTGTGCTACTGTGTATCTAGTGGTTAGATCATTGCACTAACTGCTGATGTGTATCTAGTTAGTAGAACATCATATAAACTGTGCTAGTGTATCTAGTGATTAGATCATTGCACTAACTGCTGTTGTGTATCTAGTTAGTAGAACATCATTTAAACTGTGCTACTGCGTATCTAGTGGTTAGATAATTGCAATAACTGCTGTTTATGTATCTAGTTAGTAGAACATCATATAAACTGTGCTACTGTGTATCTAGTGAGTAGATCATTGCACTAACTGCTGTTGTGTATCTAGTTAGTAGAACATCATATAAACTGTGCTACTGCGTATCTAGTGAGTAGATCATTGCACTAACTGCTGTTGTGTATCTAGTTAGTAGAACATCATATAAACTGTGCTACTGTGTATCTAGTGGTTAGATCATTGCAATAACTGCTGATGTGTATCTAGTTAGTAGAACATCACATAAACTGTGCTACTGCGTATCTAGTGATTAGATCATTGCAATAACTGCTGTTGTGTATCTAGTTAGTAGAACATCATATAAACTGTGCTACTGTGTATCTAGTGAGTAGATCATTGCAATAACTGCTGTTTATGTATCTAGTTAGTAGAACATCATATAAACTGTGCTACTGTGTATCTAGTGGTTAAATCATTGCAATAACTGCTGATGTGTATCTAGTTAGTAGAACATCACATAAACTGTGCTACTGCGTATCTAGTGATTAGATCATTGCAATAACTGCTGTTGTGTATCTAGTTAGTAGAACATCAAATAAACTGTGCTACTGTGTATCTAGTGAGTAGATCATTGCAATAACTGCTGTTGTGTATCTAGTTAGTAGAACATCACATAAACTGTGCTACTGTGTATCTAGTGAGTAGATCATTGCACTAACTGCTGTTGTGTATCTAGTTAGTAGAACATCACATAAACTGTGCTAGTGTATCTAGTGAGTAGATCATTGCAATAACTGCTGATGTGTATCTAGTTAGTAGAACATCACATAAACTGTGCTACTGTGTACATAGTGAGAAGAATATCACATAAACTGTGTTACTGTGTATACATAGTGAGAAGAATATCACATAAACTGTGTTACTGTGTATATATAGTGAGAAGAATATCACATAAACTGTGTTACTGAGTATCTGGTGAGAAGAATATCACATAAACTGTGCTATAGTGTAGCTAGTCAGTAGAACATTGCATAAACTGTGCTATTGTGTACCTAGTGAGTAGAACATCACATGAATTTTTCCTATGTATATATAGTAAGTAGAACATCACATAAACTGTTCTATTGTGTACCTAGTGAGTAGAACATCACATGAATTTTTCCTATGTATATATATAGTAAGTAGAACATCACATGAATTTTTCCTATGTATATATATAGTAAGTAGAACATCACATAAACTGTTCTATTGTGTACCTAGTGAGTAGAACATCACATGAATTTTTCCTATGTATATATATAGTAAGTAGAACATCACATGAATTTTTCCTATGTATATATATAGTAAGTAGAACATCACATAAACTGTTCTATTGTGTATCTAGTGAGTAGAACACTGCAGAAACTGTGCTTCTGTGTACCCAGTGAGTAGAACATCATATAAACTGTGCTATTGTGTACCTAATGAGTAGAACATTGCCTAAACTGTGCTACTGTGTGTCTAAAAATTAGTTGCGTATCCTTTACAGGACGTGGCAGAACCAACCCCAGCATTTTTTGGCTGTTGTGGTTTTTCTAGGCAAATTTAACATTCAGTAGTTTGCCATTGCTTTCTGAACGGTCAGCGCTCGGTACCACTGTCGAAACCAATGCAAGACAAATCGTCCGCAGCTGGAATCGAACCCGGCACCCTGATATTACGAAGTGCATTTGCAACGCCTAAGCCACAGATGCCGACAATCGTGTGTCTAGTGAGTAGAATATTGCACAAACTGTTCTATTGTGTACATCACATAAACTGTACTTTCACATTGTCAAGTAACAGAGACGAAGAGACAGAGTCACAAACAACAGCATTAGAGACAAAGTTGGAACAAGAGCATGCGTGAAACATATTGAAAGACAGAGAATGAATTGGTTTGGCCATATAGTAAAAATGCAACCGGATCAGATTGTCTATAAGGCCTTTTACAGTAGAACATCTGGAAGAAAGGCCAGAGGAAGACCCAGGAAAAAATGAATAGATGGAGTAGCTGAATACGGCCAGAAGATCCAGAAAACTGTCACTCAAATCACGCAAGAGGCTCAAAACAAATATTTTAAACCACGACACTGGGCTACAACCCGGTAAAAGTGAAGAAGACAATAGAAGTAATAGAGAAAAAAAGCTTATGGTGTAATGTTATTCTTACCTAGGAAAAATGACTCTTTTAGATTCTAGATATGCCTCAAGACATTTCATAATCTGATCCAGCAAACCATTGTTGTTCTGAAAGGTTTCTAGAAGACCTGAGAAATAAAAAAAAACATCTATACGTGAAACGGATGGTAACTAATAATTTATATATATAAACTGCTCCACTTCTGGAAGACATAGAATTGCAAAAAATTTGTTCATGAAATTAGTGCAGTCGAAATAAGTAGACATTGTTTTGGTTTTTTAAAAACCCTGGCAGACAACACATTTGGTCTTTTATGTGTAAAGAGGATAATTATGATTTTTCTGTGAACAAAAACAGATCTAGCCTGTCTTCTTGGACATTGCAAATATTAACTATTAGGTTTCCCATGTGGGTTCTAGGGCTCCATTAAGGGGGGAGGGGGGAGGGGTGTGTGGGGGGGGGGGGGGGGTGGAGAATAAACCCACTGCCCACAACATGCATGTCAACTTCTTCTTCTTTGTTTTCACCAGCTGTAAACTTCGGCGGAAAGTTCTGGTTGTTCATCCACTTTTGGACTGCAGTCCTGTTCCAGAACCTGAGTGTTGTGTGTGCATCTGTTTTACAGATCTGACTCATTTGTCTGCAGACAGCTGGTTCCGTGCCTTTCAGGCAGACGTACTCTAAATTTAAAGGAAGCTCCCAATTAGTCAACTCTTACGACATGCTTTTGGGTAGGCAGTGGTTCTATTCTTGTTTTCCCTATAAAATAGCCCCAGAAACCACACAGGGAATGCATGTAATAAAAAGCAATTAATTAGGAGTTTGCTGAAGTTAGCTGTGTTGATCTGAAAGGCGCAGATAACACAGCCTAGCTGTAAAACACAACTACTCTTTTGAGGAGAATATAAAAGAAGACAGAACTATTTTGCATAGAGATTATACATATTTTTTGTATAGATTATACATTAACTGATTTGCACCTGGCTGTGTGGCAGCTCGGACAGCAAGTGGAATCTTGTTGACCTTCCTCATGATGTCTTTATAGGACTTATCCACCTGCATGAACATCTTGGCCTCTGAAGGTAGTTGTCTCTGGATGTCTGGGGCTGAGAAAATGGACTCTAAGTACATCCATGACCTCTGGCAGTTCAACCACTCATCCTGGCAAAAAATTTAAGGAACAATTCTTTAATTATTGAAAGATTTTTTGAAGTTACTAATTTAGCAAGGTTAATCAACTGAGGGGAAGCTGCTGTGGTGTAGCAGCTAGAGCCCTCACCTACAGATGGGAGAGTCATGGGTTCAGGTCCTTATGTAGCTAGATTGTTTTAGAAATGTATCTTGGTTCTCAGGTCGATCCATCCTTGAGTCCTAGGAAGTAAAGGTGACTGGCATGATGCTGATCACATCACCCACCTAGGGTCTAGCCCTATATGCCAAATACAACAGAAGGCATGGGAAAAGGTCCTTTACTTTTGTTTTCATTTTAATAAACTGAAGATTTCAAGTGTAATTAACCTTACCCAAAAAGGATGTACACAAGCTGTCCACCTTCCACCACACATGTCTGCGTAGAATTATCAAAATTTTCTGATACAATCTCAAACACTAAACTACTTCAAGTCACAAACCAAGAAACTCTAGACAGTATGATAACCAAGAGAAGATGGAAATGGCTTGGCCACGTTATGAGAATGAATTCTGATATACCTGCCAAAACAGCTCTCACATGGACACCAGAGGGAAAGAGAAAAAAGGGGCGCCCAAAAACAACATGGAAAGTGACCTGAGTGTGGTATCATTGACATGGAAAACTGCATTGAAGATTGCACAGGACAGGAAAGCATGGAAAGTCCTCTCTGAAGCCTCATGTGCCACTAGGCATAACGAGAACTGATGATGATGAGGTTAATTAATTGAATATTTCAAGTCAGTGATTGTTTAATTAACTGAAGTTTTAAAGTCAGCAAATAAAAAAATATTCTAAGTCAGTAATTAATTTTTAAAGTTTAACTTATCTTAGATTTCTTCATTTTCTGCTGTTTATCTTTTAGAAAATCTAAGCACTGATTCCCCGTTTTAAATTTGAACAAAGAAGACACAAATAATAGATTGAACAATTTATTGCCTGGCATATTTCGCTGTATCTTGTCAGTACATACTACAGTAACAATTACATAAATGAAGCAAATAAGTGAATCCTCCTTTATAAGTGAAGTACAATTTCAACAACGATAAAACATGATCTTTTTTTTCTATCTTTTAATGGAGAGATTACCCAATTTCTCACACAAATACAGTTTCCTATGGAATCTGGGCTAATTTCGTTGGAGGATGTAATTTTGGATTTTTCTGTTTTGTTTTGCTGAAGTGATGCTGATGTTCTCCCTGTCCTACATTCTGCAGCTTCCCGATGAAGAGATGAACACCAAGCTGGTGCCACATACTGATTTAAATAAGGCTAGAGCTACATAACACTACACATTCTCCCAACCACATATAACAAACACATCTAAGCCAACAACAACAACAACAAAAAACAGGACTAGTATACCAGGGTTCTGCCAAAGAGATCCAGATCTCGCTGCCACTCATCCACCTGATGCTTGATGGGGCCGACATGGCGAGAGGAAGCTATGGTGGCAATGTTGATGTTGCTGTCATCTAGCAACTGCTGGATATCATCTGTGTTGCCCAGGACGTAGACATCTTTGGAATCTTTGTGGTTGATGACAATGAACTCTGTAGACTTCCAGGAGTCGGTGACCTGTTGTTGAAAAGTCAAAGTTCGTTTTTTTAGTTGTTAGTATGTAGGTGGACTATTTATTAATTGGTTGATTGGTTTTTGTTTGTTTATTTGTTGGCTAACTAGCTATTACTAAATATTTTAAAGAATCTTCCATCTTCCAAAGGCCCAGAAAATTAGGTATGCCTAAATATTCTACAGTTATCCAGCTTCCCAAGGCCCAGCAAAGAATAGTAATACAGTAAACTGCTATACGTTAAAAGACAGTGGTTACCAAACTATGTGCCGCGGCGCCCCTGGGAGCCGTGACCTCTTCACAGGGGCGCCGCGAAATATTTAAAAAAGCTTCATAATTAATTTAACCAAGACATGAATAGTCATACTTTTACTTAGGCTAGGGCACAGTGGAAAAATTTTTATTGAAAAAAAAAAAAAAATTTCAATGACGTGTAACTAGGAATTTTAACAGATCTTTTGCATTCTCTTTGATAAAGTAAGAGAAGTAACAGACCCCTGTCATACCATCAGTGCAACAGAAATGTGGTGCCAGTCCTATAGTGTTACAGGCTCGTCAGCATTTATTTAAGTGGTGATGTGGTAAGAATCATGGCACACCCATGAAATTTCCTTGTGTGTGGGTTCTGGGATCCCACTGAGGGGGATGAGAGTGGAGGGGGGGGGGGGGATAGACCCACTGCCATCAACAAGCATATCATAAAAATTTACTAATTAGGGTGTTTCCCTCTAAGTTAGAATGCATCTGCCTGAGAGGTGAGGAACCAATAGTCTGCATACAAATAAGCCAGATCTGTAACAAAACTCAAGTGGAGGAAAAAGGTTAAAGTCCAGAAGTGACCAAACAACCAGAACTTTCTGACCAATTTTGCAGCTGGAGAGCGCAAACAGTAAGAAGAATACAAAGAAGCATACACATACAACTAACATGTCTTACCTTCTTTAAGATGGATTCCAGAGACGCCTCACTAGAAGCTTGACCAGAGATCTCCTGTAGCCTCTCTGCATGTTTGAAAGCCTGAATCTCCACCAGCTTACCCAGGGTCATGGGGTCTTCCTCTGTGAAGTGGTGTTCAATAGTTGCCTCAATCATTTCCCAGTGTCGGGGCTTGAGGCAGGGGTTTCGCAAATCTGTGATGGTCTGCATCTGTTACATGAAAGAAAATTTTTTTGGCAGACAGGAACATAAGGGATGTAAAGAGATAATATAATGGTAGTGAAATGATAGATCAAGGGGTCTGTCTGTCTGTCTTCTTCGTGTTCACTGACAGTAAACTCTGGTGGAAATTCTGGGTGTTCATCCACCTCTGGACATAAGTCTTCTTCCAGAGCCTGCTTGTTGTGCACATCCAACTTTCAGATCTGACTTATTTGTAAGCAGGCTATTGGTTCCTTGTCTCTCAGGCAGATGCACTCTGACTTCAAAGGAAGCTCCCAATTATTCAACTCTTGCGATATGTTTGTTGGGGCGGCAGGGGTCTATTCTTGTTTTTCCCACAATAAGCCCTTGAACCCATACACGGATGTCTGTCTGTGTATTTTTTCCCTCTGAATGATTACCATCATCTGTGTCAGAGTTAACTGAGACAGAACTTGTAATTCCAACGTAGTGCGATCGAAAACCACTGATAGCTGCGTGGATTTTTATCATGGTATGGGGCATTGCAGGTCCACCCAGCTGGGTACCAGGATGTATGACCTGGGGAAGTAAAGACGGCCAGCTTAAAACTGACCACATTACCCACCAATGCCAATTGGTCTGTTAAACAATATTGGTGCTCTTCCCATAATCCCAGTGCATCTAAAGGTGTGAAAAGGGATCTTCACTTTTACTTTACTTTTTCACGAGACAGAAGATATTGGATAGACATGACTACCAACACCACACAGCACGGACTCTGAGAAAAAGAAAAAGAAGAAGAAGAAGAATGATCACCCATGAGACTTATTTTTGATGACCGACCAACAGGGCATATGCCTCATACCCCATTCAACTTCCCCAAAAAGTTTTAATTAGGCCACACATAGCATTGGTGTAACCTGACTTCCTGTGTGGGTATGGAGCATGTTGCCATAAGCCAAGGGAATCCATTCTGTTCCATTTTTACCCTCCTGGCTGCTACCTGTTGGTCTGGCCACAAGGATATTGCAAAATCTCAATCTGGATGGCAGACAAATAGAGTTACTACAGGATATCCAGTTAAACTCTAAAGAAGTTAAAGCTGGGACACCTATGATGACTACACTAGCCGACGTAACCTACAGGATAGATAGAACATAGGAGCTAATAGTGATTTAATTATTTAATAAAATATATGTTTAAACCTTCTAACTCATAATTCATATAATATAATTCATATACAGTATTTATTTCTTTTCCCTTTTCAATTATTTACGTTTGTAAATTACTTCTGATTTTTTAATACTGCACAGGTATTGTGTGTTAATTACAACAGATTATAAGATTATAGATTATAACTGTTCAGTATAATACATTTTAAATGTGCTTTTCAAAAAAATGAAAATCTTTTTGTGAGACTAACGGGAGGACTCAGAAATTATATACTTACAGAACTAATGGTGAAGCATAAAACCTAATGATGAAGTGACAGAACTAATAGTGAAGTTAATGATTTAATGATAAAGTGACAGAACTAATAATGAAGTGAGGAGGTTCATAGCAAAAGTGAATGGAGGTTGCTTAGTGCAGCAAAGGCTGGCATATGATATTACAGTGATAGAACTAATGGTGAAGCAAGAGAACTACTGGTGGAGTGATAGAACTAATAATAGTGAAGTGACAGAACTAATTATATGGAATCCATATAAGGAAATTAGGAATTTAAAGTCAAAGAATTAAATGAAACAGCAAAAAATATGCCATATGTACCTGAATATGAAAATATTAGGATGGAAGGAGGTCAGCCTAGGCATGAAAGTTGATAAGGTGGGTAAGTACACAGAAGACCAAGTGCTTTCCAGCATGCACGTTGAGAGCCCCATCCTACTAAGGATCTGCTGCACCATGATGATGAAGGTGGGAAAATGTAAAAGAATATATATACTTTTATATGCTGCTCCTTTTTGGTGCATAACAAAAGTGGAGCAGTCATCTTTAAACTGTCTTATAACATCATTGTGTTCATAAATGTGCTTAACACTCTTGACCTCTTTTACAACAATACTAACAATTAAAAGACAATGGCATGGTTTTTGTAACCTCTTACACTTTTAGGGTTTTCATCTGAATCCCCTACATGCATGCACGCAACACTCCTTACTCATACACACGCACAAATTAAAGAACATATCTTTGAACCTTATTATTTTCAAAATTTTCCAAACTAAATGTGACCAAATTTTTAAGGTATATTGCTGTTATACAACTGACCTTTTCTCTGATGAACTCAACCTTTTCCTTAAGAATTGGAACAACTCCGTTTGGTGGCAGCCCCTTCTCGAGCTGCAAGACATTCTTGGCGTACTTCAGGGTTGTATTGCTCATTTGTTCTGGGTCTAGTGTCTCAAAGGGAGCCTGGGTATGAACAGGAATGGCAAACGTGAGGAAGATTCAGTAACAGTTTGAAGTAGATGATGACAGTAAAATGTAAGCTCTTTGTACAGAAAGGTAATTTCCATGGAATATAATGCATGTAAAGTATGGTATATGTTGTAAATTTGTAAAGTATAGCATATGTTATAAGGTTGTAAAGTATGATATATTTTGTAAGGTTGTAAAGTATGACATATGTTAAAAGTTTGTAAAGTATGGCACATGCAATAAATTTGTGAAGTGTCATATATGCAGTAAGTTTGTAAAGTATAGTATATGTTGTAAAGTTGTAAAGTATGGTACATGCTGTAAGTTTGTGAAGTAATATATATGCTGTAGGTTTTTAATGTATGGTATAAGCTGTGAATATGTCAACTGTTTTAAATGCTGAAATATGTAGGTTATGGTATATGATGTAAATATGTATGTTGTGGTTTATGCTATAAATCTGTAAAGTGTGGTTTGTGCTATAAATATGTAAAGTGGTTTACTGGCTGTAAATATATATTGTTTAATAATTGCTGTAAATATATAAAGTATAGTACTTTCTGTAAATATTTAATGTGTGGTATATGTTGTAAATATGTAAAGTGTGGCAAATGCTATAAACATGCTGTAAATATGTAAATTGTGAATTTTTTTGTAAGTTTCTAGAGTATGGCATGTGCTGTAAATAAGTAAATTGTGGTATCTACTATAAATATGTACATTTTTATATATGCTGTAAATATGTAAAATGGAGTATATGCTGTAAATAAGGAACAAACTTTATTTCAAAGGGTCATAAGTGGTATTTGCTGTAAATATTTGAATTGTTATATATGTTATAAATAAATAAAGTCTGGTGTATGCTGTAAATTTGTCAATTGTGATATATGCTGTAAATATTTATGTGATATATGCTGTAAATATGTCAATTGTGATACATGCTGTAAATATGTAAAGTGTGATATATGCTGCAAGTTTGTAAAGTACTAAATATTCTGTAAGTTTGTAAAGTATTCACCGTTCCCATTTCTTTCAGTTCTATTACAATTTATCCAGGGTACAGTAAAGCCCTACCGTCATCCATTCATTCATAAAGGATTCCCACTCATCGATGGCATTCCACAGCATGTCCTTCAGCTTCAGTTCTGCATGAGTCTCTTCAAGAGCATCAAATTTAGAAACTTCAACCTAGGAAACATATAAAAATATAAAAATTTCAATAGAATATTAGACTGTTTTAATAACTTCATTCAAGATTTTCATTCCAATTTGTGTCATTCCAGTGAAAACTTTTGGCACACATATTTCCATAAACATCTACATAACCTTGTCGCTTCACTAATATGCATATGCAGCTAGCATTGTAGTACTAGTAACTGGCAGCTTTCACATATAATAGTTTCTGCATGAGTGGTGCAAAGATGCATCAAGTGTTCTTTTTGCTATGTTTGAGACATAAACTGAGTTGTGTATTTGTAATAAATAGTAGTAAAGAGTAATAAAGAACAGTAATCCCCGTGTGGGTTCCGGGGCTCTATTATAGGGAAAAACAAGAATAGACCCACTGCCTATCCAAAAGCACGTTGTAAGAGTCGACTGATTGGAAGCTTCCTTCCAAGTCGGAGTGCATCTGCCTGAGAGGCAAGGAACCAACAGTCTGCATACAAACTAGTCAGATTTGTCACACGGATGCACACACAACACTCAGGTTCTGAAACAGGACTGCAGTCCAAAAGTGGACGAACAACCAGAACTTTCTGCTGGAGTTTACAGCCGGTGAACACAAAGAAGAAGAAGAATAAGCAGTAAAATATTTTTATTTGACACAGAAAATGTAAGCGGCCATTAGAGCTGTTACATGCATACCTTGCCACTGGAAATGTGTGCTATATAAAGAGTAAACCAACCAACATATTGTGAGTTCTCTGCTTCTGAATGATGCCCACCAGGAGCTGCAGAACGCACATGTGGAGCAGGTTTAATTTGCTAAAATATTTAAATTTAAAATATTTTTAAAACTTTTAATTCGTTTAAAATAGAACATTAAAAATTATGACTATCATCTTCTCAGTCAGTCAGTCAGTAGCATGTCCTTTGCAGAACTTTGCTCCCATAACAACCCTACAGAAAAATTCTCGATCACAAGCAGGATGTCCCGCATCTGATAATCCATCTAGAGATCATCCACATCCTGCACTTATCTTCTCTTTTGCCTTCCCCTTCCTCTCTTCCCTCCACTATTATTTTCTCCAAACTTTCATGATGTGTCAAGTGACCAAAATATTTCAATTTTCTGTGTTTTATCATCTTTAATAGACAACCTTCTTTAATATTCAGTCCTTGAAGTACGGATGCATTTGTTCTTTTCTTTACCCATGATATTCTTAGAACCTGTCTATAATATTTGTATTCAAAGGCATTTATGAGCTGTTCAGATGTTTAGTAAGTGTCCAGGTCTCACAGGCCTATGTTGCAATGGGACAGATGCATGCTCTTAGAAATCTAATTTTTGTAGTTCTGTCTGTCCCACTACATAAACTATTCAGTTGTTCTATAGTCTTTGAAGAACACCTGATAGTCTTCGTTTAATTTCTGTCATTGTGTCACCATTGTTAGTAATCAATGAGCCAAGATATTCAAAATTTTCCACAACCTCCAATCTTTCCTCATTAATACATATCTCTTTCCCCATGGTAGTTTTATTTGTATGCATTATCTTTGTTTTTGCTATGTTAAGATATAAGTTGTGATTTTCACTATTTCTTTGGGTTGAGGTTATTGAGTTTTTTTTATACCAGTCTGTGATGTGGATAGCAAATACTGTATCATTTTTTTTCTTTCATGGCTGTTTTGGTTTCCTGGCAAGTTTTGCAGCAGGTAGTTTGCTATTGTTTTCCTTCTGGGCAGTGACTGTACAAGCCTATCGCAGCAGAGTGCATTACCATCCCCGACAACAGTTTGTCGGCTGCTCTCACACTCCATTCACCACCTGGTCCATAGCTTGGGGGGCTAAAATTGTACTCCACCTTGTCCAAAGGTGTCCCGTAGACTAATGGAGGAAAGGAGGCGTCTTACCCATACCCTGCTAACCCTTCTTCTACAGTGACAAAATACAAGCTAAAATACCAACAGCCATCTTCATATAACTAACATAAGCTCTTATCCCTAAAGCTCAATCTAACAGACATCGAAAGACGCAACAGAAAATGCTGAAAGAGATTTTTAGAAAAAGAAGAAATTAACAAAGAACCGAACCTGTGCTTCTTGTTTAACCTCCTTGACCTCTTTTAAAAGTTCAGCAATGTCCTTATCCAGGTGATGACAGAACTTGTCAATGTTGCTGTCTCTTTCTGTCAAAGCTTTGTCTATGGCATTTCTCACAGTGATGATGGAAGGATGCAGAGTCTGTGAGGAAAAGAAATATGACAAAAAAAATAAAAGCAACTTTTTTCTTCTTTGTTGCAGTAGTTTTACTTTTGGATACAATTGAACTGTCAGTCGTTAGTCATTAGTAGGGGTTCCAACTCCACTGAAGATGGGTCGCCCTACAAATGCTCTGCTCCACAAATTGTCCCTCACTGTCCCATTTAAGGAAAAAAATTAGTCAAAAACATATCATTCCCAGGAAAAATCTTAAAATAACACATATAACACACAATTATATTGACACTGTTCACAGTTATAATTTTATATTTGTGCCATCTGGCCAACACATCAGATTTCTTCAAGCTTTCGTTGACTGGTTGGTCGTTTGAGAGACTTTTGTTTTATTTTTTTATTAATGTATTTCAGTACTGAGGAGTAGCTGGTCATGTTTTATCATATCGCTGTGTATCCTGTACAATTCGCTGTGTATCCTGTACAATTCGCTGTGTATCCTGTACAATTCGCTGTGTATCCTGTACAATTCGCTGTGTATCCTGTACAATTTGCTGTGTATCCTGTACAATTCGCTGTGTATCCTGTACAATTCGCTGTGTATCCTGTACAATTCGCTGTGTATCCTGTACAATTCGCTGTGTATCCTGTACAATTCGCTGTGTATCCTGTACAATTCGCTGTGTATCCTGTACAATTCGCTGTGTATCCTGTACAATTCGCTGTGTATCCTGTACAATTCGCTGTGTATCCTGTACAATTCGCAAACAGGCCAAACAATTTCTAGAGGCCTCAGAGGTGTGGTTTTACAGAGAATCCTTAAAATTCCTTGGACAGCCAAAAAGAGCAAGCCAAATGTTTTGATAGAGGTGAGGGCTTGAAGACAACTTATCGCAAGACATCAGAAAGAAACAGTCATAATTTGTTGGTAATGTTATGAGAAGATGAAAACGAATATGATGTGACCACTGGAAAGATCTTTAGAGAGAGAGAGAGAGAGAGAGAGAGAGAGAGAGAGAGAGAGAGAGAGAGAGAGAGAGAGAGAGAGAGAGAGAGAGAGAGAGAGAGAGAGAGAGAGAGAGAGAGAGAGAGAGAGAGAGAGAGAGAGAGAGAGAGAGAGAGGAAGATGTGAGAAGATTTTTGAAAGTCTTTTGTCATGGCATGGAGGTGTGTTGACACATGAACTGATATACGCACCTGCAAACTGCATGGAGAGGGATGATCACCGGTCATAGAGCTGCTTACTGCACTACAGGCAATGGCTTGCATGCAACAATATTAAACTATATACAAATATAACCAACCTGGTAAACCACAAGATCTACATCAGGCATAGGAACATGAAAGTGCTCCATAAGTTCATAGATTTCCTTGACAACCATAGCCTCTCTTTCCAAAGGTTCAATCTGCCGACAAGAATTTCATAAGATTAACCAACAAAATTTATCAACTTTTCTGACATTATGAGTACTTTTTAAAAAATGTCATCTTTTTTGCAAGATCCAGTTGCACCATATCACTTTCCTTGTGTGTCTGTTTATGTATTTCTGAATGTGTTTGCTTATATATATATGTGTGTGTGTCTGTCCGTGACTTTGTTTATATTATTCTTCATCTTTCGTCCATGTGACGTAAATGCATCGTGCCTGTTTACAGCATAGCTGGACATTTGTGCCTTTCAGCCATCTTATCTTCAGGCTTCTGTTATTTTCATGGGACCTAGAGATGTGCATTTTTCTAGGACGATTTACTTTGTAAGGGGGGCTGGGTGGTCTCAAGGTATGGTGTCCACCTCGTGTGCTAGAGGTCCCAAGTTCAGGCCTCAGTGAGGGCTGGGGATTTTTTCATGTGGACTTCTAGTAATTTACCCTGATCTTTGGGTAGTAAGACCGGTCGCCCGTGTGCATTGTTGCGAACGTACACAAATCCATTGGCAGTTGGAAATCAAAAAGAGTAGCCTAACAGCACTGCCTGGACAAAGTTATTTTGTTAAAAATCTTTCTTACTTTGTTGCTCCTCTTCTACCTTGGGGTGTAGAGGTTTGCCAGAGAGATCGCCAGACGTCTCTATCAGCAGGTTTCTTTCTGGCTTTGTTCCATTGAGTCCTCTGTCAGTTAGGGACTGTCAGATGTTGTCTTCAACGCGGACCCTGGGTCACCCAGAGATCTGCTTCCCTGGTTCTTAGCCTCCCATGCCTGCCATAGTGGCTGATTTTCTCCCATTCTGGAGTTTAAAATGTACTCAAAATATTTCAGGATCCTCGTTGATGCTACAGAGCCTGTGAACTGCACTCAGCTACTTCAGACTCAGACTTGAGCTAGAAGTAGAACGGAGCATTTATGGGTTACTACCCATGTGCCATAATGTTGTTCCATTGTTCAAACTTAAAACTGTGTAAGTAGAGTGCAGAATAGTTGGTTTCTGTGTTGAGGCAAAAATGCCTGAAAGTCAAACCTAGACTATTTTTAGTGGCAGCTGACCAAGGAATGGTGGACAGCTTGATGACGGCAAATAAACCAAACTGGCAGAAGGAATGTTTTCTCATATCTATGACTGTCCATCATGAAGTCCTGTTTCTTTTCATCAGCTTCATCATAGCCAGTCATAGCAGGTTCCAGTCTATTGTGATATAATTTGGCTAACCCAGACGGCATCATCCCAGTGAAGATAGTGAGGACAGTTGATAATGACGATCACAATAAGTGTTATATATTTGTGCTTGAAATCAAAGCAAAAGAATCTCTGTGATGAAGAATTTGAGTTGTCTGCCTCATTCTGAAAGCTGTGAGTTCTCTTTCAGAGCCAGCTGTTAAGTTTATGAGTATAAGTGTGCCAGAGATCCTTTAAGTTTCTGATTATATCTGATAAATAGCCACTGTATGGAGTGCCACCAGGCATTTTTACAGTCTGGTAAAATGAAGCTGATCTTCCTGCCTTTAAAATGTGATTATTTAGGTCAGTGGTTTTCAACTGGGGTACAAGGGAGTTTCAACTGGGGCTTCAAGTAATTTTGAAACTGAGTGTATTTGTACTTGTAATAATTTGCTATATTAATATTTTCTGTTTAATTATCAACAAAATATTTTTTGAAACTATTAATAACTCAAAAGTCCGAGGATGTTTTTTGTTTTCATGAGCAGTAATTACATATATCATTAAAAATCTTATTAACAGGATAGCAAGGGCATTTAATTACTGATTAAGTGGGGGGGGGGGGGGAGCCGGGAATGTGGTGTCTTGTCACCTAAAAAGGGAGTTGTCCACCTGGCAAAGTTTGAAAACCACTAATTTATGTCAATAAATATTACAGAATGAAATGATGCATCTTACCCGAATCTGAATTTCATCAAGAAAGCTGAGAGCACTAACAAACTCAAGTGTTGTAGTTGGTACCACTTCAAGTTTGAAGCTAGCATCTTGCAGCTCTGCAATCAGTCGGTCAACTTCCTTTCTCGCCAGAACCGGCAACATTTCATAGATCGCCTAATGAAAATTTTCAAAATGCGGTCGTATACAAACAAACAGGAAGAACATCACAGAGATGATCAAGCAAAGAAGTATTAAAAACTGGGAGTGAATAAATGAATGAACTGACATCACTGTACTTAAGGATTATTACATGTGTTCCATCCCCTTCCTCAGCAGCTAATGAAGAGTTGCCATACTGATGGTGCCAGTTAGTCTGCTTGAAAGTTCGTCTGATATTCAAATCTTTTAGGATGTCAGAATTTCTATTCTTCTGGCTCTGCACAACTTGGTGAAATACTGATGCATGATAAGGCAGACGTGGTTAGTGCCTTGTGGGAGAGCGTGTACAGTTCAGAGAAGCAGATGGATCACCACAGTCTGGTGAGGTTGATGCAGCAAGGAGGGACGAGGGTTTCTGGCAGGTACTGGAGGCTCAGAGGAAAGGGAAGATGGATGTTTAATCAGAATGCTACTGGCACCATTAGTATCGGAACTCTGCACTGACTGCTGGGGACGGAGCACTTATGGGAATGCCACCAGTGCTGTGATGTCGGTTCTTGAATCAGTTTAACTCAACTCTGTTCTTTTTTTATGGTAATCTGGGAATCTTTTTATTTAATTCAGCTTAAAAGCCCCTATTTTCTTTTTTTTAAAAAGGAATTATATAAAGCATTATATAAGCTTCTAGCGCCCATATTACAATTATGACTTTTCTGTGTTTTCCGATTCACATGGGTTTCATTTTGCCAACATTTTGTTCATGACTCACGTCACTGTCTTGGTTACACTCATTCATATTTATTAACTGACGTCATTCCGTCTGGGACATAATTTATCGAGGAGAAAATGGGTTCACTACAGTCACCAAATCTCATAAAAACAGTACCTGACAATTATCAGCAATACTAAGTACTGTCAGGGAGGTCAGTTATGAGAAAGGGAACTGGCCACCACATCTAGTATATAATGGCCTAGATGTAGTGGCTTAGAATAATGAAGGCTAACAATGAAACCCAATAACAATAACTGCAATGGGACCACCTTTACCTATTATAGGGTCACCATAGTGAAGTGGTCAAGCCATTTTCTGCCACTCTGAAAGTCATGAGTTTATTTCATCGTTGCGTCATTCGATTTGCTAGTGCAATTGTTTTGCAGATCCCTGGTGATCATCTCCAGAGCAATGGTGTTTGTGCTTTGTGCAATTCTCTCAGCAGGTGGCTAGCCATTCTACTGAGAAAGAGAAGAGGTCATATGGGATAAAACCTGGTGCAATCTTCTTCTTCTTCACATTCATCGGCTGTAAACTCTTGTGGAAAGTTCTGTTGTTCTTCCATCTCTGGACTTTAGTCTTGTTCTGAACCTCAGTGTTGCATGCACATTCATTTTGTAGACCTGACTTGTCTTTATGCAGACTGCTGGTTCCTTGCCTCTCAGGCAGATGCACTCCAACTTCGATGGAACCTAGTGCAATAAAACTGATTTTCTCGAGATTAACCTATAATTACTTTACTGATCAAATTATCTATCATCATCATCATTATCAAGAGGCATGAGCAACCATGCCTCTCCACAACCTGTGATCTTCAATATTATTCATCAGCTCATGAGCTGAAACACTCTATTCCATGACAAAAGTATAAAGAACATTTGCATGTTGTAGTCCTTTATCTCTTTTTCCACAAATCTTTCCAGTCATAACAACATATTCAAGTTTTGCTCTTTTTATTTTCTCGTGCAACAAAATGTGAAATAGTTTTCCGTTTGAAGATTTCAAAATCTGACCTCAAGACATCTCAGAGGTGAAGGAATCAGCAATGATTTCATTTTTGTGGCATCCACCAGGAGCATGCCAGTTGGTCTCTTCTCTACAATATGCAAAGCCATTTTGTGCTGGGTGTTGTATTTCTCCAGATGATCAGCAAAAAACTGTACATCTGTGTGGAAATAGTTAATAATTAATTGAAGAGAAGATTGTTGCACATTAAGTTTGAATAAACTATGAAAATTCACATGAAGAACAAACTTTTAAATATTGTTTTAACAGAAATGTTAACAAAGTATTAAACAAAACATGGAGAAGAACACTTTGAAAAATTAGATTTTAACAATCTATGCTACACTATTGGGGTCTGTGGGCTAGGCGTTATGAACGTGCTTTGTAATATAGGGGTGCCAGCTGTGGATGATTTGTTTTGTGTTGGTTTTGACAGTGGTACCGAGAGCTGACCATTCAGAAAGTAATGGCAAACTACCAAACATACGAGGGGAAGTCAATAAGTAAGTCACAAATGGTGATGGGATGTTAGGAAAATGTAGTTGTTGGTTTCTAAAGGTATCATTAGGTGACAGCAACATTGATCTTTATGTCTCTGCTCGTTAGGTGGCCCTAGGTGTTGCATGCGCAACACAGAAACAACATGTACGTATGGAGTGTACCCTCAAAGAACAGGGTGCTGCTGTGCGGGTTTTTTCTTTTGGGGGGGGGGGGGGGGGGGGGGAGGACGAAAGGGCTGCCTGCAAAGAACATTCATAAGGAAATACTTCCTGTTTATGCTGAAAAATTTTTATTCCATAAAGCTGTGCAGTGTCGAGTAAAGAATTTTTTTTCGAGGAATCTCTACAATTGCTGATGAAGTCCGATCTGGTTGTCCTGTTGAGATTACAACAGACGCATCAGTGCAGCGGGCGGAGGAGATGATTAGACGTGACAGGCAGGTAACGGTTGACTCTGTAGCAGCTGCAATAGGGTCCTCGCATGGTTCAGCATACAACATAATGCATGATCGAGTAAAATTTAAGAAAGTGTGCTCCTTTTTATTCTACATATTTGTTGTATTATAGAGAGATTTCTTTTTAGAATATCATGTACAAAGGAGAGAAACGATTCTGACTTTCCTTTAGGATCTGGAAATTAAATGGCTGGGGAACATTGCCTGGATACTTTATGGAATTTGACCTGTTTCAGTCGTGTTGTGCGTCATCGTGGTTTTATGAGAACAGTTACTGTGGTTGTGGTGCTGATAAAAAGACGCAGGGGTCAATCACACCATGCTGCGTTAAAAAACAAAATGAACAACATTCTGGACATGAAGGTTCGCTAAGCAGGAAATTAGGCAGGTGGTCGAGTGACATTCCAGTGTGTCTCAATGAGATTGTCACTCTTCATATGACCTTCAACATATTGATGTTCCTCACAAACAATGTTAAGATGAAACCTTCCTGTTCGCTAAAATCCACAAAGTCAGCGCAGATCCAATGTTGTCACTGCAAACTTTAGCAGCGAATAGCCTACTAGTGCAAAATATGTATTTCTCATCTGGCATTCTGCACTTGTAATAAACATTAACGTCTGTTGTTGGGGTATAGGAAATGTCGATTGTATACTCAAATAAAATGATTAAAGAGTAACTGTTTGATGAATAATGTGACGGTCCATCTCCCATTGACTGGCGAATGGTGTTTAAAAATACTGGTCTAATACCCTGTGCCCAAATAGTCGATGGCATAATAATGTTCCGTTACTTACAAAATGTCAATATACACAGTCTACTGAGTCCATGTTATTCTAAAAATAAGTCTACAAGTAACAAAATGATAAAATGAAGTAAACACGGAGTAACATTTGTTTTGATTTTGTTTACATGAGTGCAAGGGACTCCCACATATGTAAACCCTGGAATTAATACATTTTAACCAAAATGGAATGGAGTAAATTGCAAGAAATATTTCAGCACCGTGGTCAACACGATAGACACAATTATGTGCAAGTTTAATGGAGCGAATTCTCTGATTTAAGTAGCGCAATTTATTGTCTGGCACATTTCACTGTATTTTGTCGGGTGCATACTACAGTAACAATTACTTAAATGAAACAAATAGGTGAATCCTTTATAACTAAAGTACAAATTCAACAACAATAAATGAAATTAGTTAGTTAGTTAGTCTTTCCTCTTGTGTCGAGTGCGGCACATAGGGCAGAGGTCGTGACTCTCCATGCACGGCGGTCCGTTGCAATCCGTTGTAGGTCTTGGATGTTTGAGTGGCCCATGAGCGAGCCTTCCCTGATGATAGTTCTACGTAGGGTTTCCCTTGGTCTTCCACGAGATCTTTTCCCCTGTGGTGTCCAAATGAGGGCTTGGTAAGGAAGTCTTGATTTATCCATTCTAAGGACGTGGCCGACATAGTTCCAGCGGCGTTTTCGTATAAAATTAGACACATACTCTTGCCTGGATTCTTGCCTTATTTGTGTATTGGTTCGGAAATCTGACCATTTGAAATTTAGTATTCTTCTAAGGCATTTATTTTCAAAACTGTCTAATTTTGTGTCTAGAGTTTTCGTTGATTTCCAACTCTCGCATCCATAGGTTAGTACTGGAATCACACAAGAATTGAAGATCTTGAGTTTTGTGTGTTTGCTAAGTGTCTTTGATTTCCAGATGTTAGACAGTTTATTGAAGGCACTAGATGCCAGTGCTATTCTAAATGATATTTCTGGTGCGGTATCTCCTGTAGATGACATCTTGCTCCCTAGATAAGTGAAACTGTTGACTTTTTCAAGGCTGTTGTTGTTCAGCGTGATATCAACTGAACTGTTGGTAAGGTCTAGAATTTTTGTTTTTGCGGTGTTAATTTGGAGTCCAATTTGTTCTGAGAAATTCTGGAGTCGATTGATTTTTTCTTGGGCGTCTGTGAGTTCTGAACTCAGGAGTGCTATGTCGTCGGCGAAGTCTAGGTCTTCCAGAATTTTGTCAACCCATGTAATGCCTAAATTTGCGTTATTTATGCACTTGCGCATGACCCAGTCGATTGCTATACCAAAAAGCATCGGCGATAGGACACAGCCTTGCTTCACTCCTGTTTCCACCGGGAACCAGTCAGAATTGCCGGAATCAGTTCTTACACAGCATCGTGTTTTCATTATAAAAAGATTTTATGATGTTGATATATTTGATGGGGAAACCATAGATGTTAAGCAATTTCCAGAGTGTTGGACGATGGATACTGTCGAAGGCTTTTTGAAAGTCGACAAAGTTGATCAATAATTTCGACTGGAATTCTGTAGAATCTTCAACAATTATTCTAAGAGTAAAGATGTGGTCTATGCATGACCGCTTGGATCTAAAACCGGCTTGTTTTTCCCTTAATCTTTCATCTATGGATTTTTTCAATCTTTCTAGTAGCATACTACAAAATAGTTTCCCTGGTATCGAAAGCAGGGTGATGCCTCTCCAGTTGTTACAATCGGATAAATCACCTTTTTTAGGTAATTTGAAGATTACACCATCTTTCCATTGTTGTGGTGGGTATTTGTTTTGCCAGACTTCATCCATCAGCTGGAGCAAATGCTGCAGGGTGTTTTCATCCGCTGCTTTGAGCATTTCCCCTGAGATGTTGTCCTCTCCGGTAGCTTTGTTTATTCTTAATTTTTTAATAGCTGTTTTAATCTCCTCTATTGTGAATGACTCGCTGGAGGCAATTAGTGTTGGTGTAATAATTTCTTCTTCTAAATTGGGAATGATGTCAGGATTTGGCCTATTTAATATTTCCTTGAAATGTTCTGCCCATCGCTTTGTTTGTTGGTCGTCGGATAGCAGTAGTTTACCCTGCTTGTCTTTAATGGGTGTATTTAGTGTAGGTGAGTGATTGCACAGTTGTTTCATAATATGGAATACGGCTTTGTTGTTTCCAATCTTGGCAGCTGTTTCAGCATCGGAGGCGAGGTCGTGTATGAAGTTCTGTTTGTCTTTCCTTGCATTTGATTTCACTTCTTTGTCTAGCGTACTGTATTTTTCGTATGAAGATGTGTCTTTTTTGGATAAAAGTGTTAATTTTGCTTGTTTCCTTTCTTGGATTTTTGACCAGGTGTTGTCGCTTAGCCACTTCTTCTTCTGCTTTTGTACATAACCAACTGTGTTTACTGCAGCGTTCGTCAGTGTGTTCTTGAAAAAGTCCCAATTTGTGTCTATGTTATTTGTAGTATCCGCATTATTAGTTTTGGTTACATAGGTGGTGAGTATCTCTGCATTAAATGCGCTTTGATGATCTTTTGACAAAAGGGCTTGTAAGTTTATTTTCTTATTTCTGGGTGGTTTAAGTAGAGACTTGAATTTAATTTTTAGTTTGGCAATGCAAAGATTATGATCACTGCCAATATCAGCTCCCCTGTAGGCTCTAACGTCTTGCACTGATGTACGGAATTTGGCGCTGATGCAAAAATGATCTATCTGGTTTTTTGTTATGTTATCTGGCGAAATCCATGTTATTTTATGTATGTCTTTATGCGGAAATAAGGAGCTTGCTGCTGTTAGATTTGCTATTTCACAGAGTTCAATTAGCCTCTCTCCGTTTTGATTCATATCTCCTGGGCTGTGTACTCCCATATATTTTTGAACACCTTTGTTGTCAGACCCTAACTTGGCATTAAAATCGCCCATTACAACAAGGAGGTCGTGCTTAGGAGTTTTGTTTATGACACCAACCAGGAGGTCGTAGAAATTATCTTTGTTGCTGTCGGTGTCGTTGTTTGAAGGTGCGTAGCACTGTATAATAGTTAGTTTGAAATGTTTGGTCTGAAAACGCGCTGTTAAAATTCTGTCATTTACTGGTTCCCAGCCGATTAGTGATTTTTCCGTTGTTTTTGACAAAATTATGGCGACTCCGTTTGAATGGTGGTTGTCTGTTCTTCCCGAATAGATTATATGTTTTTGTTCACAACTTAAAAATATTTTACCCGAACCAGTCCATCTACACTCACTGACACCGAGAATATCCAGGTTGTAATCGTTCACAACATTACACACTTGAGCTGTTTTCCCCGTTTGGTACATGGTTCTAACATTCCAGTAACCAATTTTAAAGATGTCCTTGGAATTTAACAGATTAGAACGAATCATCGTGCAGTTAGAGTCAGAAATCTGATTCTATAACAATTGGTGGTTTTGCGATGACAGCTTGTCGGACCGTCGATCAACCGATATGCGCCGAGCTAGAGAGAAACACGTCCCGCCATCTTGACACAAACCGGAAACCACTACATAAATGAAATATTGAATGATATAATCCCAGTTTAAAAAAAAAAAAGAACAGATAATACTTTTAAAAAAATTGTAGATGACACATCAATGATAAATCCTTTAGATGTTTTTTGCTATTTTGGATCATTGAAACAACATGGATACATACCAGTAGGCTCCAGTTCATCTAAGCAAAAGAAAAAAGAAAACATATTAAACATGAAACATTTTTTAAGATTATTAATTTTATAATTTATTTAACTATATTTCCTTTAAAAAAAATATACAGGATTTATACAAGCAGGAGTTAAATTAGAAAAGCAGATTTTATAAATGATTAATTAGTTCTATCTATCCAAAGCTTCTTCATTTCACTCTTGGCACACAGGGCATTCACAAGTGACTTCTACTGCTGCTGGTTCCCTGCTTTATAATTATGGCATAATTTAATAATTTATATAATTATATTTCCAACTGAACATTTATTAATGAAGTTAGGATTTATATGGACACGGAGTAAACTAGACATGAAATAGATGTTATATTGTTTTGGATCTTTACTACTGAATTTTTATACATATGTATTATTTAAAAATATTTTTTTCTGAAAATGTATTAAATTACTGCCTTATAATTTTGGGCAGCAGTCATGGCGCAGTGGCTAGATGCTTGCTTACTGGTCTAAAGGTCATGAATCACCGGATGCTGACAACATTACACTGAGTACAAATAAAAATATGGTTCTAGCACTTTATACTCAATAAAAGAGAATAGTTTTTTTTTTAGTTTTTATTTAAAGGTGCAAGTAAGCACAGTTGGTTTTTGGCAACCAATGTATTTTTATACTAAGCCTGACCCTGCCTGTTACAGACACATTAAATGATATACATATATAACTGCTATCTCACCATGATCCACTCCTCGGAGTGCTTTCAGGTCCAGGCTTTCATTTTCCTTGTAGAACTCCCTGTAGGGTTCAAATATGTCAGCATAGAGGCTGGCTGTGTGAAATCCTGCAGCTAGTGATTCCTATTTATAACCAGAGTATTATTAAAAACAATTGCGATAATGAAGGCAAATATAAAAATTAAAAAAGAGAATATGAACGGTAAAAAAATATTCTTTAAAAATATGTAAAAATATTAACATCTAGAAAGATAAACACTTTAAGAATAAGAATTGTCAAATTTTAAATACATTCAACCCTTCTTCACAAGTACTTCCTTTTTTTTAAGTGTGTTTTCTACTGGCACAGGAATAAAGCAGTTATAGGGAGACCCATCTGAAGAAAGAAGGTATCAAGCTCAGTGCACGCAATCTGGAAGATATTCAACACTGGAAAGGGGGGGGGGGGGGGGGGTGAGGGACCAGAGGTGCATCTTTAATCAGGTTGCTAACTGGTACTATTAGCATGATGACTCTTCGTTGGCCACTGAAGAAGGGGACAGAGCACAAGTGGGATTGTACCAAGTGCAGTGATGTCAATTCTTGATTCATTCAATCATTCATTCATTCATTCCCATATGAAGGAAGCTGGAACCTTGACTAACTAACTGACAAACTTCTTCTTTCTTGTATAATCACACTATTACTGGGCTGCAATCCAGAGCCGTGGCTTTCTGTATTTGTCTTGGATTTGATTAGTGTTTTTAGTGAGAGATTAGTTTTTCTTTTTTGCAAGATATAGCTACACTGTTTATACATATCTTCTTTCATCCTCCTCTCACTTTTTGAAGAAAAAAAAAGAATCTTCTGAAGAGGATTTATTATTCAGTTTAAGCTGGCTGCATTCTTACAAGATGGCAAAACTACTTCACTTTTTGCCTCTCATTTAAGTCAGGCCTATTCTAGTTACTAGATGGCAAAACTACTTCACTCTTTGCCTCTCATTTGAGTCAGGCATATTCTAGTTACTAGATGGCAAAACTACTTCACTCTTTGCCTCTCATTTAAGTCAGGCATTTTCTAGTTCCAGCTTTTTTTTCTGATGCTAGTAATCATGATGCTGTACCATATCATCATCATCACCCCGTAACACTACATGTCGTTGGGTCACCAGTTTCTGTTGACTGTCTAATCAGCCCTCTCCACCTTTGGCAGTCAGTTGCAATGGACTTCATGGCTGCATGCCTGAGGAGTCAGTCAGGTTCTGTAACTAGGTCAGTCTTGGTCTGCCTCTTCACCTCTTCCCCTCAACTGAGCCCTGCAGTATTGTTTTTGAGAGGTTGTTAGGTCTTATTACGTGTCCATACCATCGCATTTTTTGCCTATTCACTGTAGTTTAAAGAGGTTCATAGTTGCCAGTGTGCTGTATTATTTTATGGAGAACCTCTTCGTTTGTAATGTGGTTTCTGTATGATATGCCAAGAATTTTTATAAAACATCGCATTTCTCATGCTTGTAGCTTTCTTTCAAGTTCAGCTGTTGAGGTCCACGTTTCACAGGCATATGTAAATGTACTAATAGCTAGTGCTCTGAGCAATCGAATCTTAGTATTGCATGAAATGTTTTTGGATCTTTATAATGTTTGCTGCTTGGCCAGGACTGATGTTGTCTGGGCAATCCTAGACATGGTTTCTGGTCTTGACCCCAAGTCACTTAAAATGGATCCTAAATATTTGAAATGAGTCACTTGTTCTAATGTGTGACCTTTAAAACGTAGATTGGTGAAATTCTGTCAGCTGGATTATTAGTCATTACCTTTGTTTTTTCTGCATTTATTTCCATGCCATACTTGGTCGATGTTTCATCGAGTAGATTTACAAGCTCAACTAGCTCTTTTTCTTCTCCTGCGAACCTATTAATGTCATCTGCAAACCTTAAGTTTGTTATAGTTTGACCTGCTTTACTAACTATTCCATGATTTAGTTCTAGGGGATCAACCATAATTCTTTTTAAAAAGATGGTAAACAGTGTTGGAGAGATGAGGCAGCCCTGACAGACCCCTACTGTTGTTCAGAATCAGCTTCCTATTTGTCCACTCAGCATGACAGCACTGCTGACCTTGGCATAGGGCTGTTCTATACTACACATAAGGGTATGTCCCTTATACCCTACAACAATATCAGCACTGCTGACCTTGGCATAGGGCTGTTCTATACTACACATAAGGGTATGTCCCTTATACCCTACAACAATATCAGCACTGCTGACCTTGGCATAGGGCTGTTCTATACTACACATAAGGGTATGTCCCTTATACCCTAAAACAATGATAGGTAAATATTTAAGATCGAAAACAAGAAAATAATGCCTACGTACCGTGATGCTTTGAATGACTGTCTGCAGATTTTTATCATCATCAAACATGACTGCCAGACTTGGGCCTTCACCACAAGTCTTTTCTTCAAATTTGTTGTTGATGATTGGTCTAAATTTAAATGCACCAAAACACTCAAGAAAATATGTAATATAGTTACTATGTACAAACTAATTATTTTTCATTTGACTGCCTTTTATCATTTATCATCACCATGTACTATGATACTAAGTGCAGCCAGTCATGGCGGGGCGGTCATGGTTTATCATCTCACATTTTCTTCTTCTTCTCTTCCTCTAATTACCTCACTGAATTTTAGGAGAGGGGAGAGAGAAAGGGTGGGAAACGTAAAGATCTTTTCGTTCTCGTTCTTGGTTTTCATAACGTTTACCGGTTGTAATCTCCGGCGGAAAGATTTGATTTTTCATACAATCCTGAATTTTGGTCTTGTTTCAGAACTTGGGTTTTGCATGCAGATCCTTTTTACAAATTTGGCTTAATTGTAAGCAGACTGTTGGTTCCTTGCCTCTCAATCAAGCAGGTGTACTCTGACTTCAAAGGATAATCCCATAATTAATCAACTTGTACAGAATGCATGTTAGTGAGGCAGTGGGTCTATTCTTTTCCTCCAGAACATGGCCACCCAGAACCCACATGAAAACTGCTTCTTCCAATGTTTAGTTTTCTGATGGGACAGCCTACCCATACAAAGAATTGCTTGGAGGTCAAAAGAGTTAAAAATTGTGAATGTCCCCCCACCCCCCACATTTACAGTGTTTCTTAATCTAGCCCACATGTTTGTGTTTAAGATGGTTGACAATTATGTAATAATGTCATTGCAAAGAATAGGTAAGAAAAAAATTGTAAACAACCCTTTTACATCAGTAGCACAATGGACATATGATGCTGAACTCATTTTTTTTTAAAATAGACTAATCAACTGTGGGTGATGTGCCCCTACTACTTAGAGCATTGCCTGGTATGCATTTTAGGCTGGGTCAGTCTGGAAGTCACGGTCAGTTCTGAAGAAATCTGCCATGATGCTTATTACAGCCCCAGACTTTTGGTTGAAAGTACATAAGATTTAGTACATAAACAAACGCAAGCTCAAGATACAACAACCAACCTTGTAAATGCATCAAAATAAGGATCAGGAACCAAATTCTGGACACTGAGAACTGCATCCTGGAATTTCTGGATGACCTCTGACACTCCAGTGTGAAAATCATTGTGATCCGGCAAAAACAGGAGCTGGTTTGGTTCCAGCAAGAATTCTGTTATAAATATTGGTGGCGACTTTGTCTCCTCATCCTCTTCAGCCTAAGTTTTTTGCAATATATTTGTTAAAAATGTTATTATTTCCATAGACATAAATCATTTAGCAAATTGAGGTTTTTACAATAAAAGTAAAAAAAGTGGCAAATGTTCTGTTGAATAAACAAAAATTGCTATTGTGGTTTTTGGACAGTGGCACAAGAGTTGCACCACTGTAGAAACTGAGGCCTCACCAAACAATGTTCTTAAAGTCAGCAGAGGGTACACTGTAGCCAGCTTCATGTGGAGCTGGCACAGAGGAAATCAAATGAACAGCTTCTAATATAAAATGTCAGCTTAAAAGTTTGGACACTAATACTGGACTACTAGACTTCTCGGATAAAACTAAAAAAAAAAAAAAAAAAATTAAGGATCCTTTATATGACACAATTTTCAGGCAAATGGTGCTAGATCCATATTGCATAAACCTAGGATTTTTTTTTTCTGGTGGTACGCAAAGGTACACAGTACCCGCATATTTTTTTTAAACGCATGATTTTTTTCGGCAATACTATAATAGACACAGACGCTCACCTTCCGATCATAAAGTCGTGAGACCGGGTCCGGATGGGGGCCGGAATTTTTTCAAAAATGACCTTGGCTCTCAGGTCAACCCAGCCTTGAGTGGGTACAATGTACAGTCCTGAGAAGTAAAGGCAGCCGGCGTGATGCTGACCACATCACCCACCAAGTGTCATTTGGTCTATAAAATATAGGTCTAGCCCTATATACCCAATATGCCACAAGGCGTGGAAAAGGGTCCTTTACTTTACTCTAATAGACACACTGAGGTGAGTACCAGTACTTGTTTGTGGAGGCCAGAAAAGCCCTGTATAGATCAATTAACACTCAATGTATGATGAAGTCAACATCACGCGGACCACCTTTACTTCAAAAAACAATTTCCAGCCACCCCAGTGGTCATGGTTTCAAATCTCCATAGAGTTGCATTATTGAAACAGAGAGACAGATCCAGCCTGAGTACACAGACATGTGCTGGGTAGTTATGAAGACCGGCATGATGCTGTCTGTTAGACACCTTCTAATGGGTGTTACAGAAGTACAGTTGCTGTTTTGTTAGTAGGCCAACACTTTGGTAAATATGCAATTGCTGATAACAGTGCTTCCAATTCTCAAGAATGTTTATTTATGTACTCATGATCATTTCAAAGTTAGTCTGGCTTCCATGCAAAGTTGTCGGTTCTGAGTAGCCACCCATCTATTCTTATCACTCACAAGCAAACTAATACCAGGTGGTCAATGGCTAAGTGTATCAACAGTATCACAAATCACACTGGCAATATATATAAAGTCATGGGGAAAATGTAGCATATTAGTGAGTGATTTTCAACACCACCGAGCGATAAACACCTGATGACACATAGTGCCACTATTCTGATGGGAATCTCCTGGTTCAAGTCCCAGTAAGACCCCCAACTACAGGTGGGGTGGGGCTTTAACATAACAAAATAATTGCACCCCGTGCAGGGGCCAGGTAGAATGTATCAGATGAGTCTAGAATAATTATGATAATATTATACTGGCTACCATAAATAACTTTATAATTCAACAATTTTAACAAAGGGAATACTTGTCACAAATATCAACTACTACTGTCATTGCCACAGCTTTAGATTGAGTCAGTGCCCAGCGAAAGCCAATTCTAACATTCCAGGGATAAGCCAATTCTAACATTCCAGGGATACCTAACAGATACATCCGTCCTCTGGGAAACTACCAACTGCTGTTTATTAGACTACCAGTGTGTCAAGTCCCCTTGTGAACTTCCCTCACCTGTAACACTCAGTTACCCTAGTATCCCTGTCTATCTTGTCTACAAACAAACTATATAACTAGTAAGTGTACTGTCTGCTGTTATGAGTCGAAGTCTAGTCAATGTTTGTCTTTCTCTCACAGTGTGTGGTGAACTTGACTCATGCACTAGCCACATCACACATTGAGTGTTGACTGGTCTATAAAAAATATCTGACTAAACAAAATGCCTAGTACACTTAAAGATATCTTCTTATTCCTAGCTTTCACCAGATGTAAACTCTGGCAGACATTTCTGGTTGTTTGTCCACACCTGGACTTTGGTCTTGATCCGGAACTTGAGTTTTGCATATATATATATATATATATATATATATATATATATATATATATATATATATATATATATATATATATATATATATATATATATATATATATATATATATATATCCATTTTACAGATCTGCCTTATCTGTATCCAGACTGTTGATTTTCTGCCTCTCAAGCAGATGCATTCTGACTTTGAAGGAAACATTGCTAATTCGTCACCTTCTATGACATGCTTCTTGGGGAAAGGGGGGGGGGGGGGGGGGGCAATGGGTGTGTCCTTTCTTCTTTAACATGCAGCTCCAGAACCCACATGGGTAACTTAAAAATACGAAAATAGGGATTTTACTTTACTATATTTACTTAGACATTATGCTCTGTAATTCCAAAATACCCTTTTCTGGCTTATTTGCAGACAGCCAGTATAGCATACTGCTTCGCAATGAATTCAACAGGCGTATGAACAGCTGACCATTCAAGAATTATTTTTGAAGCTACTGAAGGAAAAATTGCCTTATAAAACTAAAAACAGATAACAAATGCCATTGGGTTGGTTTAGAACATCCTGTACAGTATGGGTTTCCAAACCAAATGTAGTTACAAAGGGTTTTCTGTAGGCTTACCGGACAATGGTGAGCTGCAAGCATTTTAAAAAGAGACAAAAGAAATTATGTCATCCTTTCTTGCAGAGAAAATATATTCTCTGTGTTTTTATTTAACCTGTTAAAAAGTCTATTTTCCATGAATGGGGTCAGGGGTCACTTGGTCTCTATAAAACTGAGTTACGACTCGGACAAAGGTTGGGAACTGCTACTGTAAAGAAAATGCAACTAACTTTGTTTTTCCTTTATACTGGCTGAGCGACTAGATTCCTTGCTTTCATTTGGGAGAACCAGGTTCAAAACCTCAGTACGGTGATTTTTTTTCCCACTCAGGGGCGAAAAATTATTTGCTGCGGTAAGGGGTGACCTCAATAGTCTTCTTCTTCTCTCAGTCCATGCCATGTTTGTCCACAACCTTCTGTTTTGTGTACTTTCAAACAATTCTGATGATCCTCCATGCCATGATGTCAAACTGTCCAGCATCTTCTCCCACTGCCTTTTTCCAGTTTTCCCACTATCATGATGTACTCCCATTTTTTCCGTCTCATGACAAGACCATTGGTCATCCGGCCCGAAATCCTCATGCTAAAATGTACCTCTTTCCCTATAAAAGTGATAGTTAGCTGGAAAAAAAGAAAGACCTTTTTACACCAGTGGCACCTTTTGGCATATGATGCTAAACTCATAACTGACACTCTGTGGGTGATGTGGTCGACATCAAGCCAGCTGATTTTACTTCCCATGACATTACCTGGTAACCATTTTAGGCTAAGTTGACCTTGGAGCCAAAGTTAATAAAAGTGGTACAATACTGGGCAGTACAAGATGGTTTTCATAATCCTCACTATATCTTTGAGCGGCCTCTGTGGCTTAGGCATTGCGAGTCCGACTCGTAATTCCAACGTACTGCGATTGAAACCCACTGCTGGCTGCATGGATTTTTTATAATGGTATGGGGCGTCACAGGTCGACCCAGCCCTAAATGCGTACCATGATGTATATCCTGGAAAAGTGAAGACAGCCGGCATTATGCTGACCACATTACCCACCTAGTGCCAATTGGTCTGTAAAAATATGGGTGCTTTTCCCATACGCCCGATGCGCCTAAAGGTGTGAAAAGGAATCTTAACTAACTCACCTTATCTTTATCACTCTTCTTCTCCTCTTGTTTCTTATCCTCCTTGTAGGCATAGCTGAGGATCTCCTCCAGAGTGAGAGTGTTCTGTAGCTGCTCTGTGAGATAGTTCAGTAGCGTGGTGACTGAGTTCACGGCCAACACATGCATGGTGTTCACAATGAGGTAGTCTGCCAGTCGAATAAAACTGCAGACAAAATTGTGGTTGTGGGGTTGTAACTTCCAATGCCACACAGCATAGACTTTAAGAAGAAGAAATTTACCTTTACTACCTCTACTTATCTTTATTTATATTTACTTACTTTTTTCTTTACTTATCTTTACTTACCATTGTTTTTCTTCAGGTTTAGGTTTAAACAATGGATCAATATAACAACACGTGCTCATTTCTACTTCTAACTCAAATCTGAGTCCGAATAATCTCAGTGCAATGAACAAACTCCATAGCACTGGCGAGGATCCTGAAATACCTTTTTAGTATTAGATTACTTTGCGTTGGTTATGACAATGAGAATTGAACAGAAAGTGTTTACTTACTTTTACTTATCTCTAAATACCTTTACAGCCTGGGAAGGTAAGAGAATTAGATGTAATCTGACTTAAAATTTTCAATGAATAAAAGTACAATATCATGCTCTGTTGTAATTTAAACATACCAGCTGAGCCTCTTGCAGTGAGCTCTCTTGTTTGCCTGTTCTGTGTATGTCATTCTCTCTGGAGCTTCCCCGTATATGTCCATGTCATAGTTTGACTGCATCAGGTAAGAGGATGACGTGCCCGGGGCACCTGCAAAATCACCTGACGGAGACAGGTAACTAGGTAAGTTAATTGTTTACAGGAGAACTATTTAATGACAGGTAACGAGGTAAGTTAATTGTTTACAGGAGAACTGATTAATGACAGGTTACTACTCAAATCCAGCCTGGTACTGACCACATCACCAACTTCTTCTTCTTCTTCGCGTTCACCAGCTGTAAACTCTGGCGGAAAGTTCTGGTTGTTCATCCATTTTTCGACTGCAGTCCTGTTCCAGAAGCTGAGTGTTGTGTGTGCACCCGTTTTACAGATCTGACTCACTTGTATGCAGACTGCTAGTTCCTTGCCTCTCAGGCAGACACACTCCGACGAAGAAGCTCCCAATTAGTCGACTCTTACAACATGCTTTTGGGTAGGCGGTGGGTCTATTCTTTTTGTTTTTACCTATAATAGAGCCCCAGAACCCACACGAGGTACATCACCAACTGAGTGCAGACTGGTCTATAAAGTATAGTTCTAGCACTATATGCCGATTATACCTGAAAGCGTATAACTAATTAAAAACTAATTAATTGTTTAGAGAAGAACAAATTATTTTGTTGGGTGACTACTGAAGACATGTATGCATAATGGAAGAAAATTGGCCACCATGGCAGGCATTGGAGGCTAAAAACCAGGGAACCAGATCTCAAGGGCGACCCAAGGTCCGCTGGGAAGACAACATCCTATAGTCCCTAACTGACAGAGGACTGGGATGAAACAAAGCCAGGAAGAAAACTGCTGACAGAGACATCTGGCAAGCTCTCTGGCAACCATTTACACCCCAACGTAGAGGAGGAACGACTAAGTAAGTGAGTAAGACTACTGAAGATATCCATTTTTTTCTGCCTCTTTTCTTCTAAAGTACAACTCTTGTACCACTGTCCAGGAGCTAGGAGAATGGTTTGTTGAATGTTGAATTGGGAATCGACATCACAGCACTCAAGACACCCCCATAAGCACTCCATCCATATCTTCAGCAGCAAGCGAAGGTTTGAAATTCCGATGGTACCAGTAATAGTCTGATTTTATATCCATCTCGCCTTTCCCCTGAGTGTTGAGCGTCGGCCAAATCCCCTTGTAACTCCTTTCAGTGCCATTCTCCTTAGACCGTAATGATGTATCTGTGCCTAGGCACTGTTCACTTGCTCCCAAGGCCCCTCACAACATCCAGCTTGACATACATCAGTTCACTACCAAGTGGTGCAGAACCGGCCAGTCTATCTGCCTGCTCATTTCCCAACACACTGGCATCACCTGGAAAAAATATCCAAAGGATGCTAACTACCCGAGACATTTGAAGTTATGCTTGCCACTCTGCATGGAGCATGCCTATCTCAACATGCTCTATGAGTCATAGGAGAATAGTTTAAGTTATATGAACCGAGGAAAACAAATCAATTAAAGGTAACTGCTAAAGTATTGTTGTTGTTTTTTTAATTAGAGAAAAGCCAATCAATGACAGGTGTATATATATATAATTTTTGTTTTAATTAGAGAAAAACCAATCAATGACAGGTGTATATATACTTTAAAAAAAAAAAAACTACATCTTGGGGGGAAACAGCAGTGGCAGCCATGAGCTTTACAGATGCTGTGTTGCTGCCAAAAAGTGATGGTACTCTTGCTTGTTGCCCGCTCAAAACGTAAAACATAGAATGCTTGGATGATCAAAAAGAACACAATGTGACATCCTTAGGAGATAGAGCAGCCCATGGGAAAGGTCACAGGCTATGAATGGAAGCCCAGGAAATCTGCAACTGTGAGAATTGGGCTTTTGCTGACAAGAACGTGAGTTGTACCACTACTTGAAAGTTAGTTTTTTCATCCCTGGAGTGAACCTACCATAAATTCCTGGGGTATCAGCACCATCGTAATAATAGTCATCTGGGGTGAAACCAGCTTCCAGCAAAGCCGTTCGGCAAGCACTTCGAACAACTTCCTTCACTAGCTCCCTGAAGTCCTGCAGTCTTGCAGCGACCTAGATAAAACACACCAAAATGAACACTGTAATAATGCAAAATAAAATTGAACATTCTAGGCAGGCTGGAACCACAATGAACATTCTAGACAGACTCAAACCAAAATGAACATCCTAGACAGACTCAAACCAAAATGAACATTCTAGACAGAAATGACCAAAATGAGCATATCGGGATACGCTGAGGTGAAAGGAAATGAAAAAGCCAACAGACTGGCCGTGTGTGCACTGGTTGGTGGAGAACGAAGCATGGACATGGCAGTTATACTGAATTGTTGTGTGTGTCCTAGCAAATTTGAGAGGAAGGAGTCAGAGACAATAAACTGCTTGTTGAAAATTAGTATTAAACGAGGGCAAGCATGCAGAAACTGGTTGTGGGGCTGAGAAAGACGATCTGCCAAAGAACTTCTATTGGGTACATTGAGCATGGAGATACTAAAATGGCTACTGCATCAGAAGATGAAACAAGAATCATGTGCTTGGATGTCGAGATGTTCAATTTGTTCTTGGTAGGATGCAGCACTAATACTCTTTGTCTTTTATAAGGAGCTCTGGTAAACATGAGCCCAAACAGACCAAGAAATGCAGAGATATATAGAGACAGGAAAAGGCAGTACATGTGTTGTAAAGTTAGTTGCATATCCTTTACATGAACCCCATCATTTTTTAGCTGTTTGGAATTTTCCTATGCAGTTTTATATTTAGTAGTTTGCCATTGTTTTCTAAACAGTTTGATTCTCATTGTCATAATCAATGCACAATAATCTTACAAAATTTCCTGAAGTTAAACCGAACCCGGTATGTTAGAATCGTAAAATGCATCTATGACCACTGAGCCACAGTTGTGGGATTAATGAAATATTATAAGATTCATTTTTTTTTGGATTAAGCAAAACAAGACAGAATGAATGAGAGAGAGAGAGAGAGAGAGAGAGAGAGAGAGAGAGAGAGAGAGAGAGAGAGAGAGAAAGAGAGAGAGAGAGAAAGAGAGAGAGAGAGAGAGAGAGATTAGTAACAAGGGAAGAACTTGAAGGTAACTGCTGAAGATGAGAACCAGGCAGCTGGTAGAAAAAAATGAGTATAGTTATATCATTTAGCGGGTAGATAATAGAAGGCTAATGCTGTCACCTACCAGCTAGACCCAAAGCTTAAAACACCCCATCCATCACCCAAGCCACCCGAGAAGCACAAGACAAATACCAAAAACTATGACACTAGGCTACAACCTGGTATCAGTGAGATGAAAACAGAAAAATAAGAAGAAGAAGTGGAAAAGAAGAGTATACTTACATCATTCAGCTGATAGAACTGAGCCTCCATGAATTCTGACAGCGTATACGTATGATCCCTGTCAATATGACACAAGCCCATCTCGCTGATTCTATGACACATTTCTCTGACATTCAACAAAGCAGGTCGCAGGGACTGATTTTGAAAAAAAAATGTTTAAAAGACGATTATATCTTAAGCAGCTGTAATGTAAGGATTCTTAGATACATGGCATAAAAATCTTGCTCTGGTGACCACATCACTCATTTTACTTAGATAAATAGCCGCATTTATAGTTTAGGTTTTCTTAACTTACCAGGGATAAATAACTGGAAAGATATAAGAAAACAGATAGAAGATGACATCATCATCATCATCAGGTAGCAGATCCTTTATAGAACGTAGCTCTCATCATGGTAGGCTTGAAAAAAAACTTGATCTTGTGCCAGCTCTCCCATCTCAAGCACTTTCCTACCCAAGGGGTCACTTACAGTCTGTACCCATCTTCCTGCTAGTCAGCATTTTTCCTCTTTCCTGGTACAATGTCCTCTGCTAACCCTTTTTTTCCCCAATCCATTGTGGCATTTGATATAGCCAAAATATTTTAGTTTCTAAGACAGTACACTGTTTACTAGCCAGTTTTTCTGGATGTTCTGATTTGTGGACAACCACAAGTTAACTTGGCTGTTTAAATAACAATGGCTACAAATAGTTACCACACTCTCTACAAAGTGTCTATTACAGTCACACTTTAAAAATTATACCTCCCCAAAAAAAAGTGCAAGTGCTGTGCACTACCAGAAAAAGCCTTGGTACCCCAGCACCACTACTACAACTAATACTACTATTATAGCTACTGTTACTATAGCAACTGCTCTGCTCATACTGATGCCACTATAATTACTGCTAATAATGTTTTACATTTACAAACTACACTTACTGGATTCACAATAAATAAATTTTCATTCAAAGCTTTTTTACAATCTTTGGTCTTTGCTGTTCTGACGTTCTGCCTCCATACACTGAAAGCTTTCCATACACGGAACTTGGCAAATGTTTTGATCTGAAAATAATTCAGGAAAGCTTCAAAATGTCACCACACAGACTACATTTTGTTCTGCTTGCATTTTGTTTTCTTGATATCGACTTATATTTCATTTTTTGTTTCCCCAATTAAACAAATAGTGTCCTCTGTCATTGTTGCAAACTTCTGTAGCATTTAAAATCTAGAGTTCCTTCTTCCAGGTCACCATAGACTTCCTCAACTGTATTTCATACAGTGTTGTAGCATATCATTGGCACTGAAGAAAAACAAACCTAGGTGCTAACTAAATCTTGGTTTCAAGAAAACTGTGTCTGAACATTGAGATCATATGTTTTTTGTTTGTTTATTTGCTGCCTCAACCATCAACACATCATGCTTTTGTAGAGTTTCTCTGATGTTATCTTTCCTTCTTGTTCTTAGTCTACCTAGTGCTCTACATCCTTCTCCTCTTTTCATGTGTTCTATAAATGGTACGGCATCACAAGGCATTCTAAGTGTGCAAACAATTTGATTTGATTTTTCTGTATGTATTTTAGAATTGGCTTTGTGTGCTTGTTCTCTTATGACCTTATTCCAAATTTGATCTCCTCTGGTCACTCATGCAGCCATTTTCAGACAACAGCTTTACAGACACAGACAGTAAACACAGACAGAAAGAGGACAACAGTTCGACAGACAAGACAGAAAACACACAGAGGTCAAGAGAGTAACAGACATAGATAGTAAACACAGAGAGAGAGAGAGAGAGAGAGAGAGAGAGAGAGAGAGAGAGAGAGAGAGAGAGAGAGAGAGAGAGAGAGAGAGAGAGAGAGAGAGATGACAAGAGATTATCAGACAATGACAATAAACACAGACAGACAGGATAAGAAATTGACAGATCAAATTAATCAGGTGCCTTCTCCACAGTGAAGATTGGCTGTAATGGATCTTCAGCTCCCTTTCTCTCTTGTCTTGGTTGTACACTCACTCTCAGACTGCTGTTAATCCATCTCTTGATGTTGTAAAGTTTACAGATACAATCAGCTAGACAAAACCGGTTAAAAGATGGACAGGACCAGAAATTCAACAGAGAGACAGAGAATGACACTATACCTTGATCAACTTTTCAAAGTACATCACCTCCCGTTCCCACCTATCCAACACAACAAACTCTGTCTCATCATCTGCTCTCATCCTGGTGATACCCTTCTGGCTGATGGTCAGGTAATCTGGTTTGTACACATGCTCATGACCCACAACCCTGGAAACAATGACACAGACAACTTTTAGCTACACCAAGTGTTTTTGGGTCCTTTCCTTTTAAACTCTTTCAACACCAAATTGTTGTATCCTTTCCTTTTTTAACTCTTTCAACACCAAATTGTTGTATCCTTTCCTTTTTTAACTCTTTCAACACCAAATTGTTGTGTCCTTTCCTTTTTAACTCTTTCAACACCTAAATTTTCACAACAGATAATTTAAGGGATGACACTAGTAAATAATGAGTAATGCACCTATGCAGTTAAGAAGAAGCATGGACAAAGTTGAAATCATCAACGCTGTACAGACAAGCTTAGGGGATAATAGCGAATCTCTGACGCTAACATGACTGCGTTACCGAGAAGTTAAGCTTTGTGAAGCATATCTATGTCATCTTTGAGATAAAGCAGGAGTTACTATAGCCAACTCCTTGTGGGAACAATCATTAGAGGTACCTTGGAGTTGCTTCATCTGAGGAATAAGCATGCATGGGAATGACAATATGCAAAGAAGTTGATTGTGATAACATAACTATAAAAAAATCTTGTGTATTATTGTCATTTAAAAAAAAAGAAAGGATAAATAATGGGGAAGACAAATGTCTTAAGTCTGGTATATCACATATACAAGGTTTAAGAATGCATTACAGGGTATGTGGTATTCACAGAAAAGCTAATTACACATCACATATTGTTTGGGGCTCAAAGAGTTAATTAATTACATCCGGCTCAAAGAGTTAATTAATGACATTCCAATGCAGGTTCCAGGTCTCCGATTCTGGGAGAAAAACAAAAGAGACTCTGTGACCCCTAACAAGTACGTCATAATAGTAGAGATTTTCTTAAATCAGACGTTCTGCACCGAATGGAGCAGATATCACAGCCCAGCTATAAAGCACAACACATCACAAAGTGTCTAATGACTCTTTTAAGGATAACATAGAAAGAGAAAACCACAGACAAAAATATTTTTTTTAAAAAAAGCTTAATGACTGTTAAAGTCATGGGCAAATGGGGCATATGGTAAGGAAAGTAAAGGACACATTTCCTGCACTGGGGCATCAGGCATATGACCACAGACCAATATTTTATAGATCAATTAAAAATCAGTGAATGATGTGGTCAATATAAAAGCAGTTGACTTTCCGGAACAAATCCTCCTTGTAAGTTGGGGGGGGGGGGGAAGAATAGACCCACTTCCCTCTAACAAGTATGTTGAAAAAAGGTGATAATTAGGGATATTTCCTTGAAAGTCAAAGTGCATCTGCCTGAGAAGTGAGGAACCAACAGTCTGCATTAAAAAAAATGAAGCCAGATCTGAAAAACAGATGTTCACACAAAACTCAAACTCTGGAACAGGAGTGGATGAACAACCTGAACTTTTCTCTGGAGTATACAGCTGTTGAATGTGAAGAGGAAGAAGAAGCTGTTGAATGTGAAGAGGAAGAAGAAGCTGTTGAATGTGAAGAGGAATAAGAAGCTGTTGAATGTGAAGAGGAAGAAGAACTGTTGAATGTGAAGAGGAAGAAGATATTGAACTGTCTTAGATGCAGGCAGCAATGATGATCAAGGTGAGATGATGATAAATGAGGATGATTATAGAGATGGTAAGGATAATAACGATAAATGATGATGATGATGATAAATGATGACAGTTACGATAATGGCGAGAATGATGACGACGACAACGATCATCAGATGAAGATGCTGTTGGCAATGGGATTCTTCTTCATATTTTTTGTGTTCACCATAAACTCTCACACAGAGGTTATGGTTATTCGTACACTTCTGAACTTTTGTTTCAGAACTTTGGATTTTACTTATTTGTATGCAGACTACTGGTTCCTCACCTCCCAAGCATATGCACCCTGACTTTAAAGGATATACCCCTAATCAGTTAACTTTTATGACATGCTTGTTGAAGGGCAGTGGGTCTTACTCCCCCCCTTCCCCCCCCCCCCCCCCCCCCCCCCCCCCACATAGGACCCCAGAATCCACAAAGAAAGGCAACAGTGATGATAATGGTGATGATGATTACGGCATAACAGCAACCATGTAAACAAAATCACATACTTCAGGTTGTAGTAATGGTAATGAACTGATGACTTTGGTACTGCAGGGCTCAGGTACAAGAATCCAAGTTTAGGTTCCGTCCGAATAATGGAGATAATCTTATGCATGTCTCTTATTCCATTGTAGGAGCTTAGATCTGAAATACATTTGACATCTCAATTATTTAACTACCATACTACAATGAAACTCAATATCCATGCATTCATTTTTCTCTATAATAAGCCAGTCTATTCCTGTTGCTACTCTAACTCATCAGATTCATAACAAAATCTAGTTTGAGAATGGAGGTGAAGGCAGTCACTGTAACCTTCCGCTTGTTTAAGAACCAGCTCTACTCACATGTCATGATTGTAATTGACTCATAGAGCATGCAGAGTGGTAAGCATTATTTCAGAAATCCTGGGTAGTTAGCATCCTTGGAATATTTTCTCCAGGTATGCCGGTGTGGTGGGAAATGAACAGAGAGACTGATTGGCTGGTTCTGCACCCCTTGTTTGTTAAATGATGCAAGAAAAGCTAGATGTTGTAAGGGTCTTTTCATTGGAAGGGAGTGAAAAGTGCAGAGGCACAAATAGATGATGATGGTCTGAGGAGAATGGTACTGCGGGGAGTGACTAGTGCATCTGGCTGCCCTCAACACTTAAGGGAAGGGCAAGACGAATATACAGTCAGATTGATATTGGTACCATCAGAGTTGGAAATTTGCCCTTGCTGCTGAAGATGGGAATGGAGTGCTAAATTTAACATTGAACATTTAGATTCATAACTTCCTATGTGGGTTTCTATGTGTCATTTTTTAAATAACAATAATGGACCCACTGCTCCCTAGGAGTTGGCTGAAATCAATTCTGGTGGGCCTAAAAGTCCAGATATTGCAGTCAAGCTGTAAACCACAAGAGAAATGTGTCAATTATCTTTTTAAGGGCAAGTGTAGAAAAAGAAGAAAGTGAATCTTCATGATTTCATATTTTGTCAACACACTTAGACTCAAAGATTGTTACTCAAAAGAACATTCATTATAGGATGGAAAGAGCAAACACTATTGAACGGGAAGAATACACACTAAGAGATGGAAAGAATACACACTATAGCATGGACAAGTTAACCAAACTGTCTGCGACTCAAAAAGTTAAAACACCACAGCTACTGACATCTCCACACTTTATGCAGTTGAAAAAAAAATAATTTAAAGCAAGCTAAAAAATATCCCGATTTTTCTAATTTACAAAAAAAATAATTAATAAATAAAGGACAATTTTCATGCCTTCAGCAAATCAGCATATGATAGTTGATAGGGTCAACATTATTTTGGCCTCCTTTACTTCCCAGGACATTACCTGTACCCATTTTAGTTTGGGTTGACTTAGGAGCCAAGGTCTAATTTGAAAGGAAACAATTCCTCAATGTGGATTTGAACCATAGCCCTCAAGGTCAGCATCTAATTGCCACTCGACTGCAGCCATCAGATTTTTTTTTCAAATACCACAGCAAAGTAAGTCTAAAATTTGACAAACTACTGCTGAAAGTATTTATTCCTCTGCTATTGGGGGGTAGGGGGGGGGGGGGGGGGGGGTAATTTAAAAGTTTTACTGGATAATTTTTTAAATAGGTAGTTAATCAGTTCATTACCTCAGTGGGGAAGCGTGTGCTTCTCAATGACCCTGAGAGCTATGGTGACGGTAGCGTAGCTACTAACAGAGCCTCCCCAGCTGGAAATGCCAAAGGGTAGAGAACAGAAAAAGAGAGATACCCTAGTCTTCTAAGTTTGGTTTTGAAGCGTGGGGCCAACACCCCCATCTTTGTAAAACTTCATTTCATCATGAAACAGATATCCAAGCCTCAATTTTGGATGGATTTAAATGGACCTTCAATTACTTGGTGTCACTAACACCAACCAGATAGTTAAATGGAGGTTGGTGATATCTGCAGCAATAAATCTCAAGGGCTCATAATGCTCAAAAAGAAGAAGTTTTTTTTAGCACTCAAGATTTGACGGAACCTATTTCAGAGCAGAGGGGGAAAAAGTACAAGGAGGAGGAAAAGTAGGAGCGGAATGACAGAAAGAAAGGGGATAGGAGGAAGCTGTGAAGAAGTACAAGAGAAAGAAGAATGAAAAGGAGAAGAAGGATGAAAAGGTAGCTGGAGAAAGAGAAAGGAAAAAAAAGAATATCTAAAAAATATTTTCACAATGAATATAAGTGGCAGGCTTACGTTTCATCTTTGTAGAGGCAGGCAGGGAAGGACCAGTAGCATGGGCTTTTGGAGACTTCCATTTGGCATCTCGTGGTGTTACTGGTCTAGGCACCATTTCTTCCTGAGTTAAAATAACAAATATATATTATATATATTATATATTATATATTATATACACACACACATTATACATCTATCTTATTTATCTGCAACATCATGGCATCAAGCACCACCTTACAGAAATGAAGATAAACTTAAACAATGCATTAGAAAGATCACATGGAATATCTTTACATCTTCTCCCAACACTTCAATGAAGCAATTGAAGGAAGAGCAGAAGAAGATCATACCTATAATATACTATATATACCTGTTTTTCTTTAAGCTCCTGCGGCAACTCCGGAGCCCTCGGAACAAATTCTAGTGGATCAACAGAGCCAGCTCGTTTCAGCCTTTTTTGATCATCCAATGTTGCTTCTGTCTGCAGTTTTCTTTTGAACTCCAATGCTTCTAGATTTTTCTGTTGAATGTATTCTGGTTTATTCACCATCTGATATTTCTGTAGAATAGGCTGGTGAGGAAATATAAAAATGATTAGTAAAGCTGCATTTTTAAAGGATAGGATGACTTGATGGAAGTTGGTTTAAGGGCTTAAACTTCAGCAGGAATAAATGGCAGAATAACAAATCAAAACAGATAAACAAAAAACCAATAAGTTATAAATTGGTAAATATTGTAAATAAATGAATCAAGAATTGACATCGCTGCATGCATGACCTTCACATGTGCTCTGTCCCCTTCTTTAGTAGCCAATGAAGAGCTGATAAGCTAATAGTACCCACTGCAGCCTGATTAAAAGTGCGCCTATGTTTCTCACTCAGTGTTGAATATCTTACAGAACCTTTACTCACCTCCCATTGAATAAGTCTCTCAACATATAAATTATCTGTCTGTTCTATTGCACTGTTATTTGATCACAGAGAGCATTCACTAAGTCCCCTTTATCGTTCTTCTTCTTCTTCTTCTTCTTCTTCTTTGCATTCGGTTTCATCTGCTCAGGTCAGACCATCTGGTGGGTTGCCCCTGTGAACTAGCAGGTCATCTGCAGGTCCTTCATGGCTCCCCATAGCTTGCTCTTTAAACTTTGCTTTTGATACCAGGTTTATTTTCAAAGTTGTAGGCAGAGTAAGCAGGTCTGCAGAATGTGCTCAGGTGTTTGTAGGTCTGTCTGTCATGTGCACACTGTGCGAACTGTACAGTCTTTATTGTATGCATGTGGTAGTTGAGCCTGCAGTGTCCTGTTCGTGGACGGAAAATGTTGTATGTTGTTTTCTGTTGAGTCTGCTGATGGGCTCCTGTGGATGTTGACTGTTGGTTTGATACTGTAAATACATTAGAGATGTTACAACAAATCAGTAGTTGGACATGTGCAATTAATTGCAAAAGGCACCCTCGCTATTTTTTGAATCAGCAGTTCACAAAATAAACCACTCTGAGTATAGTCAAAAAGCATTCCAAATTAAATCCACAGCTCACAGCAACACTCCCTGCACTGAACTCAGTAGCTCGATGACAAAACTTCATCCTTTCAGTTTAAATATGAAAGAAAATGAAGCGGCAAACAATTGTCCGAAGACAAAACTTGCCATGAATAAAAAACACAGTAAGCTAGACTATTCACAACAATGACTCTAAATATGATAAATAGAAGGCTAATAAAAGATAAAATAAAAATAAATAAGTTTTTATAAATATTACCAAGAAATTAACGACTGAAATATGATAAATGGAAGGATATAGTTGGAAATTTTTTAATGTTTATTTATTGTATAGGTTTCGTTCCATAAAGCAGTAGCAACTAAAATGATTTAAAGAAAGAGAAATAGAAAAAGACAAGAGAAGAATCTTGATAGCATTTTGTTATGGCATGGATAGGTGTCAGTATACAAAGTGATAAAAGCTGTAAGAGATCACAAGATATAGAGGCGCCAATCAACAGAGCACTTCATGATGATGGTGATGTTAGTGTATGTGTGCAACTGTTTATGACTGAATACATGCATATATGTGTGGGTGTATGTGTGTTATGTGCATGTGAGAATTAGTGATTATATATGTATATGTGTGTATGCATTTGTGAATGTGAATGCATAAGTTTGTATGTGTTTGAGTGTTTGGGCGTTGTTGTTGTTGCTGCTGTTGTTGATGTTCCTGCTGTTGCTGCTGCTGTTGTTGCTGCTGCTGCTGCTGCTGCTGTTGATGTTGTTTGTTTGTTTGTGTGTGTGTGTGAATGTGTAGATGGGTGGGCGGATGGGTGTGTGCGTGTGAAGTTAAGAACAATATTTTTGTTACCACACACTCTTACCAATGGCTCTACATGAGGTCCTATTGGTGTTCTCAGCCTCTTGACTTGTGTTCGTGTTAGGCCTCTAAACACAAGGGCATCTGAACTGGGCTTGGCCACTAGAGGAGCATATGAATACAGCCGTGCTTGTAAATATTCTTTCCTAGTGAATGCATCCAAAGCTGAAGGCTGAGACTGTCTCATTTCCATGTCTAACTCGGCCAGGTCCAAACGATTAACAGCCATTTTCACTAAATATTTTTTTACTGTAGATAATGAATTGTAACAAATATGGTTATAACAAAATTACATTAAAGTAACATTTGATGGAAGATGTAACACAGAGATAAAAAAGGGGGAAAAAATTGTCATATCCAAATGATTAATGATGATTTTTATTCAGTTTTCTATGTGTAAAGACAATAAAATGTTAAAAATATAGTTGTAGTTAAATAACATCAACTTTATATCAGATATGTTCACAGTCAACACAGGTGTGAGACAGGGATGTGTGCTCTTACCACTTTTATTTAACATCTATATAGACATAATATCTAAAGAAGCAAGTTCTGATACAGACAACATAGACCTTTTTAATCATGAGGAAGTACACACATCAGAGAAGTTATTGATTCACCCACTTTAAAGGAACAACTATTTGCTGACGACCAGTGCTTGTTCTACCCTGAAGAAGATGTATACAAGACCACATTTACAGATTAAACTCAGCATGAAGTAAATACATCATGAAGATCAATGTAAACAAAACCGAAACAATGCAAGTTAGTAGAACACCTGCCCTACTACACACACAGCTGAATAGTTCTTCCCTGAATCAAGTTAGGGAGTTTAAATATCTAGGAAGTATGATCACAGAAGATGGCAGAATTGACAGAGAAATAGAAACCAGATGTGTCAGAAAGCAAGTGCACTTATATACCAGTTGTTACCATTATTAAGACATGGGCCCCGGAGCCCACATGGAGAGAAAAAGTATATGATGCATGTGACAACGAATGAACGTATTGTGTGTTTCCTGGTACTGACAGTGCTCAAGGGACTTACTAAGATGTAATAGTAGGATAAATTTAAAAACATTTATCCCCGTGTGGGTTCCAGGGCCCCATTGTGGGGAAAACAAGAATAGACCCACTGCCCCCCCCCCCCCCAAAAAAAAGCATGTCGTAGGAGTCAGCTAACTGGAATCTGGTAATCTGGTAATTTTAATTTCAGCTTCATAGCAAACGGGTCACCCCATCTTTGCTCCGCTCCTGTACCAACGAAAAACACACAGAATGTTTATCACAGTCCCTTGTGGAAAGACTGACAAACTGCTGTCTCAGCAAATCTAGCCTACACTCGCATTAAAAGCATATGGTAGCCATCCGAAGTGCTAACACAAAGTCTGACGTTAGAAATAAGGTTCAACATTGATGGTAGCAAAAGTCACCAAAAGATCAGCAGTTGCACACGCGATCAATTTTAATCAAAAAATGGCCCACCAATATTGCGACAACCGGCATCGTGCCAATTTCTGAATCTACAAATCACACCACCACGTTGGTCAGTTGAAAACATTCGAAATGAAATCTGCAGCTCACAGTGTCACGCCATGCACTTAACTCAGAAGCCTTCGTTAACGACAATTCACCCAACAGCCATGCAATTCTTGGGCACGAAGGAGACACCTTGAACTTGGGTTTCGGACTGCCGACTCCCTACATGAAGATATATGTGTGCGACTGGTGTCCCGTAGCCAAAATACTATCTCACTGTATTACTAAAATTCAGCACGCATACTTAAATGCTTCCTTCGAAGTCATAATGCATCTGTCCGAACGGCAAAGAACAACCAATTGCAGACAAATAAGCCAGTCAAAAAAATACATATGCAAAACTCATACCCTGGCACAAAGCCAAACTTCAGATGAATGAATAGCCAAGAAATTTTGTCAGAGCTCACAGCCGGTGAAAACAGAAGAAGAAGAAGAATATTCATCATAACCAAATGATTAACGACCTTTTTAATTCAATCTTTTGAGTCTAAAGATAATGTAACAAATATGGCTTCAGTGAAAAGAAGCTGATCGTAATCAGTATCAGGAGCCTTACTTCCCAGTACTTTTGTTGATATCATTTCAAGTTTTGACTAACAGTCTGCATACAAATAATCAGATCTACACGCAACACTAAGGGTTTGGAACAAGATTAAAGTCTAAAGGGGGATGAACAATCAGAACTTTCCACTGGAGTTTATAGCACAACACATTTTACAAAGAACACATTTCAGCAAATGTTGAAAACAAGATTTTAGTGACCACGTTGTCGTACTTTAGATCGGCGATCCAACACGCCCGCTCCAGGCGGACATTTGGCCCGCTTAGATCTTTGATTAATAAATCATTAAATCTCTGGGAATTGTTGCTAGAGCTAGGTAGGTTGTGCCTTGTGCATTATTCTTGAGAGATGGCTAGACATTGTGCAGAGAAATACTGAGCCATATAGGATAAAACCAGCTGCAATGAAGTGAAGGTTTTTTTTTTTTAACTTTGAACCTGTTGTAATCATTAACTCATGAAGTGCTTACTCAAAATTTGTGAGCTGGGGGCCCTTTTTGTGATGTTAATTAGATAATATTGCTTCATATTGGTATTTCTGTTTGATCAGTATGTCCGCCTCATCACTCCGCACAGTACTGTTTACATCTTGCCAGGCTCAGAAAATAACCATAGATGTGTACTGCGTTTACTAAAAACAGTGAGCTGGTAGCCATATTTCAGTTATACCTCACTGGATTAATTAAAAATCAAAATAGTTATTGCTAAAAAAAAAATGCAAACAGTTCAACCCTACATTTTACGCAGCTCAGAATCCATCTTTTTCCAGGTTACACTATAATTTGTCTTTGGTGGTATACACCACTAGAATGTTAATATCTCCGCTTAGAATTGACTTACAGGCTTTGATGAGGTATCGTTAGATTGGATAGTTTAATATTTATCTAGCGGTGATGGTTTCATAAGTACAAACCCAGTTACATAAAACTTTAGTTAGAGATTTCGTTGTTATGGAATGTAAACAATTAAACCGGAAATGGATTCGCTTAGTTACGTGAGGGGAATGCCGGTCCCTGACTTTTTGGCTTATCTGTACCAGTCTCTATAAAACCCCTTGTCACTCGTTACTAGCTGTTCATAAACGAACGCAAGCACGCGTGATCGCTTCAGCAGAGGTCAGACTGCCGAAAAGCACGTATTTTTAGAAAAGACGTTTACTCACTGAAAAGTATTTAGTAATTTGGAAGAGGGTAAGTAAAGTTCTTTAATATCTCTTTTTTTAGGCTTCCCATCATCTCTATTATGGTATTATTGAACTCTGCGCCCATTTTTACATACAGCTGTAAAATTTGAGTTAGATATGTTCTTTAATAGTTTCAGAACTTATTTTTTTCTGCATCCAGTCTTGTTGAATTTAGTTGAATTAGTTACGGTAAAAACAAAATGGCAGACGGCGTGAATTCAAAAGCGTGTCTGTTATATATTGACAATGCTAATTATCTGGGCAAATTAATGTTTAGATAATACAATATTAAGTTGAAAAAGTAATTTATGTTTGTAGTTTTATTACTTTTACTAAATTTAATTAGCTAAAAAGGTCATTATGAAAAGTTTTCTGACACACCTAATGGCTGAATTTTTTTTCCAGATTTTTGCTTTGAAACTGAACACAGACAGTGCACTAATAAAACAAATTAATGAATTTCACTGAATGCCATCTAACTAATGTTCTATTTTTATTTAAATCTACAACCATTTTTACTTTTGTAATGCATAAATTAGAATTTAATATGGGTTAGAAGTATTTTTTGTGTGTAGATATTTCTATTGACCCTCACATACAGAATTCCACGCAGCAACTTGTATGGACTTCTTGATATTGCGTGGTATAGTATAATTATATAACAATCATACTATTTTTTATATTTTACTTGTTAGTAATTTAATAAAATAATAATACTACAAAACCTGTTTAATTATAATATTTATATATGTTGTATATGTATATATTCAATATTTTTTAAAATAACAATAAAAAGAATAATTTATTAAAAATAAAATATATTAGTCTTTTTTTTAAATTTATTAACAATTAACATTGTTTCTTATTTCTATATTTATCTTGATATTTAGATTGTGATCGAGCAATGGCAAAAAGGACAGCAGCACATCTTAGATCACATCTGTCAGTCTTTGAGGCTGGATATCCTATCCAGAAAGGTTACATTGGTCGGCTCTTGATTGTGGATGGCCGTTCTGTACCTGATGTGGTACGTGAGGTCAGTTCTATCGTGCAGACAACAGAACCAGGCAAGATTTTAAATGAGAAAAGTCTTGGCACCCAACTGTATGTATTCAAAAAATGTATTTTGAATAAAATGTTCAGTTTAACAAGAGAATGGCCATCACTTATTGCAATCCTCCTTCAACCTTTTTTGATCTCATTTAAGAATGTACCTGTCACCAGTGCTTCTTCAGAATCTGAACATACAGCAACAAACAAGCACGCTGAACTAACAGTCGCACCAGAATCAGAGAATCTGTTAGAATTAAACACTCCTCTTCTTACATCAACATTCACTGATGCTTCTGTTGCAGTTTCTTTTTCTGAGTCTTTGACATTACCGTCACCCAAAAAACTTAAAAGAGTTTGTGCAAACTGTGTTATGAAGCAGCGGACAGTTATTAATGTGGAACAGCAAAAAAGAAGTTTAAAGCAACAGATACGAGGACTTAAAATGCAGCTAAGAGAAAAGCAAAAACCTCAGTTTTCCTTGGCCAAACTGAACAAGCTGATCAAAAGGAAGACACGATCAGTGAATGTTTGGAATGCTAAATTTACCGATATGAAGAAAAAATATGATGAAGCGCAGAGATCGCTGGTTTTTATGGATGGTTTTAAGGAGGAAGTAATCAGATTACGCACTTGTTTTAATACCAGCATGGATGAAGCCAAAAAACTGAAGGCAACTAATATCGAGCTCAGTGGACTGTTGGAAAGGGCTAACAAAACAATTACACTAAAGAAAAACTAAAACAGGTCTGATGCTTAGTGGCATCCTTGCTAATTACTTCCATTGTGATTTGTATTAACTATTATTATTTTTAATCACAAGTGCATTTAAACCGGAAAAAAAAAAAAAGAAAGTCAGACAGAAAATATACCTATATAAATATAAAATCCATTTA